TTTTTGACTCCAGTAAATGAATACGTTTTTGATCTAATATAAAGGTCTGACGAATAATCTGCTATTCAGACCTTATATAGAGAAATTATTTAAACATCGGAATATATATTCATTTTATTAATAGTGTTGTACTAAAATTTATAAAATGAACATTTCAAACATGGGAGATGATGATGATTTATATCTAGCAGACCCGGATGATAGAGATTTATTTTTTGAAAACATAAAGAAGGTGAGGTTCTGTATTGAAATATGTGTATTTGCTGTAGGACTTTTAGGAAATTTAATCTCTCTAACTGTTTGGATCAAAGGACAAAATACAAGAAAGCTAGCATGTTCGATGTACTTTATATTTTTATCAGCATCTGACAGTTTTTGTATGCTATATAAATTAACTCAAAATGTGCTCGAAAATCCATGGAGTAACTTCGAATCTTTACCCATCACATTGTCCGTTAATTGCTTATTAGAAAATACACTCTTCAATTTTACACCTCAGCTCTCAGCCTGGATCATTGTTTGTATTTGTGCTGAAAGAACGTTGAGTATTTGTTTTCCATTAAAATTCAATACAAAAGGGGCTGGCAGAAGAGCGAAATTTGCCTTTATTTCACTTTTCATTATTCTTGCTGGAATAAACCTGTATGATGCAACTTTACTATGTATCGACTTCTCCTCTAACGCAACAAATACAATTGGATATCTTTCAGAAGTGTATGTCCTTTGTGTATTTCCATTTTTGTTTATAACAATATGCAATGTTATTACTATCGTATTTCTTTGTAAAAGGAAAGCACCTGTTGTTAGCAGTAGCAGAAGACTTTTAACAAAATTCACGCGTTTAAGTATAGTTACAGGAATCTTCCACTGTGTTTGTGTACTCTCTTTTATGGTACGATCACTATATGTATATGACCAAATTGACCTAGAGCTTAACAGTAGAAGTTGGCACATCTTTATGTATGCTACGCAATTTTTTCTCTACTTAAATAATGCTTTTAGTTTCTTACTCTACTCATTGGCATCGAAAGATTTCAAGAAAGATTTAAAGCAACTGATTTGTTTCTGCAGGAAATGTGAGTAATAACATAAAACTATTTATTAATATTGACCTGAAATTCATTAATTTTCGAGAGGTTTTGTCGTTTGTTTCCATAATTTATTACGATATACGCACATGAATTTAATGACAGGGTTGTCCACGATACCCTTTATTTTAAAGACGGCCCGCCGGCCTAGTGATAGGAACGACGAAATTCTATTCTCAAAATTGCAAGTTCGAATATTCGGGAAACCTTTTTTTGTTTATTTATAAACTGATTATAGGCTACATGAGTTGATAAATGATGTGTTGAATTTATAGCGTTTATCTTTCCTTTAATTTCATGATTTTGAAAAATACATAATTGTTTTAATTGATTTCAATATGTAAACTCGTACAAAGAGTGATTCGCATGTATAACACAGTGGTCAAGTTTTGCAAAATATAATTGAAAAAAAATTAAAGAAAAAGGAAAAACAAATCATACGAATCGGACCTACAAACTTCAATTTGACTTTGTAAGTGCTACAAATTGTCACCATGGCTAGTAAGTCAAATGATATGCTGATACTTAAAGTTATGCATATACCGTTGTATCATACTGTGGTGCGGGGTTCGTCAGTATAGAAAAGGGTGGTTGGTTGGGGGGGGGGGGGTGTAGGTTTCCGTCTCCATGATATTCTTTAACAAATAAGTGTTTGCCGTATCTTCTCAGATAGTATTCCGTTAAATTGTAAAACATGTTTTATCTTTTCGACGATAATTAAGAACAAACTCAATAAACCCGTTTTTTCTGTTTTTAATATAGTTTACTTTTTTATATTCATATTTACACCAACAATTCCAACCGGTTGAAAACAACAATATATGCACATTAAATAGTTCTATCTTAAAAGTCCTGTCTCTTTCTTTATTAAATAAGAATAATAATAGATAGTGAACCAATGAAAAAAAGACCCTTAAACAAGAAATTATTAACCAATGAAAATGCATTCTACCAATTATGAAATTATCGATTCGACCAATCAAAATGGTTCGATTTAGCCTGATTAACACGCTAGATGCCAAAAACCAGCGGTATGTTAATTTCTTTCTTTAAGTCAAACGGAAAATCAGATTAGAAAACTACAAATACATGCCTAAGATAAAATTAATGATAATAATCATGTTGTCATACATGTGACGTAAATAAACATAAATGTGTCAGACCCGTAAATTGCAATGAACATGTCAGGGGTCTGGCTAATTGAAAATTTACTTATTTCTGAATTTCAAGAATTTAAAAATCGTTTCATAACATAAATATGAAGATATAATAATTTTACGAAAAGTATTTCGAAAGAATCAAATGAAAAAAAAATACCGCATAACAATACATTTAAGTCTGTATAATTTATTTCGGAATCTGATGATTACCGCCAAAAGGTCATTGAATATTCAAATGTCTCAGGTCAATATTGCCAAACAATACTATGTGTGTGATTCATCACAAGTGAAATATTAAAAGATGACAAATATTTAGTTGGAAAACCAAAGAACCGTAAAACACAGTCTCTGTCAATGGATTAATTAAACTTGGTTGTATATAACGGTATATTATATAGAGGATATTTGTTTAGTTCAGTGTAAGATCGGAATATATTTCACCGAGTGGGCACCAAAAGGTATATTTCACGAGTGGCGCAGCCACGAGTGAAATATGAACTTTTGGTGTTCACAAGGTGAAATATATTTCGATCTTACACTAAACTAAACAAATTTTCTTTTTATTATATGCAAATAAACGTTTTAAAAAGACATTAAATCCAATACTGAATGAAAAGCGCACCAAATAATAATACAACGTGACGTCATTTACGACATCACGTCATTAAGTTGGTACCCAGTACTGTGCACGCTTGTATTTCACTGAAACAACGTAAGGGGCTTAAATTCAAAACAGTGAAATTATCAAAGTGGTAATTTCACTGTTTCAAACAGTGAAATTACCAGTTTTATATCACTGATATATTTCTATAAACCACCGAAAAGCATGTAATAAATAAACTTGGTTGTATTAACAGGTATATTATATAAACTTGGTTGTAATTTCCGGTATATCATATAAACTTGGTTGTGTTTACCGGTATATTATATAAGCTTGGTTGTATATACTGGTATATTTTATAGACTTAGTTGTATTTACATGTATAATATATAAACTTGGTTGTATGTACTAGTATATTATATAAACTTGGTTGTTTTTACCGGTATATTATATAAACTTGGTTGTATTTACCGGTATATTTTATAGACTTGGTTGTATATATAAACTTGGTCGTATGTACTGGTATATTATATAAATTTGGTTGTTTTTACCGGACTTCATCACTGTTTAAGCTACAAATGCTTTTATTCGATGTGACCTTTGAAGCATTTGTGTTTTTATAAAAATTATGAATGCCTGCCCCATAGCACCGTCTTGATAATTTGATTTTGGGTTTATTTTTAATCCATATTATTTCATTGGTTAAATGTGATTGACTTTATTCCTTAAAAGGACTTACGCATTTGTAGATTTTTTTTAAGTATCTGTATTTTTTATGAAAATATTATGTGCATGTATTTTTTAACAAAGTTTTTAAAACTTGTATCAATTTCAAACACCAGAAACATACATTATTGTCTTTACTTTTGTGTTCCTCAATTTGTTTTTGATCATATTATTCAAATAATGCCATCCTAACTTAAGAGATGAGTTTTTTTATATACAGTATTTTCTCAAGAATTTAATTGGTCCTACAATGTAAGGTAAACAATTTCTATTTGGTTTAACGTCGCACCAGTCATATGGCGACTTTCCGGGAAAATCTAAGGTGTCCTTCTGAACATTACTCGAGACACTTACTGGTACTCGAGTAGGACCACCGACGTTCCATGAGCTAGCTGGATAGCTTTCTCACATGAAGAGTCCGAAAAACGCTCAGCAAAAGTCGCCCTTTATGTCCAAATAACATTTGAAAATATTTATAAAAACATAAACAACGTCATTATTTCAAGTTCTGTTTGTGTAAAATTCGTATTGTCCGAATTAACGATTGTTTTTCCATTATTATTGGTACATACAATTATTATGTGTTTGACAAACATTGTCAATACATTCAATTATTTTTGTTTGACAATTATAGTCAAAATATGCCTTTATTTTCTGTTTAACAATTATTTCAAAACATACCGTTATTTTCCGTTTTTCAATTTTTGTCAATGCATACGACTATCTATCTGTTTTTCAATTTTTGCCAATACCTCTTATTTACATATTTTTGCATTTCATACTATTATTTCCAGTTATTAAAACATTGTCAATACATAACATAATCTTTTCCTTAACATTTAATGTAACATTTATTTTTTCCTGTTTTATAATTACTATCAAAACATACCATTGTTTTTGTTTCACCATTTTTATCAGTACACATCATAATATTCTGTTGTTTCTTTTTCAATTATTGTCAATAAATAGTATTACTTTCTGTTTTACAATTATTGTTTATACATACTATTGTGTTTTGCTTTACAGTTATTGTCAATACATGCCATTATTTAACAATTGTTGTCCATATATACCGCTATTTTTCTGTTTAACAACAAATTTGTAATAAAATTCCAAACCTTGTGCCTGAGGGTCTTTGTTTTTTTTTTTGGCCGGGTTTTACGTCGCACAAACACCGAAGATGTCATAGGGCGACTTTCCAGCTTTACTGGTGGAGGAGGACCTCAGGTGCCCTTCAGTGCATTATTTCAGGCATAAACTGACACCTGAGTAGAACCACCGACGTTCCAAAAGCTAGGGGGTGGGGATAGCTTTCTCACATGAAGTAATCCTAAGTCCCTAGGAGTCTCTGTATCTTCAATAACTATGATTTGTTCATAACAATATTTTGTAAAACATTTGTAATAAAAAAGCAAGAAAGCACACTTTGAGCATATAAACAATTTATTACTTCTCATTTTTATTATAAAAAGTACAGTACAATTTATATGTTATATAAAATCATCACAAAATGCAGCCCAAAAGGGGAGATAAGAAAATAAATTTAATAATAAGGCAAAAATATGTAAATAAATAACGTGACATATACACATTTGTTCTTATCACATTAAAATATAAATATAAGTAAATGGTCAGAGAAATGTACCTTATGAAGTTATATATTAGAAAAAACATTAATATATTTCCAAAAAAATAGAAACAAAAATGATTGCTTTCCTGTTTATAAATTATGCCAGAATTAATTCCAATGGTAATAAACACTTTGGTGTAATGAATATGAAAATAGTAAATAAATATACATGATACATATTGATCTACAATAACATTTGAGCCGTGTCATGACAAAACCAACATAATGGGTTTGCGACCAGCATGGATCCAGACCAGCCTGCGCAGTCTGATCAGGATCCATGCTGTTTGCTTACAAACCCTATAACATGTAGGGAAACTGATAGCGAACAGCATGGATCCTGATCAGACTGCGCGGATGCGCAGGCTGGTCTGGATCCATGCTGGTCGCAAACGCACTATGTTGGTTTTGTCTTGACGCGGCTCATATGATACAAACTGATCTAAAATAACATTTTTGCTTGCATAATCTATCACAGATGGTACGGAAATGTAACATATAAATCATTTACCAGTATTTCAATATATATATACATGTATATATATTCAACATTTATCCATCCTCTTATACATGAAGTAATTTTGAAAATGGTTTCTTGGAAACATCTTAGTAATAAAACTATTTATATACTATTTTAACTATTTTTAACTTTTAATTTATATGCTGCGTTTATTTTGACGCAGTGCGACAGTAAACAGGTCTAGCAGTACTATTAAACCAGTTCACTGAAGTTTCTTTAGCTATATAAAATTAAGCGTAACATTATTTTAACCAAATCTATGTAAAAAATTCAGCAAAATTATACAGTCATATGTAAAAAGTGTTGTTTTTTTTTGTTATCCAAACTTCTAAAATTGGACAAGAGGATCTACCCAGTCTAAAAATAAAGTCATTAACATCCCTAAAAAGTAAAATCAAAATCAAAAAAGAAAAATACAAACACACATGCTATATCTCTCATTTACAAAACAGCACTCAAAAGATTTTATAAATAGATGACAGAATTTACAATGATTCAATGATTTCCCAAAGACACTGTACAACCCTAATAATTCTCACATCAAGAATTAAATACTAAAATTTTCACATGATTTATAAAACATCCATATGACAAAGTTTTATGTTTTCCACATTTTCTTTTTGATAATCTTAAAAAGGTAGAGATAAAATACATTAATTTTCCTTACTTTATAAAATAAAAACGTTATTTTAAACATATATAGTCCTATATCCCTGTTTAAATGGTGCCCCTAGAAGCCCCTCCCTCAAATATCTGTATTATGGTGATGAGATTATGTGTAAGAGATTGGCTAAAACCAATCCAAATCTTATCATGCATGTGGACAAAACATAATATGATCTACACATGGAGTAAAAAAACAAAACAAAGCTCTATCTAAAATCACATATAAGTGTACTTTCAAATAGTGAATACTGTTTTGATATAAGTTCCCCACATACAGTCCTCTTTTTGTGTGACAAAATCCTGTGTGGCAGTTGCAAGGTGAAATCAGAATACACTTCAAGAAATTTGAGCATATGGTAAAAGTACATGTACATTAGTATATCAACTTACAAAATTAATGAGGTAAAAAATATCACACAATAAAATCTCACAGCAATTGCAACATGAAAAATAAAACTTACAAATAAAACTGAAATAAGAAATAAGTACAAAACAGAAAGAAAAAAGAACCAAAGATTATCAAAAATTTGATGTAAGAAAAAAAAATACTGATTTTTAGTAAAGAATGAATAGAACAAAAAAATATTAAAATCTAAGGGTATGTGGCCACAATATCAGAATTACTAATATGCAGTGACAATACAGCCTGAACAGACCAGGTATGATATGCTTTTGATTAGTTGACTTGTCCTGAGAACCTTTAATAGCTAACATATACCCTGTTGAATATAATGAACTTACCCATTTTTAATTTGGAATAGTCCATTAAATGTTAATAGTAAATTAGTATCAAAATATACTTTTTACGGCATAGGTCTTTATATAATTATATTAACAGCTCTCATTATGACAAGATTTAAGCTGAAATTTTGACACATTTTTAATAACAAAGAATATACAAAGAAAAATAATATACATGATAAAGATACGAAAATTAATGAGAGAAAATGTAAAATATGATATTGAAGTTACAATGATGTTGTAAACAAGGTTATCATCATTGTAACACAATATTCAACATATAAAAATTCACAAAGGGGAATAAATCAGTAAAAATTATGCAAAAATCTGTGTTAGAGTTAAAGGTCTTTGTCAATGACTTACAAGACAGGTCTTGCATGATATTGGAAATGAATTTTCCAAGTTTATAAAGAAGGGAATAATTCTGTAAACAAGAGGGCCAGTGACCCCAAATCGCTCACCTGAAGACAGCATCTTGGGACAGGATAACGGGACAATGCTTTAAGCCAATGTAACAAGGATTTTTAACACATTTGTTGTTTTTTAATATGTGTATATATATTTTGTAAACAAAAAATAGAATTATAAAACATTACCTATATATTAATACATGTACTTTATTATTTTGCTTTTAAACATATAATGCTATATTTTCTGTGTTTAAACAAATACCCTTTGAAGAGCAAGTTAAGTCCCTGATGTTAAATCTTTGTATATTTGTACAGAATTAATAATTGTATGTTTTATATTTTTGGGGAAAAGAATAACAGTTCACACAGTATTATTATTTGGTAAAAGGACGGACCCTGGAAAAAATTACATATAGAAAATTGAAGAAGAAAGACAATACATAGATACAAAAAATTAATAGTTCCCCAAAACAACAACTGGCAGAATGTAAACCCCTGTTACATCTGGTGGAATAGGTTGATCCAGTGAGAATGAACTAGAACTGCCACTGTCATGGCGTGAATACCCCCACATACCACTTTGACAGAATCAACAGTGGCCATTTAGAGCTCAAGGACAACTTCCCTGCCAAATCTGCGGGAAGTAAGCCAGTGCTAAGTTATATATTCTACATGTTTTTAGTGGCAAAGATTCAAGTGACCTTTAACTTTGACCTACTGACCTCTAAATGAAAAGGGATCATTTACTGGTCATGACCAACCTCCATACCAAACATAAAGATTTTTAACCAATTCAGGGCAGACAAGCAAAACCAAACAGACAGAAAAGCTGATTCCAGTATGTCCTCCATACAACTTTGTTGTTAGGGGGAAATAATCATGACCAAAATGCAGTGAAAGCCCCGAGTAGGTTGATCCAGTGATTTCAAAGGAACTGTGTAACAACAATTTTGTATATGTTTTCTTTTTAATATGTAGTTTGTTTTATAGGCAGTAATTCTTTTAATCATTTATTATGAACTGTTATTTCTTTTTATGTTGTTTGATGTATATAATGTTTATAAAAGTTTATTTACAAGCATATTGTTCAACAAATATCCCTTTAAGTGTAAGAATTAGTAATACCCCTTTTATGTTTCTTTTCAATGTAATTATAAATTGATAAAAGGTTGTTAACACTATATAGGTAATTTAATTTGTTTGCTTGTAACATGTTCGTTCATTGTTATCCAATTAAGTTGCTATGGTCATCATGGAACCAAAGAAACCTAGGGTCCATTTTGATATATGCTTTGCTTGAAATAAATTTATATAGTTGAACCAACTTTTGTTACAGCGTTATTACTAAGAAAATTACTTCAAGAAAGTAAACCAGAGAAGAACAGAAGTTTGAGTTATACAAATAGAAAAAGGTTCCAATAAACACAGTATTACAAATAATAAAAAAGTTCCCCTCCCACAACAACCAAACAGACAAGAAAAACCCCTGTTACAACTGGTGGAGTAAGTTGATACCAAGGAACTGGATGAAAAAGAGTGCCAACAGATTATTACCAACTTAGATCAAAAGGGACCGGTAAACAGTGAACCAGCAGCCACTGAGCGAGACCATACAGAGCCAACTTTAGCCAGGACAAGGACACCAAATCTAGCCGTCATAGTCAACCGAAGGATTCTCAGCACCAACATCAACAGGTAGGCCTCCTTTCAAATTCAATATAGATTTTGGGAAGTTTGAACCTAATGTTAATGAGCCTAAAAGCTGGTTAACTAGATACGAGTATTTAGGACATGTAACAGAAACGAGCAGTGATCTACTAGCAAAATTTTTTGGCATGTTTTTAAGTATAAGAGTAGCAATTGACTGGTACACCTATTTAAGTGACGACACAAAGCATAATTTTGATGACTTAAAAGAAAACTTGTTAAAAGATTTTCTAAAAGAATAGACCCAATTTAATTAACGTCAGAAATTTTTCAAATGAAACAAAAAGTAAATCAGTCAGTTAGGGATTTTGTTCAGGAGGTACAAACAAAGAGTAATTTGGCTAATATTTCTGCAGAAAATACCTTAAGTGCTATACATGGTGGGCTACTTTCACATATTCGTGCTGATTTAAGGCGTAATCCTCCTTTAAGTTTAGACCAACTAATTGAAACTGCTGAATTGTCTGAAAGTGCATATGCTGTACATCCTCCTCAAATTAATCTGTCTGAGGCAGCATTTACGGATATTATTAAAAATGCCAAGGGTAATGTTAATGTAACAACAAATTAATATGTGTTTTCTTTTTATGTATTTTGTTGTATTCACATTAAATTTTTGAATCATTTATTATATACTGTTTTCTTTTTATGTTGTTTGATGTATATAATGTTTATAAAAGTTATTTACAAGCATATTCTTAAACATTTTGTGTTCAACAAATATCCTTTTAAGTGTTAGGATTAGTATTACCCCTTTTATGTTTCTTTTAAATGCAATTATATATTTATAAAAAGTTATGTTTTTTAACATGTTGGTTCATTGCTGCCCAATAAATTTAAGTTGCTATTGTCATCATAGAAACCAAGCTTGACAACCAAAGCAAAATCTTTAAATACATTTTAATGTTCTAGTTACAAATTTTATATAGCTATTCAGTTTGTATGTCCTCTCATTTGTATGACATAAGTGAGTATAATTTCCTAATATTAAATCTTTCTGGTATTATTGTGATGATTGTAAAGATAGATATATGCTTTGCTTGGACAATAAATTTATATAGTTGAACCAACTTTTGTTACAGCGTTATTATTTAATAAAGAACAGACACTAAGAAAATAACTAAAAGAAAATAAATCTGAAGAAAAGAAGTTTGAATATCTACAGTATTACAAATAGTCAAAAGGTTCCCCTCCCACAACAAACAAACAGACAAGAAAAACCCCTGTTACACATCCCTTCATAACACCATTCTGTTAACAACATTAAACATTGGAAACTTATTTTATTATTCTTCTTTCTTCATTTTTCAAGTTTGAATATCAAACGACAAAACTGGGATATAGTATGGTGAAACAATTCTCCATAGTACAAACTTAGTACCCAAACTACGCATGTGAAACTTGGTGTGAAAAAAGGAAAGACTCTGAAAACTGGTGGAGAAGGAAAAGGAAACAACAATACTACAACAGACTATCAATAAAGGAAGTAACTTTATGAAAAGGACTACAACATGAAACCTGGTGCAAAAAAAGACTCTGAGAACAGGTGGAGAAGGAAAAGAATAACAACGACACTACAATAAACTACATGTATCAATAAAGGAAGTAACTATAAAAAAAGAACTTCGAATCCAGACTTTAATAGGCCACATCTACGTTCAGATGGTCCAGTAACAGAAAGTCTAGTAACAAGTACAGAAACAGAATCCACAACCATGGAAACAGAAACCTCGACAGTGCAGATTAAAGGTAGGCCAAATGTTGATTTAGTGGGGAAATTTGACCCGTTAAAAGATGAACCTCACTTATGGTTAAATAGATATATTTATTATGGTCATGTAATGAAGTTAAAAGAAATAAGGTCAAAAATAATTTTAAAACACTAACAAACAAATTTTTTCTTCAACTTGGTGAATAAATTTATCCTTTTTGAAAAATAGACTCTGAAAACTGGTGGAACACGCAAAGAAAGCAACACTACAACAGACTATCAATAAAGGAAGTAACTTTATGAAAAGGACTCAGGTGTCATCAACGTTCGATGGTCCAGTAACAAGTACAACAACAGAATCTATGAACCAGTATGGTAACAGTCCTCAACAGTGACAAAAGAAGTATTCCTGTTTCTACTCTTGGTAGGAGTTACACCTACTTTGTCTGAGGAAAGATTGGAATAAAGACTTAATTAGTACAGAACCATATTTAAGAATGAAGGAAAACTCAAGTTTGAAGGTGATAACTGGAAAGATACCTTTGCAATGATGCTTCACTTTCCAAATGAGTCATTTCTGGATCACTTGCCTACATGTGATTGTCCAGAACTAAACAAACTTTGGCTAGCAAGTCCCAGTTACATAATGGCATTTTGTTGCAAATTAACAAGTCCTTACACCATATAAATGTTTTGTTACCAAATGTTGAAACACATTTTAGTTCAAATAGAAATATTCTGCGGATGATGTTACATACATGTACGATATACCAAAGCTCAGACAAGAAAGATTTTGAAATTTGCATCTTAAGACCTGTTTTTATGACCCTGTTACCTAATTATGAATTTGTCTATATTCATTTGAATGACTTTGATAGCGTACCAACCAACCAAGAATCATTCCTGTGCAGTTTGGTTAATATCTAGCCATTAGTCAAAGAAATTGTTGACGATGAACGACTAAACACCGGACAGAGAGGGATCACAAAAGCTCACCATGTGCACTTGTGCTCAGGTGAGCTAAAAACCCAACAGTTATGGTTTCTTAAACATGTCTGAAACATTAAGCGAATACCTTTAATGGATGCTCGGCTAAACCAGCATGCCAAACCTGACCATTAAAACTTTACAAAGGGGAATAACTCAGAAAAAAATAATATTAGAATCATGCATCCAAGTCAGTGATCATTAAATTATGTATCTGATTTTATTCCCCGCAGAGAGATGTCCTCAATAAGTAAATCTACCTTTTTTTTCCATTTAAAGTGGCAATGCTTTCAAATGAGAAAAATAAATCTTTAAAAATTCAAACTTGAAAAAAATACTACATGTAATTAAAAACTACATGATTGTAATCTAATTATCAACAACAAATAAAAAAGTCAAGAGCTAACTTGCTCAAGATCAATGCGCACAAGAAACAAATTTCAGTTTTAAAACTGTCAGCTGATAAGACTGTTATGTAAAGATAACCACATAAATCTTGTATTTTGACTGTATTTAAAGTCACTTACACTTTAGTAGTCATACGGCAACTTAGCAGAGGAATACCTCAGGTGTCCCTCCGTGAATTATCTTTCAGTCACAAGTGGGACCAAAATAGAACTACATGTATCACAGAATTCCTGTATTATTATGTTGTTTATGGTAAAAATTTGGTTATTCTGTAATAACGCAGTGTTCTCTGTTACAATATCATGTTTTCTGTCACAATATGGTGTTTTAAGTACGAATAAGGTGTTTTATATAATATTACAACATGGTGTTTTTTGTGACAATAATTATGTTGTTTTACATTGCAATATGACGTGTTTTCAATCATGTAGTTCTAAGAGCAAAAAGATCTCCAAAAAAATACTCCAATTACTTTAGGTTCAAATAATAAGTAATCAGCTAAATTCATAACTTTCTGTTAAAAAGTGTATAAAAAGTACCAAGATCTATTTATAACTCATTTCCAGTCTAAAAATAGAAATTCAGATCTATAAATAGCCTTATAATGGTTAAATTTTCGCAAACTTTCAGCAAAAAATAAAAAATTTCTGCAAGTATGCAACAAATAAAATCAGGTCACACCTATTACCACATGAAGGGGTGGCAGTTTCATTATCACATTACTTGTTTATTGTTACATTCAATCTTTTCTGCTCCTTAGTCGCATTTTACCCTCTGAAGGCTCATGGACCAGTCCATTCTTACGGGATGTTCCATTCTGCTCCATCTTCTTCAGCCTGGCTTCTTTGGCCTTTTTGGAGTAAGTTTGGTAGTAGAAATTGGAGAACAAGGCTATATGGGTAAAGTCGTAGAAAATCAGAGCCCAGTTATACAAGTTTGGGTATCCGCAATCACTGTAGATGGCATATGATGTGTGAAACAATATGGCCCAGAATTGAATCTGAAATATACCAAACAAAAATCATACACACTTATGCTGCAACAATCAAAATTTGAATGTACATATTACTATATTGGAACTTTATCATTAAAACACATTACCAATATGCTAAATTGATTATCATTTATCCAAAGGATATTTGAGCCGCGCCGTGACAAAACCAACATAATGGGTTTGCGACCAGCATGGATCCAGACCAGCCTGGGCATCCGCGCAGTCTGATCAGGATCCATGCTGTTCGCTTACAAACCCTATAACAAGTAGAGAAGCTGATAGCGAACAGCATGGATCCTGATCAGACTGCGCGGATGCGCAGCCTGGTCTGGATCCATGCTGGTCGCAAACGCACTATGTTGGTTTTGTCGTGACACGGCTCATTTTATAAGTATATGAAACTGAGATTAAAAGAATCAGATCTCTATAATATCCATCATTTATTCAAGTAAAATATTGGTAGAGGTAGGGTTTTCTCCCATGAAGTTTCAACAGTAAATTATTGATTCATAATCTAACAAAACCCACCTAGGTAAATTCTTAACCAGTACCGGTACATAACAACAAAATACCAGAACAAAATTGGTGCTACCAATCCTTACAACCTCTCCATTAAAAGCAAAATATTAAAATAAAACTTACAAGTTGCATAACAGTCATGTAACGTTTCCACCATAAATATTTCTGCATATGAGGTCCCATGGCAGATAGAAGGTAGTATGTGTACATGAGTACATGTATTCCACTGTTAATACTGGCAGAATAGTATGCTGAAAGTGTAAGTTATGTCATTTTAAATTCAGAAAAAAAAGAAATGATTAATCAATTATGAAAATCAAAGTGCTGAAAGCACTGGATGCAACAGACAAGGAAAAGGGATTGTGTGAATACTGAGCAAAGCCACATTAACCATTAGTAAAAGCTAACGATGGTAGGTTTAACTGTTGAATGACCACTTTTAAATATTTCACTATGATATTCCCAGAGGTTGATAACGGACTGTTCCGAAATGGGAGTTGGACAAATCCATTCTACAAATTCTGCAGGTGAATTAGATTAAAGCAGGTTTTATTAGAGGAAGTCCTCATAATGTTTTTGGCCCAAAAGATAAAATAAACATCATTTATGAAGTAATCTTAACCCTGTTACTGTATCTATAAGCTTATAACAATGTATGTTTGCAAACTTGCTTTTCATTGGTTAATCATGACTTTTATATAAACTATATACAAGGATGCTATCAATTTATGAAGTTATTTCTTTTTACCTGTCATAAAGGAAGTTGGCTATAATAACAATAGAATTGACATGTGCTCTTTTGTTAACAAATATGTTGTGGTGAAATTCTGATTGTATCCACTAACATGATAATAAAAATTAGACAGCTCAGGGATCTATCCATATACTTACATTCTCCCCCTGGGACATATTTAACGCCCACATACCAAATCAATGGCATCGTGAAATGATGGTAAAGATGTAGAAATGTGATCTGATTATTCTTCTTCCGGAGCATAAAAAATACCTAAAAATAGAATCATGAAAATGATAGAAAGTGTAATGCCATTTAAAGACAATTATTTTCAGGCAAAATGAGAACTTTAGGCCAAAATGAAATTATATTAAAGTTCTGAAACCTTGCTGAAAGAATGAATATTTCATAAAGCAGGGTAGGTTTGGTAGAGTATAAGGGTGCATGTGCGGGTATAATGAAATTTCTTTTAATGAATTCATTTAATTTAACACCATAATTTTTTATTTTTGACAGTAAACAATGCAAAAAAGGGTCCAAGTCCGGTGTGAAAATGATAAGTATGTATCATCTTATTTAAGCTGTGCCCAATGAATTAAAGAAAGAAGACAGTACAATATAAATATTATTATGCTTGGACGAGTGGGTGTTTCTAGAATACCCTCTTGATCACTACAGCAAGCCACAATGAATTTTCCAAAGCATTATCGGGCAAGCTGTCAAGCATTTTTCCAGTACTAGATACCTTCCACTTTCTTATACAAACAACCAGCTTGGAAAAAGGACAAAAATTTTTTTTTAATCTAAAATAACTTACTGTGTCTATGAGTTCAATACTTTTAGAGAATGTGAACCACCAACATGCCGCGGCAAGTCTATCTGCGGACGCTTTTCCATGTTCTACAGGCATACATACTTTGCTGAAATCCCAGTTTAACCATGTTGTCATAACAAACTGAAATATACAATCATTGTATATATAACAAAATTAATGTTATGTTTTTTTTTAAAAAATAACCTTAACATTAAAGACTGCAGTGATCATGTGTTTGTTTGTCTGATTTGGTTTTATGTCACATCAGCACAGTATAGGTCATATGGAATGTTCCAGCTTTACTGTAGGAGGAAGACCTCAGGTGCCCTGCCTTGCATTATTTCAGGTACGAACAGGCACCTGAGTAGAACCACGGACATTCCAAAAGCTAGCTGGATAGCCTCCTCACATGAAAGAATGCAAAGTCCCTGTCGAGATTCAAACTCACTGCGGTGAGGGGCAAGTGGTTTGAAGTCTACAACCTTAATCACTTGGCCGTGGACGCCCCTCAGTTATCATGTAGCAACAAGTTAAATGAAAACTTTTGCTTTATTTGTTTTTGTTTTTTTAACAAGATCCTAGCTATAAAGTCAAGTTGTTAGCTATGTATGATTAACACAGCTTAAATTACAATTACAATGAAAGCTGTGGTATGAATAAATATGATTTATGCGCATAAGTATAGTAACCTTACTAGTATACTCAACTTTAAGTGAGGGGATTACATAAAATGATGATGATGATGATGATAATAATGTTGATATTGATGACGATGATGATGATACTAATACTATATGGTACCAAAGATGAGATGATAATAATGATAATGATGCTGATGAAGTAAATGATGATAATGATACTGACAATTATGATGATAATAATGAAGATGATGATAATTTATTAATTATGATGATAATTATGATGAATATATTATTATCATGACAATTAGGATGATGATGATGATGATGATTATCTACTTATGAACATTTGATAATGGTTCTGAGGACTGCAAATACTTACCTCAAAGTAGATGTAACCATTCAGTAGAACAAGGCAGAAGTTATAGAACATCATTAAATTATTTAGTTGGAATGGTTGTCTGTTCCTCATTACCCTTTGACCACCCAATATCACAGCAAGGTACGTTGTAGTTATAGCTAGGGTTGGCCATATTGATGACACAAGTAACCAGTCCTGGGTACGATCGTCTACAATGAGAAAGTGAAAATATGTCTACAGAAAACTATAAACCTTTTGGTTGATTTGTTAACATAACTGACTTCAAATATATGAATGTTAATTGCTGGAGCATAAAAAAACATTTTCACAGTCACATTCAAGATTATCTAAGGTGGTAAGTGTTAATAACTGTTTTTTTAAATTTCTGGTTCAAACAAAGATTTTTTAACAAAAAGAAGCTTATCAGTAAAGCAATTATATTAAGCTACCTTAGGTATATATACCTTTGGAATATATTGAAATTACAATATAGTAAGTAAGATGAATTCACACTAAAAAGAGATTTTGTTATCATGTGAAATGACTTTATAATTAATATTATCTTATTTTACATGAAAAAATATCAACAAACTAGAAATGTGTTTTTCTAAGTTCAAAAAGGATAACTCTTGTAAAAGTATTTGGATCAAAACCAAATTCGAACTTGACTTGTATTTTCAAGTTAAATACCTGCACATGGCGATTTCAACCTTATACATAGTATACATTTCTACAAAAGTAAGAGTGAGGAAACTGAATATTTCAAACGTTCAAGAGGGATAACTTTGTCCAAAATCATCGATCCATGAATGTGTACAACTGTTGGGGAGATAATGAATGGAAACTGAAAATATCTTCTTTTTTTTTTTTCAAAACTAAAGGGGCATAACTCTGCCAAAAAGTCATAGAAACATGACCAAATTCAAACTTGATCTTTGCATTCCTTTCACGTATCCATATATCAAATTTGACTTGAATGTGTACAAGCGTTTGGGAGAAAATGAACGGAAACTGAATTTTTTTAAGGGGCATAACTCTGTCAAAAATCATCCGACAATGACAATATTCAAACTGCATTTTCATATTATATCCATATGTCAAATTTGAGTTGAATGTGTGCAATGTTGCCAAGATAATGAACTGGAACTGATGATGACGAAACGTGGTAGGCGGGGGCATAAAAATAATGCTTTGATAATTTCAGCTATTCTTTGAATAGTTTGATTTGATAATCTTGATGCAATATTCAAACAAAAGGCAAATCGTGGTAAACTTCAATATTATTTAAAAAATCACAGTAAAATTTGATAATATTTTAACAATTGCAGTAAATTTCAATAATATTCAAAGAATAGCTGTAAACTTCAATAATATTCAAACAATCGCGGTTAACTTTTACAAAAATTTACAAGTTTTGTAGTTTTTTAATATTGTCTAAAGATTTGGCAACATATGGCATACACAAAACAAAGGGAAACAACTTTTTTACAATAATGCCTCGTATAAATTTTTACCATTTCGTACACTGACAAACCGTACCTAACTACATGTACACTATGTCGATATTAAAACAATCGCGGTAAACTTCAATAATTTAAATAATTTTACTCCCTGAATATCTTACCATTATAGAGCATCATAAAGAATATAAAATGTTACCTTTAACTATTGCTTTTGCATAAAGGTCATTTACGTAGTCACTGAAGGTCATGATTGTCCTCTTCTTGAAATTTCTCCAAAATGTGGAATCTAAAAACAAATGAAAAGGTTAACTGTGTAAGTATAATGATTTATAGTTCAAAAACCAGGAGAGCCATGGTAGCAGCGCAAAATATGCTTGAGTGAGGCAAGGTTAGTTAGGCAGGGTGACGTATGCTTGAGTTAGGCATGGCGATTTATGCTTCAGTTAGGCAGGGTGCTTTATGCTCCAGCTAGGCACAGCAATATATGCTTGAGTTAGGCAGGACATTGTATGTCTCAGTTAGGCAAGGCGATCAGTGATTTCCTGCTTATATACCTGACTCTAATGAAAGGCTTGAAATGTTCTTTAAAATCATGCAGTTTTCTCAAAAATCTGAACTTAGACCAGCTTTTTTACTTTACAAATCAGCAATTTTAGCGATAATTTTTTTTCCAAAATCAAGAGGCAAAGGCCTCTTCCCAATTAAGTGTGAAAAATTACAGGCAATGTATGCTTATGTTAGGCAGAGAGATGTATGCTTGAGTTACGCAGGGCAATAATGATTGTCCTCATAAAAAATGCTTTTACTGGACCAGTGGGGATGAGATAGTCAGTGTATCATAGATATGTGCAATAACCTGGCTTAACGATATTCTAAAAAACTTCCAGCACAGACCAAGATCAGCTGGCACATTATGTGCTGTCTGTTCATGGTCTGCCCTGTTTACAATTCATTTACTAATTTGAAGTTTTTCCCAAAAATGTTAAACTTTAAAGATATTTTAGCATAGAAGAGTAACCAATGATCCTGAAAGTATAGTTGGTAATAGATATTATCTATCATAAATGTAATTGCAAGCATAATTAATAGGTTTTAATTGGTCCAAGACAAAATAATTGAATAAATTACTCATTCAATCTTATTAAGAGATCTACTCAATCTGTTTTGTGTAAGAAATTAGTACAAAATTGACAGTGCAATAATATTTTATTAACTTATCTTAGGATTGAATAATTTTTACTCACAACTTGTACAGATGCAGCACCTGGGCAGGGACCAAGTTAAAACATTTTGACATCAGACATGCCAAAACGAGATTCTGAGATATTTTTGTCTAGGTCAGAATCTCGCTTCTAGGGGGGAAATATTGCCCATGGATACACAAATTAGTTCAATATCTCAAATGGGCAGTTACAATTAGTTGGACTAAGCAGGGACTCACATATAAATTATTCTTACTGAACTGATATAGACATTTGCCTGGATGTGAAATACAAACTTATCTTAAGATTTCTTTTTAAGATTATTCTTTACCTTATAGATTATACAAACTTATATCAATTTCACACTAATTTCACTAAAAACATTCAATTAAAAAAAAATTGGCTCTAAAATTGATACTGATCTAGTCATTATATTATAATAATTTTACAAAAAAAGGTGTACTACATGTTCAACAGTGCTTGCAATTTTACCAAAGGATGTCAAAAATGAAGTATTTTTTGCAAAAAATTACTAAATCTTTCATAAAAAGCCTATAAAGTAAAATATATGTTAGGATTATTTACTCGAGACATAATTTGTGTCAACACCTTAGCAAAATGTAAACAAACAACAAACGTGGATTAAAATAATTGAAAATAAATTAGTACTAGCTAAAAGTCACTTACCTTTGCAGAAATAATATGAATCAAAGTTTTCTCTCTGTTGCAAAAACTTCAAAAGGTCCTTATAACGAAAGTCTCCTTGGTTTTAAAAATTAAATTTGTGCAGAAAGTTACGCCGCATGATCAGGGGGATTCCTCGTGAATAGACATGCTCTCGACCAATCAATAAAGATTAAATTTTGACCTTTGGTTTCGAAATGGTTCGACGCACCGGCTATGTTTATTTGTGTTTTGTTGCCCCGGGAAACACCGGTAATTAGCAGAACGGTTCTGTACTTGTTGTCTGGGATTTTGAGCAGATTTGGGTAGAAAAAAGGTACGATTTATATTTTTTTCAATTTATACTCGCAACATTCAAGATATTTAATGTCTAAATCACTTTTTTCCAGTCTGACTCCTAACTTAAATGATTCTATTTTTGTCACACGTGTACCAAGGGGTTTCCTAAAGTATGTCAGTTGAATATATATGCGGTAACTGATACGGTACGGTAGTTAAATTTCATCCTCCTAAATTGTTGTGGAAATGAAATGTGCATCACCGTATACTGCATTGAATAGATCTTAAATCAATCTAAAATTTGTTAATTAAATAATTTGGAAAAAAGACAGTGCTTGCTGCAAGTATGTATATTGTGTATTAAATTATTTGATTTATACAACACACATTTTATGTAGGCTATACCTATGTACATGATATGCTGAGTGTGCAGCAATAATTTATTCAGTCATTGTTGTTATGCCATGACATTCATGCATGCATGCAGAAATTTTCCAGTTATACATTAAATATTATACTTATCTTTGTTTCAATATTTGATATTTAGTATCATAGAATTTAGTTAGATATGTTAAACTTTGTACATCAATCAGTCTATCATACTTTGATTTTGACAAGTGTTTGTCTGGTTTACCTGTGTATTTGAACCTGTTTATTCAAAGTTTATGAATTTTCAATAAACATTGAGTTGCCATGCAACATTATTATATTCAAGAGTCTGCCATGGTGAACCTGCTGCACATGATGATACTGCATCATCCCATGGATGTGCAGGCTCAGGCCTGACTCTTAATTATACACATTAACATGATCATGATTAAGGCTTCAGCAGGTTAACACTTAAAGCTAAAGTTAGACACTGATAAATTCATATGTACTTAATACTTAATTCTGTTTTAACATTGAAAACAAATTATGACCTCAAAATTAGTAAGCACTTTATCATCATATCCTTCTTTAAAGGACCATTTCAATTGTATATCCTCCTGTATTGTCTATTCATGTACATGTATACATAGTAGTTAAGAGTGGCCTGTTAATTAAATCAGTTCTATGTATTTAAAGCAGTAGAAGTATACCTCTGCATATTTTTATGTTTTATTAACAAGTATAAGACAATTTGGCATCAAATCTTAATTTTAAACTGTTGTAATATTTGTTGATCAGGTAAGATATCAGGAAGGAAGTAATGTGTTTTCACTGAAGAGTCCATCAATATACCGGAATTGTTGATGAAAAAAAAATCCCTAGTACATGTATAATGCATCATCAATATGGAATATTAAGTAACCTGAACCCTTATCTCTGGACATGGGAAACTCCCAACCCTGGCCAGGGTGTTGGTTATGTTTTGGCACCAAAATCAGATATGTCAATAAGTGTACTGGTAGGGTTATTTGCAAGGATTTTGATTTTTCCTTTATCCAAAATTCATAGTCCCTACTAATTATGGCATGTTACCAATGACTTCAGTATAAACTAACTCCATGTGTTTATACCAGGAAGTGCTGTATTCTTAAGTATACCTGTACTGTTAAATGAAAAAACTTCCCCAGAAAAACTTTCTAAATAGGTCAGTCCTTGGCCTCCTAGGTAGCATTGTTGTTTATTATTGGAGAAAAATACTTGGCATGAAAATTATGACTCAATGTTCCAATTTATAATTTGGTTAAATTTAGGTTATATGTGTATTTGGACGCATTTACTCACAAATTGTTTTGAAGGGCCCAGTACTTACTCAGATGTTGTCCTAGGATAATTATGTATTGCACCATACCAAGCCCAGCCCAACACCTCCCTCTCCCCTGCCCCTTTTTCCTGGTTCCCCTCTTTCCCCCTTTTTCTCCCTCTTAGATATCCATGTGAATAAGTGGTGCTTTGTTTACTTTTTAAAAAAAATTAACAGGCTTTGCTTGATGATTTCCAGTAAAAGCAATGTATTATCTTTGTAATTTAAAGTTGAAATATTGTTTGGTTCAAGTGAATATACATTTGGTGTTTTAATTTTATTACATTACCATTAAAATATGTAATATTTCGATCATTGATCAATAATAATGTGAATAAGTACATTAAATATCAAAGTATCATAGGAAATGTCAAGTAAAAGGGAGGTAATACATTAGATGCTAAGTTACTTCCCCTTGAAGTTGAGGCAAATTTTCAGCCAGATTTTACAAAAAAAAATAATAAACCTATGTAACCTGGTATCTTGTTTTTTATAGACACATACATTTAATAAATAATAAATCCAATTATAACAAATTGGTTTCCAGCATATATTATCTAAACAATCCGCTACAAGAATATTTATTTGAGATTTCGAAGCAAAGCAAATATTACAGTCTATAGGTATACATGTAAGTAAGTAAAGTCTTTCACATTTGGTTATGAATTTTTTATGTGGGCCTTTAAACTTAAATCAGATAAAGTCCTTAGATTTAATAATTTAAAGAGATGGTATTTGAATGTGATTATTTTTAATGTGTCAATAATAATTATAAAATTCAAATTTTCTGTTATGTATTTTTAACATATTTCCAGTATATATGTATAAAATTGACTAAATCATGAATAATGTTTAAATGTGCACTGTAGGTCAGGTCATAGAACGCTTATAACTATAAATGGCAAAAATGATATATTAAATGGTTGGGTGCCCTTTTGTCCCCATCCTATAGTCATCACCCTTACTGTGTTATTGTCAGAAAGTCTCAACAAATTTTCATTAAGAAAGAAAACAGTTGGATATTTTTAGACATCAAAGTAAGTTTAATGTATCTGCCAAATTTCTTCATCATAGAACTCTTGGATCATTATAAAATATAGTGTATCAAACTAGCAAGTTGTAAAATACTTAGAGTATTGAATTATGGCCACCCGTGGATATGCATTATAAATTTACTGTTAATGAAATTCTGTATCTGGTCCCTAACATAATCCAACACATGTTTGTTTAGTTTGCTGCTTCACCCTGAATTCATCTGTACAATAAATATTCATAAATTTATGAATGGATGTGATTGGAGTGCGTTGAAAGGGAAGTAAAATATTAACAAGGGTGATCTATATCTATTACAAATCATTCATTTTTTTATCAGTTACAAGTAATTGATTTTTAATCTTACTTGTTTTTGATATTGATATTTATCTACAGTGCATACACATTGATATTGATATGTTAAGTCTAAATTAATGCTGTATATACATGTACAGCAAACTGTGACACTGCAATACAAATATAACAGGGGGATTAATTTCTATACTGTATTTTAACAGGGTCATTCTTTTTATTGTCGGCAAATATTATATAGGTATGCGTTTGAACATGTCTGATTGGGACAAAAAAAACAAAGTTTAACCCAAAAACATGTTCGATCACAATTTAGCATGACAATTATTGTTATGTAATCAGTCCTTAATAATGTGTTATAAATAAATTTTATATACCTATATTTATATATGTTGAAATAAAAACATTCTAGACATAGATTTAAAAAGCAGTAAGGATATTTTTGTTCATCAGTGAAAGTGTTGAAAGGACTAAATTTTATAGAAAGGTAAAAATTGTTATTGATTGTTAAATTTATTTAAAATATTGATAAAAATTAATTTATTTTGAATTTAATGGAGATATTTTTTTTCTTTTTAAAAAGTAGTATTTTTTTATTTTAAAAAGTAAATTTCTTCTTTGAAAAAGTAAATTTCTTCTTTGAAAATGTAAATTTTGTCTTTTAAAAAGTTTTTTTTCTGTTAAGAAGTTTTTCTTTTCTTTTAAAAAGTTATTTTTTTCTTTTAAACAGGGTATTTTTTTTATTTTAAAAAGTTAATGGTCAGTCACAAAAAATTGTAAATTATGTATAAAATTTGATTTTTTTTGCAAAAAAATATTTTTCAGCATAAATTTGTATAATACAACACTATCATGTTTATAATGAATTAACTTCCTTGTAAATTATACACGTAGTTAATCACAGTCCGCTTGTTTTATATCTTAATATGATCTAACTACTAAAATATAGTTTATTCTTAGTGTAGAGCTGTCATTGATTCAGTGCAAAGCATATCAACGATATATCGATATCAAGTGACTAAAATCAACGATACACCGATATATCGATAATATCCTATACTCACTTGTTTGTCATTCACTTTCATACCTGTTTCAATGATTTCAGTCAAAAACATGTTCTGTACAGTGTCTTGTCCACTGCATGATTTTTTCCAGACAATATTTTTTGTCACCATTGCTATGAAATAATTCCACTATATAACAAAAGCATAACATTAGATATAAATAACTGCTTCTGTATATATTTTGGGTGAATTGTATAATTTCTAGACATTTAATATATTAGTGAAAAGTATCGATTTTTTAAAATGTGTATCGATTATTGATCGGCAAAAAAATATCAACGATACATCGATATTGTCGATATCGATGACAGCTCTATCTTAGTGTCATAATATTACCAATAAGGCAATTTAAAAGACCTACAGTAAATATTTGAATATAATGTTTCCTTGATTTAAGATATTTGCAAAATTATTATAAATCATTCTGAATATTAACCCTTATCACATTTAAAGCTGCCTTAAACTTTTTTTTAATTTTTGGGTAAATCATTTTATAAATTGTCAAATCAAATTAGTATTATATTTAGGTAGAAAATGAAATTTGCTGATGATAAAATCATGATAAACCTCTAATTTACTGTTTTGAAGAAGGCTTTCAGTGATATGATGCACTTTTCCAAGATAAAATTACTAAAATACATTGCTCATTGTAAACCAGTCCACTTATGAAAAAAATGCCAATTGTAGCCCAGTCCACTTTAAGTCACACTGTCACAGTATCAATAAATCAAAAACTTAAGCTCGGCCATACATAAAATAATTCAATAAACTTATAAAGTCTCACTAAACGTTCATAACGATCATTTTGTAAGTTTGTTTTTGTAAAGTGTGATATTGATAAAATATATTAAAATTTATAAAATAATATAATGATATGGATTTTCTTCAACAAAGAAAGTTTTCTGCTTGGAAGTCTTAAGAATAACTATAAATCGGAAAATTTTCAATTTAAAAAAATAGGATAAAAAAAAAGATCTTTTCATTGTGCCTTTTATATAAAATTTCTATAGATCTATAGAATTTGATTGAACTATTTGTAAAAGATGTTTAAATAATCATTAGAAAAGATATTATAATACCTACTTAAAAGTATATTAAGTGTTCAAGTTAAATTGTGTGGTCATGATTTTAATAGATTCAAATTTAATATCAGAATACATGTACATTTCAAAAAGAATTTTCTTATTGCAATACAAAAATTTAATGTTACTTAAATCAATTTTAAAGAAACCTTCAGCTTTAGATATGTTATTTTTAGATAGATCATTTCATATCATTGTAAAATCAAAAGAATCTAGGAGGAAAATGAAATTTGCCAACGATAAAATATATAAGCAATAAGGAAATCCCTCGATCTACTTGTCTGCTCTCTATAAATTATTAACATCAGTAAACTCGTTTTTCTGATCTTCTATTTTTAGAAACGAATGTCTTTGACGCATTATAAATAACTCTTGAGACGCTATGTTGAAGAAGGCTTAACAGTGATATGATACACCTTTCTAAAAAGATAGAGTTACTGAAATACTTAGTTTGAAACAACACAGAATTTTTTTTCCATCAGACAATAAAAACTGAAGGCCACTTTGAAGAAGAAAATAAAAACCCTCAAAAACATGAAGATTTAGATTTGCATTTAAAGAATACATGAATGTTTAATAAAATAAATTTTCAAATTCAATTAATTAATTAAATTCGCATCTATAGATGGCAGTTTTAAGGTCTATTCCCACAATCAATTTAAGGTTTTGGGTATTCCTTAAAAAACGTCTTTTTCCAACTAAAAACCTGATGGGGAAAAAAATGCTAAATTTTGGGTTTTCAGGTTTTTTTTTGACAATTCAACTTTTAACAAGTGTTTTGTTGTATTTTCAGGACAAGACAGAGTGGTGCAGTCATGGATTTAATTGTGGATAAAGTGAACCACTTTAATGAGTTCTACACATGGGCTCTCTCAGTGTCAGGTTTGTGTCTTTATTTATACATGTTTTATTCCTCACACTCTATTTGTCCCATGACCAGAAAATATCATAAAAAAATTTACTAAAGATGATTTTTCGCCCCTCAAACCAGTTTTTTTTTCCAAACAAAAATGATGATTACCTTTCTTTTATCTACATTAGAATGTCTTTTATCGAATCTATTAGTATTACAGACAAGTTACTGCTCAAAATAATAACTTTTTGACATGATTTATCAAAAATATTTTTTTTTTATTTCAGACAAGCGAGTGGAGGACTGGTTTCTCATGCAAGGTTACGCTCCGACGCTCATCATTACAGCCATATATGTCATCTTCGTAACAAAGATCGGGCCAAAGTTCATGGAGAACAGGGAACCATATAGACTGAAGTGGCCTATAGTTATTTATAACTTTGTTTGTATAGCCATCAACTTTCATATATGTTCGCAGGTAAACTCAATATTTCTATTTTTAGACTTTCAATTTTATAATGAGCAGAGTTATTTCTGTGCATAAAATAGGTCTGAATTAATTTAGAAATCTTCCCAATTTAGAAAATTTCCCAAAAACTGAGGATTTTTCCCAACTATTCTTTGTGATACCTCCATCAAAGCGTCAGGGTGGTAAATGAATTTTAAGATTAACTTAAACTTTTACAAGAGTACTTTAAACTCATTGTTGATGAAAAAAATTCTTATTTTTTTCCAATTTTCAAAAGCTATTGATATATGACAGGCATGTTTGGTGTTGTTTTTTTAAAGAAATAAACTGGGGAAAAAATCACTGTCTAGTTTATGGGTTGTCATAATAAAATGTATATTTTTTTTATACAGAAAAATGTGTTTCATTGGAATCTTTGTCAGTTATTTTATTTGTTAATTACAGACTGGATTTATCCCAAATGCAATAGAAGTTTTATATATTGGAAGGGACAAAACTTGCACAAAACAAATATTTCTGTCTCAGTAAAGTTACTTCCCTTGATGATTATTTTTACCTGCCTATAGGTCTGACACTTATATTAGACTGGGGTCCTAAATTTGCATTGAAATCACCAGATATTCCATTGTGTGAGACTAAAAAAGGATTTGAGCACCACACTAAATACCGTATTCCGGTATATACCGGACAAGGCGGTTGAATGCTAATATCTTTTCACCCAACAGAATGAACTTTAAAATGTCTAATTCATCAATTCACAAGGATTTATGTATGATAATGAAAGAAAAATGTAAGAAATGGCTAAAAAATGATATTCGGTATTTTGTGATCATGATTTCTGCAAGCATCTAGAAGTACAGCACCAGTCCTGTATTGAGTTAATAAATCCTATTGCATTTATACAAATATACAGCTTGTTTGTATGTTTTATTTCAGCTATTATATAACACGACAATGGTAGGGTACAGCTATTCCTGTCAGACTGTTGATTATTCTGACAATCCTTATGAAGTTAGAGTGAGTATACAATATATACATACATATAATTTTATAGAAGTATGATCTATGAACAGGTTAATGATATCAAAATAAGAAGAAAATGAAGAAGTACAACACGTCAACACCAGAGCTGGTTTAGGTTATTTATTTTCAAACCGGTTTCAGTTTTATCGAACCTTCATCTGAGGATAATTATATATAAAATCAAGTGTGCAACACTTTAAATTTTGATGTGCTGTGCATTTTATATTTAAGAGTAAAGTCAGTAAAAGACTAGAGCTAGTACACCTTTACTTTACCTTGGTTGCTGCTGAATTCTTATTGAACAGACTCAAACTTAAAGCAGGTTTAACCAATTGCATAAATTTGATTTGTTAATGGCTAAATAAATGTTATTTTTTTGTCTTTTTCAGATTGCAAAGGCACTCTGGTGGTTTTATTTCTCAAAATGTATAGAAATGTTGGACACAGTGTTTTTTGTATTACGTAAAAAGAATAACCAAGTTAGCTTTTTACACGTTTATCATCACGCCACGATGTTCCCAATATGGTGGATGGGAGTAAAGTGGGTAGCTGGTGGCCAGTGTAAGTTACGATTGATCAGTTGTATAGGTCAAGTCTTGATAAACTATAGTAATTTTGAAGTAAGAAAATTTTTTTTTATAGAACTAAGTTGGCTGATGGAGGTTTCTTGAGCCTTTGACTGAAAGCCTCCTTTTGCTTTATCTACGGACTTTGTGGGTAGTTTAAGTAAAGGTTATAGGTTATATACAGAGTTTTAAGAAAATTAGTTTCCTAAAACTCTGTTGTATATAACCTATAACCAATTTACAGTTAGCCCCGCCCATTCAAATCGAGTGCATTTGCTCATTTTTGCTCATTTAACATATAGATTTAATACATACAGTTGAGTTACAGCACTGAATGGTTATATTTTGGCAAAATTTAAACTAAATAGAGCGATTTCATTGGCAAACTGTAAGTTTATATATCAATTTGATGCATTTGAGTTATAAAAATCTCGTTAAAGCTCAAGTGAAAGTTAAAAGTGATTTACCAAATTGAGTGGGTCACTGTTGGCCATTTGAAGTGAAATCCTTGGTTTTTCTTCTTTGAAGAAAATTTATAAAACACTTCTGAATATTTTAGATGTGGTTGATTTGTTTTATAATTTTAATTTTCCATTTTTCTTTTTACAGCATTCTTCGGTGCCATGGTTAATTCGTTCATTCATGTGATCATGTACACATACTACGGAATTGCTGCCCTTGGACCACAATACCAAAAATACCTCTGGTGGAAACGATACCTGACCATTATTCAACTGGTATGTTCACCACTGTACAGCTTATTAAACCTGAAACCTGCTAAATCTATAAAATGGATTCACCCTGCTTTGAATTTGGAACAGTCCATTCAAAGTTTGAGGGATTTCAGTATCAAATTTTGAGCTAGGTTGGACTGCACAGGGATGCAGCCTGGCACGGCTCTACACTCGTGACAAATACCATTCAACTTTTAGTTAAAGCAGGTTACAGGTTTATGCTATTAATTTATACTGTAATTTAACAGCATGTAAGGAAAATAATTGTATATAGCTTAATGCAAAATTGATTTTTAGCCATATTATTTATTTCAAGCCATATTGCTTAGCTTAATTGCGGAAGTTACGATCTGTGGACCTCAGATTTGTTAATTTACATCTTACGTAAGGTATATGTCTTTTGTGTGGTGGTTTTGTAGATGACAACATGTCTATTGGTAGTCTTTCTCCATTACTGTTCCAAGTTCACTGTGTGGAAAAGTTTTTAGTTACTTTTAGTACAGAGGGTTTGTGTTGATATAAAATTCTCGTACCTTAGCCGTGTCATTGCTCTAAACCCTCGTCCAAAAAAAAAAAAATCGGACAAAAAAATCTTCACATCAGTGATAGTAATGAGTCATCAGTGTTCACACTAACATTTGAAACTTCGGGTTAAAATCATGCGTTTCTTTCATTTTTTACTCAAAAAGTTTGTATAGACATGACTGTATGAAAACCCTATTTTTTGGTAAAATGTCCCTATATTGTGGTAATTGGAAAACATTATATAATTAATATTGGAAAAAAAAAATAGCATAAATGCTTTAACAATAATTGCAATTTTTTCATTAAATGGAGCTTTAATTGGATGAATATGCTTTAGTATTATGTGCATGTAGACAAAATTATTTCAATAACAAAATGCTTTTGCTGTTAAGACTAAATTTGTTTCAGATTTGGTAAACAGCCCCAAGAGCAAAGAGAGTTAATCACACTTTAACAAAACATGTAATCAGTCTATATAAATATATATAATACACAGTTTAGGGTAAACAGCTGCGGTAAAATGTAAATGCTTTAATATAACACAACATATTCCAGCTTGAATATTTAAAATAGAATTATTATGATCTTATGAACATCATGTAGTTACAGAATAAAGCCTTGCCATTGGTCTATTTTTTTCAAACCTGGAATAAGCAGAAACTAATTTTTAAAGCCTTCAGTTTTTCTAATGGTTAAATATGTTATTTTTAGATAAATTGCTTCATTTAATTGTCAAATCAAAAGGATTAAGGTGGAAAACAATTAGGAAACCTCTTGATACATCTTATTTATTGGTCAACTCTCTATATGTAAATTCGTAAAGAGAACGTATTTAATTTTGCGATCTTCTATATTTAGAAATGAACATCCTTGTTGAATTATAAATAGCTCTCAGGCCACAGTTTTTGAAGAAGGCTTAATAGTGATATGATGGACTTTTCCAAGATAGAATTATTGAAATACTTAGTTTGAAATAACACAGAATTGTTTTTTCAACAAAAAATTAAAGCTGAAGGCCGTTTAAATTAAATTTAAATAAAAAAAAATCCCAACAAATTATGAAGTATATACATGCAATTATAGAATGAGGCCTTGCTACTGGTAAATTTTTCAAACATGGAATTAGCAGTAACTAATTTTAATCATCACTTTAGATATACATATATCTGTCTCAATTTATGCTCCAAAAATAGTGTGATCACATGGAGCTCTGTGTTTTTATAAGAAAATACAGAATTTATACAGTAAAAAATTGCAAAAGTTTTTTTTGACAATTAGACATATTAGAATTTGTAGAAAATATTTGGATTAGGTTTATAACCCTTAGCTTACTTAATATTTAAAATGGACTTGTCCATCTTTCAATTTGGACAAAACCATTATTATTTTTAGGGGGAAATAAGTACTGGTTACTAGTACAGATCATGATCACTGATTTTGATATGACAAAGATCACAGTGCTGGCTGATCTTGGTCTGCACTGGTGGCATGGATACATTCATTTGTCATATAGGATGCCTTTGAGATAATCTGATAAGAAATAACCCAAATCTTTACCTACCATATACCCTATAAAAATAATGCTACATCTATAGTTGAAAGTTTATATAAAAAACTGCACATTATAAATTTCATACAATGATATTGTAATGCTAAGAAAACATAAACTTTAACTCAGCAGACATATGAAAAGGAACAGTGCATTTCGAATACATGCAGTCTTAATGCTAGGACCAATTGTTTTGCTTTTTTTTCATTTGAATTTTTTCATTCTGTTAAGATCATTTTCTTAATCAATATATATTATACCTTACATGAATACGTTCCTTCCATATTGACAAAAGTGTCAACGGGCCTTTTAATAGTATGATATTCCCAATGACGTCAGTGGTCCGACAAAAAGTTATAGTTACCACATGAGCGGGTCCTATTATATTTTTCTCGGATTGCTAAAATTTAATGGCTATTGACAGCGATGCTTTTTTACAAAAATACACAGGATATAAGCCGTCTGCCAGCAATTTTCAATACTTTTTAGGAGAAATTTTGCAATTAAAACAATATGATTTACAACTCTACAAACTGTTCTTAGAAAGTGCGTTAAAATAGAAGAAATAGATCACAAAAATTTGGACCTGATAGCTTTATAGTGACTTCCATTTCACTCCAAAACATGGAATGGACCTCAGCCTTTGGCTTCGGTCTGTTGAATATATGCAGGACTGGTTAATTGTTTGATCACCATAATGCTATGACGCCCTCAGTGATGTGTACTATTTCTTAGATATTTACAATAAGATAATCAATCAGTTATGCATGATTTTCTGGAGCATGATTTTCAATGAACAAAATAACTATAAATGTTTACATTATTTAAATGGCATGCCTTGTAAAGGCACTGTTTGTGTATTTGTAACTCTAAGGTCAAGCTTAAATTTGATGGTCAAAGGTCTACGTCATATGCTTATATTAGATTATTAAAGGTCATGTTCATGCATTATTAATCAAAGGTCAAGCTTATATAATATTCAAGGGTCAAGCTCATTAGAAAAAGTCAAATGTCAATGTAATATTAGTCAATGACCAAGGTCATGTTATATTAGATAGTCAAAGGTCAAGGTCATATTAAAGATAGTCAGAGGTCAAGCTTATCTATCTATCTTATCTTATATAAAAAAATAGTATTGGTACAAAACCCAGTTATGCTCTCATTTACCCGCCATGAAGGATTTGTTTGAAAAATTGCTACAAATTAGTGTTGAACCGTAAGAAACATAGAAACAAAATTTCACCTACCAATTTCATTTTCACTTGTTTCGCATTTTTTTCATCAAAGTCATTTGCCTGCCACCGTTCCATTTCACAGACTGATTGCATGTATTGTTAAGTGTTTTAATGACGGCCTGTTTGTTTTTGTCCACAGATCCAATTTTTCGCTGGTATGGTGTATGGTCTACAGGGCATTATTATTGAATGTGATTATCCAAGATGGATGCTGTGGACGTCCCTCGTGTACGGTGTTACGATAATCACCCTTTTCTTAAACTTCTATATTCAAGCTTATATAAAGAAACCAAATACAACTAAGGTAATATTGCACTGCTATTGTTACGTTCCTTTTTTTTTTCTTTTGTTATTTTTAGATTCAGTTCAACATTGGAATTATTCACGCCGTACAATCGTTAGTGCTGAGTTGCGAGTTTCCATTATGGATGCAATACGCCGTGGTGTTTTATGCATCCACCATTCTAGCCTTATTTCTCAACTTCTATTTTCAAGCTTATATCAAATCTCATCGAAGAAAGGTATATTTTTATCATTGCAAACGCTTTTTTTTTATCATCAATTGTATCATTTTAAAAGCATGTTCAGCTGAATATTATTTGAAATGTTTATGTATCGTTATTTTGACTTAATGTAGTTATGTACTCACCAAGGTGTCAGCTTTTGCATCACACTTTGGTTAAGTCTTTGTTTTCAAAAAAAAAAAACAGTTTAATTTCACTGAGGCTCCTTTAGTGTAATGCAAACATAAGCATGCTTTTGCACTATGTTTGTATATAACACAAATGATGTGTCACATCAAATTGTCATCACACTAGTGTTTTTATTAAAGGGCTTTATTACACTCCTGCGATGTGATTTATGCAATAAAAAAACTATAGAAACTTTTAACTATATTTTTTTTCAGACAAATTTATCTAAATTTTTATCTCTGACATATTTATTGACGTTTTAAGCCTTTAAATATTTTGTGATTATTTATTATAGGTTAAAGAAGTGGAAGAGAAGAAAAAAGGAGAAGTTGCAAATGGAGTTTCAAACGGGCACACAGAAAGTAAAAAGAAAAAGTGAATTATCCTCATTAGTTCAGATATGTCTCGTTAACGTAACAAACTAAGTTAAGGGCGCAATACTCTTCAGAATGACTTTATACCGGTATTTGTCAGGACTTTCATTTTTTGAGCCGAGTCACGACAAAACCAACATAATGGGTTTGCGACCAGCATGGATCCAGACCAGCCTGCGCATCTGCGCAGTCTGATCAGGATCCATGCTGTTCGCTTTCAGTTTCTCTACTTGTTATAGGGTTTGTAAGCAAACAGCATGGATCCTGATCAGACTGCGCGGATGCGCAGGCTGGTCTGGATCCATGCTGGTCGCAAACCCATTATGTTGGTTTTGTCGTGACACGGCTCAATCATAACAGCATTGGCCTATAGTGCCGGCTGAAGCTGATGCTATCTCGTCAAATGTCTGCGATGTAGTTAGTATATTTTATGTGTTCCGAGTTAAGATTTTTTTTTAAAATTTCTTTTAAAGGAATTTTTTGTTTTTTGTTTTGTGCATTTTACGTGCATGACATTTTACAAGAATTAGGATGATGTCACTTTAAAATACTAGTATATAAGCAGTAAAACCTGTTACTGCAATAAGATAACGAAATATTTCTTGGATCATTTTACTGTACAACTTTATACATGCTGAACTTTATGAACAATTTAATGGTCTTTGACAACAGGTTACCTGTATTCACAGGTTATAAATTTAACACATGGTTTAAAGAGTCAAAAAAGTGGCCTGGTTCACAGGTTAACAAATTCTAAAATTAGAAACAAAAAGCCGGCCTCAAGATTATTTAACTTTTTTTCTGAGTTCTGTCTCAAATCTCAGGATTTTCATTGGTCAGTGAACATTCTGTGACGGTTTCTGACCAATCAAATGCCTGAGATCTGAGGTTAATCTTAGAGAATTTCTTTATAACCTTCGACCTTGTCTATGGTCTCTGTTCAGAGGTGGTCTGTGATAAGAGATTTTACTTTAAAACACATCTACAGATCTTTGTCAATAAAGAAAATGATTGCAAAATTTCAGATTTGTAAAAATGTAAAATATTCTGAATTTGAAAGTTTTTATTGTTTTTGGTTTGCTATACATGTTATAAGCTCTCGGTTAATTAGTTTATATAATGAAAAAGACTTACAAATCATGTGTTTTGCTGAAAAAGAATCTTTTTTCATTTAGAAGATCTGATATACTATTTTGTACTTTTTTTTCAATAAATTTATTGTTATTTGTGAAAGAATTTTTTATAGCTTTCATTTAAATCTGAATTTTTTTTTTTTTCACTAAAATCATTAAAATTTTATATACCAGTAATTATAATTATATCTCCTATTTTGTTGTGTATTGTAGAAATCCATTTTTGCTATTTGGTCACCTATCGCCGAAATCCACAGATTTATTTTCCGTCCCCATTAAAACATTGTTCATTCTGAAGCCATGACAATTTAAAAGATTACAGTCTAGTGATGATGCATAAATTATGTATTATATATATATATATATTTTTTTTTTTTCATTTTTTTTCTTTTTTTTTTTTTTTTTTTTTTTTTTTTTATGAAAATCATTTCATTTTTTATTCATTGTGAGCGTGTGATAGTTACGTTATAATTATTCTGTGAAACAGATATGCAATTACACATGGGCAATATTAGAATACAATCATAGGAAAATGTTGAATATTTTTTAGATATTGTATTGTAATAGCCAGTTATATTTTGTATATTTTCAATATTGCTCAAACTTTGAACCTGCAATTTTTGTTAACTTTGATGAAAGTCTGATATATATATTTTTTAAATTATTTTTTTTGGGGTGAAAATATAACCTGATTTTGTGAAATGGACTTTTCCTGCTTTGAATTTGGAACAGTCCATTAGTAATTTCAGGGAATTCAATCTAACCCTTTACCTTCCGGATCTAAAAATGATTTAACTTTTGCCACCAGAATAGAGCCAGGCCAGCCTGCAGATCCAGGCAGTCTGACCAGACTCTATTCTGTTGGCTGACTTACTTTAAATTTTTATCCTGATATACCCAAATTGATAATTGACAGTTCCAAAAAATGGAAACTGGACAAGTTCATTTAAGAAATTCAGGGGGTTAAGGGTTAACAATGTTTATTCTGAGCATCAAACAGTATATAGTCAGGTCAGACATCAAGGTCGTACAAGATGGCATAGGTCTGAAACTATAGTTATTAGTGCAGTAGTAAGTATTTGATATTTTTGATAATTTCACTGAATTGTTTAGATATTCAAGAATGTAAAAATGTTGCCTTAGTGCAGTAACGGGTTAAGTCCTTCAAAATTTACTAGAAGTTAACCAGTTATTGGACTACGGTGACTAATGAGCGTGGTTTTGTCTACAACTCTTATATGACCATCAGATTGTTAAGTATATTTAAAACTATATTAATTTTTTATTGGAATTTTATATTCTGATATTTGCATACATGTAGTTTGAATGAAAAAGGAAATGAATGAAATGGCACTATGTTATGTTAGAAAACTATGATTTTTATTATTGATTTTGCAGTGATTATAAACAATTGCATATTAAGAATTGTTAAAGTTACTATCTCTGGACTGCAAGTGTTCTAATAAAGACAAATGAGCCGCGACAAAACCAACATAGTGCGTTTGCGACCAGCATGGATCCAGACCAGCCTGCACATCCGCGCAGTCTGATCAGGACCCATGCTGTTCTCTACTTGTAATAGGGTTTGTAAGCGAACAGCATGGATCCTGATCAGATTGCGCAGGCTGGACTGGATCCATGCTGGTCGCAAACCCATTATGTTTGTTTTGTCATGACACGGCTAAATTATTTTCTGAACAGTACGTGGATAACTTATAAGTGTAGACATTACACCTGAATTTCATACCCTCTTACACATAAGGATTTTCATATTGTAGTCATATTTGTGTGTATGTGATACATCCAGTATTTACAGGTATATTACAAAATGAAATATTTTATAGTGTCTAAAAACTTTTATTATTTATATTTATATTAATTTTGTGATGAATTATTTTTATCATATTTATACTATTTTGAACTTGCTGATTTTGTTACTGCTTAAGTTATTTTGATAAAATCTTAATATAGTTATATTGTTTTGTTATTTGATAAATTATATAGTTATAATAATCATATAATTATTCAAAATGATCAATTTACATCATATGTATATTATCCATTATTTTCTACTTTTGTATATTTTTTTTAATGATATTTTCATGTAAATAAAATATATTCTTTTTTGAAATTTCCTTTTTATAAATGATGTCCAGTGATTACCATTCCATAAAACCCCTATTGAATGTTTAAGTGGGTGTTACCATTCAGATAATTTAGTAATTTAAACCAAATTACCTTTAAATGTGTGAGTTATCATCCATTCTTACCTGTAATTCAAAGATTATTTATCAATTCCATCATTTTGATGCTTAAGTTGTTATGCCTCCAGATGAACCAAAATATTTCAAGAAAATCAAACTTGAGAAAAAATGTATTGAGGTTTTATGAAAAGTAAAAAGACTGAAGATAAAAGTAATAATTTCCATGTTATTTGCGATAAATGGCCGATTTTTCAGTAATTTTCACCATATTTCTACTGCGATACTAACGCAGTATGGGCTAATTTTGCATATTTTGACCTCTTTTTGGTAATTTACATGGGTTGTTAGTGCTGTTTGAAATGCACATATTATTTTCTTTGTTGGTTTCACAATATTTTACTTTTTAATACATTTTTCAAAATTTTCATGAAAATTAGCAGGAATCTGGAGGCGTGCTTCTTTAACACTTTGGCAGCAACAAAAATTACCCATACAACCAGTGCTGACCAATTTCAGCACACTCATTTCGTCTGATCATGGTCTGCACTGTTCTCTATTCAGTCAGAACTTTATATTTTGAAAATTTCTCTAAAAATGATGAATGGTTTTGTCCAGATTGAAATACATTGTATGGATGAGTCCATTTAATATATCTAGTGTGGTTGCGATATTATCCATCTACACTCATCCAAGTTAACTATAGATACTTAAAATTTATGAAAATCATATGTACCGTAAAAACCTGCAACATCAAAGTGTAACCTACTTATAGTTTCAGTCATTCATATAACTTGTCTGACTAGCTTAAACACGTTTTTCTAAAGTAAAAGAATTTATTTCTCATAAATTCATGCTGATAGGCCAGTCTGGCTGGGCAATTATACATGTATATCTTATGTGTCACACTGATACCATTCCATTCACTTTATAGTTTTTTAGTGAAAAATAAAGAGAGAAGAAAAGTAAATTGTACACTGTCTTGGTGTCTTTTATTTATCCGAAGAACACTATATATATATTTACAGGGCCGGCAAAATCTGATCTCGACTTACTTGTACATGTATGTTTTATCTGATTTAATTCTTACTTGTCCGCATTTTTAAAAAAAAGTAAATTCTGGTAAAATTTGACTTGTCGTACTCAGGCTGTTTACCCAGGGCAAATTGAACAATTGATTTTGCGGCCCCTGGTTTATCTAACTATTGTGCAAGGATTGTAAAAGTAATGAAAAGGTTACCCGATGACAGATTTGGTTCATTCCTAATTGTGTTGTCTGATAATGTTGACATCAAACGACTAGTAATAATTACTATAAGTTTCTACCGACTGAGCTATCCAGCTGCTTACACACTACCAGAGCTGCATCAGTACTAAGGGTGTAGTACTTAAGTACCAGTACCAGTACTTGGCAAATTATGCAGTACCATTACCAGTACCAGTACTAGATTTTAGCTCGGTACTGCAGTACCAGTACTTGTTTTGGTGAAGTAATTAAGTAGCAGTACCATTACTTTTATATATTCATCAAAATTTGAATAAATACAGTGTCAAACAAATAATTGCAAATATTATTCAGCAAAGAAATAAAATCATAATTTACTTTAAAGTTAACATAACATTTTTACAACTTTATAGTTTTAACATACTTTTTACAAACAATATTTACAACATATATTTATGTCATATCTTATTGTTTAGTAACCAGTCAACTGTAACACAATGCAATCATCTTTCATTTAAAACACAACAGTCTTATGTTGTCTTTCACACCTCTGTTCAATTTATACCAAAGTGAAAGTAAATAACAATTTTTATGGTGCTAACAATATCACTTGAAATAGGATTATTTAGAATAGAAGCAATTAATTAGTGATTATTTTGCTCTTTTACTAGTAAATACAAGGTAATATAAAAGATTTTAATAAGGATATTTTAGGGTAAATAGTTATTGAGTCTGTTTATCTCAATTTAATTTTTACTTAAAGTATTTGGTGCTTTTTTTATGATGAATACTATGTTATCATTTGAAGGAATATTGTAGCAAATTATCTATAGATTTGATAACTTACTTTTTCACAAAAATAAAATAATGTAATTTACAGCTTTATTTCTTGAGAAAAATTGATGCTTTTTTTTATCAAAACCAAAAGTACTGCCTAGTAATGCAGTAGCAGTACCACTTTTTAAGACAGTAATGCAGTACCAGTACCAGTAGTAGCAAAATTTTGTAAGAGTAATTCAGTATCAGTACCAGTACTTGCAAAATCGCTGCAGTATACACTGCAGTACCAGTACCAGTAATGCAGCTCTGCACACTTCCTAATTTGTGAACAATTCAAAACGTATGAATGGCTGTGATTTTAAGTAAATTCTAAGACCAAAATAGACGACTCAGAGGAATTTATTGTCAGCAATAAATACTTCTTGTGAGCTAAATGTCAACATTATGATCTGATTTATACAAAGAGGTATATTCTTTTCAAAGAAGTAATTGCTGACAATAAATTCCTCTGAGTCGTCTATTTTGGTCTTAGAATTTACTTAAAATCACAGCCATTAATACGTTTTGAATTGTTCACTAATTAGGGTATGTAGTGTGTTAGCAGCTGGATAGCTCAGTCGGTAGAAACCGCGGTACAGTATTCTGAGGCCCCCAACCCACCCATCTAAAATTACACAACTTAACAGTTTAGAGCCTGTTACAGACCTGTACATCAGCTTTTTATTCATATTAAGTCTTTGCCACCAGTATAGACCTTCATGCAGCATCCCTTAAACTCCAAATGAACTGTTCCAAATTCAAAGCAGGGCAAATCCATAACAGAAATTCAACAGATTACAGGTTAACTCAACATACTCAGCAGGTAATGAGTAAACTTTACATAAATTTAGCAGGCTAAAAGTTGTTTTTATACAACATTGCTTGGTAACTGGTTAACTCTTCACAAATCCAGCAGGTAACTGGTTACCTCTAATAAATTCAGCAGGTTACTGATTAACTACACAAATTTGGCAGGTTACAGGTGCCATCTACACAAACTTGGCAAGCCACAGGTCAACTCTACACAAATTTGGCATGTTACAAGTTGTTAACTGTACACAAACTTGGCAGGTTACAGGTTAACTCTACACAAATTTGGCAGGTTACTGGTTAACTCTACACAAATTTGGCAGGTTACAGGTTAAGTTAACTCTACACAAATTTGGAAGTAAACAAATAAAATTCTACACAAATCCAGATGTTACAGGTTAACTCTATACAAATTCAGCAAGTTATGGATTAACTCATCAGTTACAGGTTAACTTCACAAATTTAGCAGGTAAGGAGTTAACTCTACACAAATTCAGACGGTTACAAGTTAACCCTACACAAATTTAGAAGGTTACAGTTTAACTCCATGTTATTTTTTCAGTTTGTTAATATACCTGTAAGGCATAAATGCAGACATCATATTAGGCTGGGTTAAGGTAGGGATACTGATATATAAAACAAAAGGAAAAACAAAAGGTTTAAGTTTTTAATCATCTAACTTATATGGATTGTTGATGGACATCAAAAGAGAGAAGAGTACATTCTGATAATAATGTCTATGAATGAACAAGAAATCTATAAAATTTCAACCAAATATTGTTCTAGTACAAAAATATCTTGTTATTAAAACAACATGCAAATAGTTTAGATCATGAAGCATGTAAAATATTTTTTAATACAATTTTTGTTGGTAGACATCAGGAAAGAAAAGTTCACAGGCAACAGTCTTTAAATTAATGTTTGCTTCAAAATATTAACCAAATACAGTCAAATCTGCAGCATGGCATCACTTAGTACATTGAATACAAAGTCTTTCAATTTAAAATCCAACCATTCACTGAGGATTCTTATTTCAATGCATAATCTTTACTGTTTCAGTACATATCTTTACACATGCTGTAAAATCATCAAAACAATCAGATGTACTTAACATTATTATACTTTTACCTTCGATCTAAAGACTGATTACTCATACGCTTTTGTAAGTGATTTCTGTCTGAAAATGGCTGAAAATGGTAGCCAAACAAATCCACAATAATTTATAAAGATATATTGACAAGGTCATAGGTCAATGTTAAGTACATTTTTTGTCCTATTCAGTTGAAAAGCAGCTTCTATCTAGAACCAAAAATAAACTCTATTTAGTTTACAGCGTAACGTTTCTGTATATAATATTACTGGAATTGCTTGAGTTTTCAATATAACAGAACACTAAAACATTTGAGCCGCGTCACGACAAAACCAACATAATGGGTTTGCGACCAGCATGGATCCAGACCAGCCTGCGCATCCGCGCAGTCTGATCAGGATCCATGCTGTTCGCTATCAGTTTCTCTACATGTTAAACGGTTTGTAAGCGAACAGCATGGATCCTGATCAGACTGCGCGGTTGCGCAGACTGGTCTGGATCCATGCTGGTCGCAAACCCATTATGTTGGTTTTGTCGTGACGCGGCTCATTTTCTTCATACTATACATATCTTATATGAAACATGATGACTTTTATCAACCGTATGCATAGTTAATGCGTTACGTTATAAAAAAAGGTGCGTGCAACTGTGATACTGCCATTGTTTACATTTTTTTACTATATAATTTATAACAGGAGTAATCTTACATTCATTTGATGGTTTTTTTTTCATATGAATTTACATTAAAAACTTGTCCCAGGAATGGACACTTTATATTTAAGTCTACATGAAATAATAACGTATAATAAATTCCTAATATAATCATCTTACCATACTCTCAAATCAGTTTTCAAATCTTTACTCTACAATTTGTATGAAGGATATTAAAAACAAGCTTTGCAAAGTTGTTTCCCTTTAACATGAAAAGTAAAGCCCAGTCTACATCAAAGTAATGGCAAAATGAATAAATGTGATAATCAGTCTAAACAAAAGCATCTGATTGGCTGCCTCTTGAACTGAAAAAATTATATCCGACTAATCATAATGGATAATTTTGAAAAAAAAAAGATTATAGATGGAGTTTCATATCCAAAGCATAGCATATTAAAATAACAGATGTTTAAACATGTTTTGAAAATGTTTGTTACAAGTTGTTCTGTATTACACACAGCAATATAATGCTTAAACTAAATAGAATTTCTTCAAAGACACAAATTAATAGCAAACAGATTAACAAATAAACAAGACTTACTCAACAAAAAAGAGAAGAAAAGAAAAGAATAAAGTCTCCATCCGAGACTGTGAAGGTATTTTTACCAAGAAATACAAATATATCCATATATTGCAACAATTACAAAATACCGAAAAAAAAAAAAAATTGTAAAAAAAATATAATTGAATCAAACAAGTCATAGCGTTAATACAATAAAATCTAGCACTTTAAGCCGAGGCCCTGTTCAAGTGACTGAACCAAACTTCATCAAGATAAAATAAACGAAAAAAACAAAACATATGAACTATCATTGAGAATGTAAACCGAAAATGAAAACTGCCCAAAGAACTGTTAAAATTAACCGACCTACATCGTGAAATTGAATCTTTGCCAGAAATATTGACCTGAATTTTAATAAAGTATCTTTATAGTTCAAGCATAATTTTCAGTTTTTTTCAGTTTGTTTAATTACTAATTAGTTAGCAAAAGTATATCTATAAACATTGATCATTTACAAATTGACAGTTACATGACCCCTTAACCTACTGGAAGATAAAATAATTGACCTTTGACACCAGTATAGACCCAGGCCAGTCTGCACATCCCTGCATTCTAACCAGGCTCTTTACTGTTGGTAGCTAAATTTTTGTTTCCTGTATCTGAAGTTCCTTAAACTGTAAATGGACTGTTCCAAATTCAAAAGCAGGGCAAATCCAATTTTACAAATAAGGTAAAGATTTAATCACATGTTTTTAGAAATTGCATTAATACCAACCTATTTTGGGAGTATCTACATTTGAGCCACGTCACGACAAAACCAACATAGTGCGTTTGCGACCAGCATGGATCCAGATCAGGATCCATGCTGTTAGCTATCAGTTTCTCTACTTATAATAGAGTTGGTAAGCGAACAGCATGGATCCTTATCAGACTGTGCGAAGTGCAGGCTGATCTGGATCTATGCTGGTCGCAAACGCACTATGTTGGTTTTGTCGTGACGCGGCTCATTTATGCCTGTCTTCGGCCAGATTGCTATAGATATAAGCAAGCATTTTATCTGTAGATTAATGATTGCAAACCAGCAGATGGAAGACATTATGTTTCTTTATTCACAAGTTTAAGTCTGCCTTGAGTATATATATATATATACACAGGTATATATTATGTATGTACTTCCATATAACACCAAAGGTTTTTATCATAGATTTTGATTGGACAATTGGGCAGTATATATTATCTTTATATATATATATACATATCTACAGCAAAATTATATTTTTTTGCGTTTCAGTCAAAGGAAGTATTATTAAAGACTTTTGACATGTTATATGACCTTATACAAAGACATTTGACAGGTTATATGTACATGTGTGAAGACATTGGACATGTTATTTGACCATGTGTGAAGACATTGGATAGGTTATATGACCATGCACAAAACCTTTTGACAGGTTATATGACCATGTACAAATACTTTGGACAGGCTACATGACCATGCACAAAGACTTTGGACAGGTTATATAACCAAAGACGTTGGACAGGATATGACCATGTAAAGATTTTGACAGGTTATATAACCTTGTACAAACAGACAGGTTATATGACTGTTGACAAGCTGTGTAGTGTTGTTTGCTATATATAATCATTTGCTTTCATATAAACTTATGTTTATATTGGGTCATATAACCTGACAAAATTGTTAAATCTGATATAACTATGTATATATATATATGAACCCATTCTAACACAGTCATGTCCAACTTTTCATGTTAGTTCACAGAACATTAATGTGTACGCTAGAGGCATAATGGTGGGCTTGTGTTAAAAAAATAAATCAGTTTTGTTTTACACTAAATAAGCAAAATACAGTTTTAATTTGGGCAGGAAAAAAAATATTTGAAATTCTAAGAAGCAAGAGCATGATATTTCTGTTTATTTTCATTCTTCAGTTTTATGAGAGAAATATTATAAAATAATGTCTTAGTAAACAGTATGAAATGACTCTATTTTAACATTGCTGAATAATGAGTATGTTTTAGTTTAACAGGTGGTCTACAAAAAATTCCTCTGTGAAATCTACCCATTAAAACAATCAACCAAAAAAACATATTGTTTTACTTTATTTTTTCCTTAAAAAAAATGCTTTCTGCTTCTTTTATATAATTAAGTAACTGTTATGCAGCTTAATCGAGTTTAAATCTTCAAATGCTAGCTTTCAGTTATTCAGGAATTGTTTCACAAAAATTGGCCTTATGAACTTTTAATATGTATACTAGTCAAAGAATTCTCAAGTATATTTAAGTAATGCAAAAGTATATGAGCCGCCTCACGACAAAACCAACATAGTGCGTTTGTGACAAGCATGGATCCAGACCAGCTTGATCAGGATCCATGCTGTTCGCTATCAGTTTCTCTAGGGTTTGTAAGCTAACAGCATGGATCCTGATCAGACTGCGCGGATGCGCAGGCTGGTCTGGATCCATGCTGGTGGCAAACACACTATATTGGTTTTGTCATGACGCTGCTCATATGTATTTTACATAAAACAGCCCTTTCTGTTAAGTATCTAAAGCCTATATTATCAACTTGAGCCATGAACGGCTGAATTCATTTTATTTCATATAACCACTCAAGTCATGAACGGCTGAATTCATTTTATTTCATATAACCACAAGCCATAAACAGCTGAATTTATTTTATTTCATATAACCACACATCCCATGAACGGCTGTATTTATTTTTATTTCATATAACCACACAAGCCATAAACAGCTGAATTTATTTTTATTTCATATAACCACTCAAGCCATGAACGGTTGAATTCATTTTTATTTCATATAACCAGAGTGAAATTAAGTACATTTAAAGAGCATTTTTAACAGAGGATTTGTCTGTAAACTTTCTATAACAAGAAATTAACAAACAACAAAATCATAACAATGACATGTACAATAATAGTTGAGTTGCAAACAAGTTCTTAAGTTAAAAAGTGTACAATTTTCAATTAATGTACTAGTGTATTCAACTGTAAATAACAATTGGACAATTTAACTAGTTTTTTTTTTTTAAACTTCTATATTATGTAATTGTCTCGTTAATAATATACACAGTTATGTGCTTTTGACAGTGGAAACTGGTCCAAAAATAAAAAAAATCAAGATAAAGAACAATCTTTTTGTTTTAAATTTTCCATTTGTCATTAACAGTTTATTTATGTTCCCCTAGATTTTCTTTGTAAGGGAGATGTTACAATAAAGTTTTACTATAGGAATGCTGTCATAATGTGCAGTAATATTACATATGTTTTGTCCAATTCCATCAAAATATATGCTAAAATCTGGTTTCTGTTTTTTCTCTTCTATTTTTATGGGTTTTTTTTTCTTTCTTATTTCTTTGTTTCGGACTTGGAGATTTGAAAAAATATTAACCATTATAGGGAATTAAAGCTTCATGCCTCCAGACAAGCTAGAATATTTCGAGAAAAACAAACTTGAGAAAAATGCACTAAGATTTCAATAAAAGTAAAAACATTCACAATTCCATAATTTACATGTTACATGCAGTTAAATAATCTGATTTTGCAGTATATATCATGATATTTCCACTGCGCAACTAACACAATAAAGGGCTATTTTTGCATATTCTGATTTTTGTAATTTTGGTATACTTCAAGAGCCAATTTTTAAGTGTTTCTTTGGTCAGTCACTTGACAGCATTTTACTTCACAATACATTTTTAAAAAAAATTCACGAAAATTAGCATAAATTTGGAGGCATTCTGCTTTAATGAACTAATATTACCATTGATGAATTAAGTAATGAAAATGAAAGAAGACTGAAGGTGATTCTCTTCTCTTAGAAAATGGCTACAACTATATGAATAGAATTCCCGTATTTTAGATCTATTATGCACATGTTTTAATAATAATGATAATATCTTACAGTAATTTGATTAAAGGCTCATTTTTTAACATATTTTCAAATGTGCCTACACCTTTTGTTATCCAAACCATGCTGAATTACTAACATGGCATCGGGTATATTTCCCAGTCCTTAAATTATACACATGGCTATTTTTGCATATTTTTTTGTTTGGTTTAAAGTCACACCTTCAGTGTAATATGCCGTCTTTTAAAGTCTGACCGCTGTGGGAAGACCTTACACATGTTCTGATGTGCATTATTATATTATCACATAAGTACAGCCCTAATATGTGTATAGTATGCTCACATGAAAAAGTTCATCTCCCTGTATTAAATAGCCTTGAAAGGAATAAATGAATAACTACGGCAAAAAGAGGGCAACTTTTTTAAAGAAAAGGGAACCTTTTCGTTAACTAAAATTTAAACAATTATTAACATATGTAAATGAGTACACGTCACAGATAACGAATTGTGAATGGATATAAGGAGATTATGGTCTGACTGGTGAATGAAAAAGATGTCGACGAATCTTCAATCTGATTTAATGACTAGATCTTACTCCAGATTGTTTACCTGCGGGTAATAACGAACAAGTGTATATAGCTTTTTTACCACAGAAATGAAAATACTTCCTAGGAATCACAGGGGATTCCATAATGATATGTAATACGCTAAAAATAAAACTTTCCTGAAAACTATTCCCCGCCCCCACTCGCCCCATTTATCTTTGTTTATATTTCGATACATTTTACATTTTCATTCTAAGCTATATGCCATTTTCGTAAGTAAATTGTTTGTCACAGCAATATATTGAATTACAATGAAATAATACAGGCTTTTAATAAGCATGCTTCTTAATTTTACGTTATATTATTTTCCTGACTAAACTTTCGGTTTCATTTTTGGAAAATGAAAAGAAACCAAATCAGAACATAATTTTGATGGACAGAATTAAACTGACTCGATCTAGTATGTTAAAATTGCACAAATATCCATTTAGTTTCCTTTTTTCTTTAAACGTTAAAACAAATCTGTAAAATATACGATTTTTTTGTTTTATTCTTTAAAAATAATTGCTCAAACCTTCTATCACTGTACACAAATTTATATACTTAACTAGTCACTAAAAACTTCAACTTTAACATTGAAAAAGTCAATAACATCTAACAAAGGATCGTCATTCAACCAGCATACAGTGCAGTTATCATCAACTGAATCACTCCAGTATGTTTTAAAATATGTTCACGTCCTTCTCCGTACACGTCCTCGATTCACGAGTCTCGAATCACAACCACAGAAATATTTTTTTCGCATTTTGTTCTTTGCTCTCGTTACCATTCAAACAATTATCATGATCAAAACGACCTCATAAGCTTTTAGAAATCCTCGTCGTTTTTCATTATAGAAATTCGTCCAACTTATCTTTAAGTTCTACTTCATCTGTATCTCATTTCTTTATGTTTATAATACGACAGAGCTCGTGTGGTAAGTGTAGACGCTACATGTAGTAAGACGAGTTCTTCAGTTGACCAAACCTGCACACATTTACTTTCAAAACATTCACGTGCCCCCGTGCAAACCAGTGCCCAGAAAAAAGCTTACAGTTCCTACATCTGTACAGAATTACATAGTCACTACATCTAAACCATACCGTATCATCGTATTTTTAAAAGAGAATCCCTCGTTCCCGCTTTTTTCAAGTTAATATACATTTACATCAGTAAAGACGCTCGGCCAAATTCCAACCTCGGGAATTGTGCTTGATGAATAAATTCAATGAAATGATATACGATGATATATGAATTGCTTTTGACTATGGTAAAAAATGAGATAATGTGTTGTTACTAAAATGTTTACATGCAGCGAATACATTTTCGTTTTTTTTTACATATATATTTTTTTTGGTATAGTTTCTTTATTTCTAAAGATTATAATCAAACTACTGTTTCATTTAAGTCTCTCCCTAAGTAATTTCTAATCATTCAACCCTGTAGACGCACTGAGAAATTTAACACTGTAATCCTTATAACTTAAGTCTGCCTTTTTCATTTTTTTTGTACATGCGCGTATACTGTAAAGCTTTTTGTCTTTTCATTCAACAACTTTTTTTTTGTTTCATTAACGTGTCCAATTCTGATCCTTCTGGAAAAATATAAATAATCACATCTTCAAAGCAGTCCCAATGTAGAATCTTGAACCCATTTTTTTAGTTAAATCGTTCCGTCAAAAACACAGCCCCAAGGACCAGAGCAATCCATTGTACAATAATAATGAAACAAAATCAATGACTTCTCCTTTTACACAATGACTGATCCCTTCAAGAAGCACATTCCCGCTGGTCTAGAGATTTGGGCTACCTTACTGGCCGCCGTCATGTCCCCTGTCTGCAAACTCTGACAACATATCGCGAAATCTACCCCATGATCGCTCTGGAATGGTGATCGATGTCCGATAATTAGAACGAACCTGGAAAAAAGAAAACAAATTGAAGGTCCAAGGTCATACAAACGATGTCCGATAATGAGAAAGAAACCTGGAAAAATGAAAAGAGAATGGAAGGTCTAAGGCCTTGGAAAAATATCTGTACAAACCAGACAGTTAACAACTCTTTTCTTACAGACGGGTAAATCATTACCATCAACATTTAATGTTCCTCCATACATATTATATTAAAAATATATTATATGTATAAATTTTATGTAAGCCAAGCAATTGACAAATTTATTCATTAACATTTAAATCTGTTACTATTGCGACATAAAGATCACTTGTACTATGGCAACATAAAGATCACTTGGAGATTAGCTTCCTTTTTTACCGACGCAGGAAAATGTAGAGAAAGTAAACAAACGTCCTTTCATCAAATTGGCCACAAACCTTCATATTATCACCTATCTTTCAAATATATGGTGAAACCATACTTATTAAAATGTAACCAACTCTGGTTAACCATTTCCAAATATAAGCACAATTTTTTTTATGATTCAAGCACATTTTTCACATAGTTTTGGTTACATCTTGAAAGTTGATCCACCTAACTGGCTTTACTTAATAACTAACCAGTTATTATAATTTCTCTGCCAGTGGCCTACAACTAATCCCACATGATTTTTTACCAACGGCTTCAGACAAATTGAGCTATGCAGGCACAGATTTCCCAGTTATATGAATTTGCTCCACTCTTATGATAAATATACATACACCTTATAACAAAATCACATGGGTTTAATGAAATCATGTTACTCAATTAACTTTCAGTTTTGAATAAGTCTGCAAAATCTTACTTAAACCCTATAAAATCTATCTTTAATCAAAACGGAACTCTTGATCAGCACATCAATCAAATGTTAAACCTTAATACATTAATATATAAATACATAGCACCTAACTGCTGGCGGTTCGAATCCCATAAAGGACTTTGAATTCTTTCATGACAAAGCTGAGAAAAAGCTATCCAGCTAGCTTAAATCTACTCAGAAGCAAACTTGTGCCTGAAATAATATGCATAGGAGTCAAGGTCTTCCTCAGGTAGTTATGCTGGAAATGAGCCATATTGATTATCTCTGCAGGGTTGATTAGGAAATAGATATCAAGTCTGAGTGCATTGTTGTAGAATAATGCATGGTTTGAGTTCAAATGCGTAGTAATATAATCACGAAGGCCGATATGCCTGAGTGATTAATTACAAAACATTTGAACGAAAAACTTGCATTATTATACAATAATGCACAAAGAATTAATATCTATTTCCATTCTAACACGTTAAGAAAAAATATAATTATTATTATAATGTTGAACTTTATGTTTGGTGGTTAAATTTGTTTTCGCCTCAGAGTTTCAAACAGAAACGTTCTTTAAAGGCTGTTACAGTGGTATGAAAAAAACTGTTTAAATCTTCCCTGTGTAGAAACATTTTGAGAATAACGCATTTTGAAAACGTTGATAAAACTTTGTTTGTTTATTCTATTTCATTCTATTATTTTTCAAGCGAAATAAAAATTATTAAAAGTGAAATAAATGTAAAACTTAACTCGTTTGTGACATTAAAATAGCTTACTTGATTTGATTGTTTTGCATGTGCTGTTTGGTGCTAAATTGCGATGTCATGTAAACAATACTTTAAAGGTCGGTACAGCGTAAACGACTGAATAAAAGATAATGGTGTTCGGATTCATTTTCTTAGTTATACCATTTTCTTTCATTACACAACAAAGTTCGACAAAAAATTGTTTTTATTTATCAGAATTTTCAAACAAAATGGCACCCTCAATGTGAAAATACACAGGGAGATAATAAGAACAGCGAATGCATTGTTGTAGAATAATGCACGCTTCGGGCCTTCTTTGTTTTATATAGAAAAATTTCCGATAGTGTTAGAATGTGATATAACCCAGCATTTTTTCCCCCTTATATAACTTATACCGGAAAACGGCATCGTTCCCAATTGAAAATAAACAGCAAATTTCCCAATTCATAACTGATAAATTCCAAAAATAACACTGATAATTTCCTCAAAAATCGGTAAATTTAAAGGTAAACATAAACAGTAATGGATGCTTCCATACTGATAAGCGATATTTGTACCCAGTTCATTTTGTACTTTTAGTGTTTCTCACCTAAACATCATTCATTTTGTACAATAATTGTAATTTTTTTTTTTTCATTTTCAACCTAAAATAGCCAAAAATATTATAAGTTAAATACACATGGTTTAGAAGTGTATATTATGTATAATTTGCATGTCTCCATGGATAAAAGAAATTCCCCATGAATATTTGGCATCTTAAAGTAAAATTACCAATTTGAGTCAAACCAATGCATTTTTCCCCAATCTGTCCGTTACCGGCACCATTCCCAAAGCAGGGGGGACAAAAACCTGTAAAACCAAACAATTATACGATACAAACCTCTGAGACACGCAAATACACCCCTCGTCTGTTTGATCCGACATCAAAATAGAACACTTTGTTCTCAACTCTCAGGTATTTACTCTCTGGAAGGTCACTTTGTCCTTCTGTAATTCATAAAAAAACCCAAACATTAAAGGCCCATTAAGCCTCAGAAGTATCTCAAATTTAAAGCTTTTAATTTTTGGTACCCTGTCAAGAAGGGATGCAATGGGACAATGACAAAAACTAGGTTTTCAACCACAAAGTATTGACGTGACAGAAATTAGGAATGAAATATGGCAGGGAAGAAAAGATGATGCTGTTAATTGTACCAACACAGAAAGTTGGTTTCAGTACTTTAAAATAAAAACATATCAGTTACCGGAGTATCAATGCCAGGCTGTAAGCTACATGTTCAGCTACACACATGCCAAATTAAGTATCAATAGGTCAAAGTGTACTGAAATTATTGATAAGAAGCTGAAAATGCTCTTGTAAGCAAGTGCCTTGACCTTGCTCCCAGATATCTAAGTAGCAATCCCAAGCTGCATCTTGATATAAGCTGCCGTACACCAATTTTTTTGTCAATAGGCCAAAGCAAACAAGTTATTGAGAGGAAACCAAAGATTTTAATTCTTTCTTTTTTTTTTTCAATATTTTTATTTTGTAACTAAAAATTTGTGATTTTTTTTCCTGTGGATTGGAAAATAGCTTGTATTTTCAGTTGATAAAACTAGACCTATCACTGAAGGTGATTAATACCCCCACCCGCAACTTTTTGAAAACTAAGTAGTCTGAAGAAAAATTTCAACACAAACTATCAACTGTGTTCATTAATTGTAATCCCAACTGGGGTCTCCAAATAAGCTTGCTTTTCACAAAGTTTGAATACAATATCTCATTCCTAACTCTAGTAATTGTCCGGAAACCATTTTTCTATTTTTAGTAACGGTGACCTTGACCTTGAACCCAGGGGGTCCAAAAACAATACCAACCCAGGTCTTCATATAAGCTTGCTATACACCAAGTTTGATTACAATATCTCATTTCTAACTCTAGTTATTGTCCAGAAACCATTTTTCTATTTTTAGTAACGGTGACCTTGACCTTGACCCCAGGGGGTCCAAATGCAATACCAACCCAGGTCTTCATATAAGCTTGCTATACACCAAGTTTTAATAAATATCTCATTCCTAACTCTAGTTATTGTCCAGAAACCATTTTTCTATTTTTAGTAACGGTGACCTTGACCTTGAACCAAGGGGGTCCAAATGCAATACCAAGCCAGGTCTTCATATAAGCTTGCTATACACCAAGTTTGATTACAATATCTCATTCCTAACTCAAGTTATTGTCCGGAAACCATTTTTCTATTTTTAGTAACCATGACCTTGACCTTGACCCCAGGGGGCATAAATGCAATACCAACCAAGGTCTTCATATAAGCTTGCTATACGCAAAGTTTGATAACAATATCTCATTCCTAACTCTAGTTATTGTCCGGAAACCATTTTTCTATTTTTAGTAACGGTGACCTTGACCTTGACCCCAGGGGGTCCAAATGCAATACCAACCGGAGTTTCCACATAAGGTTGCTATATTCCAAGTTTGATTACAATACCTCATTCCAAACTCTAGTTATCGTCCGGAAACCATGATGTGGACCGACCGACGGACGGACCGACCGACAAGCTGACTCCTATATACCCCCCCTAAACTTCGTTTGTGGGGGTATAATAAGCCCCCAAAAAAATCCCTGGTTAGTTTAAGCAGAATTTACCATGATCATCAGTTCCGAATTCATCAAGGAGATCAGTTAGAGCATCACGGAACTCGATCAGTCCCTGTGCTGGGATAGCAATCTGTGACCTTGGTCCTCCCCTCTGTACCGTCTGCGCTACCTGTGAATAAAAGTTACTTGAATAATGATATCATCCAATGGGGATGTAAATTTATACCAGTTATATAGTTTATTCAATCAGAGATTTTTCACACTTAATTTGGAAGGGGCCTTTGCCTCTTGATTTTGGGAAAAATTGTCACTATCATTGCTATTTTGGGATTTGGGAAGGAAAAAAAAGCTGGTTTAAGTTCAGATTTTTGGGAAAACTGCATGATTTCAAAGAAAATTTCATTTGGGAAGAGGCCTTTTATTGTAGTTTGTTTTATAAGAAGGCAAATCACTGTCAATAATGTAATTGTCGGACCAAGGTTTGGTTCATAGTAAGACAACTAACCCAACTGTCACCTGTCATTTTTACCTAAACTCATATTAAAAGAGTTAATTGCCATCCAACCTTGCAACCTCTGAATCTTGCAACCTCTAAGCCATCAGCAGCGATAATATCATAATATCATAGATATATCTGTGTGTGTCACACATAACTTTTAGAACCAACAATCCTAGTATTATATGTGACTTTTATCTGTAATTGGTTGTTGATGAAAAGGTGTTGCTTAAGAGAGGTTAAATTCCATGTAAAATCTTTGTTTCAGAAGATTTGATTCTGTTGTTGTAAACAGGTTATTGCTTTATACAGGTTCTGTAGAACTTATATACAATGTTTCAATGAATCCCCCCAGCCCTTTTATTCTCTTCCTGCAGCTGTTTAGTAACTTTACTATGATAAGCTAAATACCACATAGGGCAGCAAAATCAATTATCAGTATTACCCAGTTAGTAGTCTATAAGGATCTTACACCAGCTGCCAGTACAGACCAGAATATCTAGCTCTAGGGAAACTGTTTACAGCGGTAAAGAGGCTCTGTCCAGTTTTCGCTATAGTTACCCTATAGCTAGATATTCTGGTCTGTTACAACAGCTGCTGTTTGATTCTTTTTCTTGCATATAACATATTAATCATATTTTGGGAAAACATTAGGAAAACTAATATTTTCATTTAGCACTTCTTTTCTTATAGTAGCATATATAATTTTTACAAATTCATTCAGAACGGCAAAACGACATCATTCTAAGACATACATGTGACAAATGAAATGGGCCAAATCTGGATTTTCAGCTGGAATTTGGGGCTCAAAACTGGATTTTTTTTATCGACTTGAATTTCAAAGCGTGTTTGGCACATTTGGTTCAAAGAATCTATATTACCCTCAAAATCATTAAATGGTTATACTTTTTATGATTTTTTTGTGGATCAATATTAATTTATTTCACAAAAAATAAATGAATAGATAAATAAATAAGTGTAGTCATACAGGCTATTTCAAAACAGTCACATTTTCACATTTCATTATTTTCAGTTTGAAGAATTTTATCTGTCTTTTCAGTCATTCAATAATTGTCTACAAGCTATTTGAAAACGTACAACAACTATTCATGAACATAAGACTGTGACAGTTAAATAACGTAACATAAGTAGAAGACTCAAAATAAATACAAGAATCGTTCCGTTAATTAAATCCACATTTTTGCCTGGATGATAGTGTAATTCCTAAACAAAACAAAAAAAATACCCACTCACTAAAAATAGGTTAATTAGACATCTCGAACAGGTTTTTGAATGATCCACTTTAAATGATTCTGCTCACCTTTTATCTTTATCAGTGCGGCACTAATCAAAGAAAATCAAAGGTTGAGCCGAATTCATACATGTAAATTTACAGGGAAGTTTTGATGACGTAGCGTGTAATACCTACTGCCAAATTACAAAAGAGGTCAATTGATTGACACACGACATGTGATAAGTTAAACATGTGAGAATAACTTTGGGTATAGGATTGTTTATTACGTCACCTTGCTCTCAACATTTAATCCGCTATAATTTAGGATATGGACAGATAACAATCAATGCCCGGAGGCACGGTTTACATTTTAGATACAGGTGCTGTGTTTGATTTTTTTTGTTGATTTTTTTTAAATATCGGGAATTCAAGCTGTAATATCGGGAATCGGGATCAGTGTTGAAATATCGGGATTTTTTTAAATCCCGCCGGGATGTCACATGTATGATTCTAAGAACGCAATTCATTCATTAAAGGCCGTGGAAATGACATCATTTAAAGCATGTGACTTGTCTAACATGGGAGGTGTAAGACAGGTTTTTTTATAGCACCGGTGTAAACTACTAAACAGTAGATAATCCTATCCGAAATGTAAGAAAAGTGATGTTACAACAAGTAATGGGTCAAATAAATATTTCAGACAAAACACAAAAGTAAAGCCCTGGACTATCACTATCATCCCCCGATTTACATTCCAATCGTAAACATCCTTAGAAACTTACCCTAAGAAACCTTCCTCTTTGATTTTCTTTGAGGTCAAGGTAATATCTCTTGTTGTCTTTTGTCATCATCTCACTCTTTAGTTTACCGTCCTCTGGTAAGTTGTCTGGATTTGGAGGACCTTTAATAAAACATATTTTATAATGCAACCTCAATAAGCATGCTAGTGGCAACTAACAGTAACCAAGGGAACAGCGCAGACAAACATCAGCTGGCAAATCCTGTTGTCTGATCATGGTCTGCACTGTTGGCTATTCAGTTATAACTTATTTTGGAAATTTCCTTAAAAATGATGGATATACAATGTATTTAGAGTGATTCTTAGCCTGACTTTAAGTAAAAGTGATCAAACATTTTTCACTTCAGCACAATGAAAATTATTATTCTGGAAAAATAGTCAGTTAGCGATTGATCTGAAAGTGTGGGCACAATTCATTATTTTAGACCTACAGCAGTTCCAATGGTACAAAAAATCTAAAACTATATATATTATTATATATTTATTTCCAGTCTTGTCATGTCAGTGGCATCCCTTTAAATTTCAATGAGGGAGCATCATTTTATGATTGCAGATTATACAATATTTTACTTCAATTAATTATACTATATAATGAAAACAAACAAACTACAAAAACCATGACATTGCACATTTTTTCTGTACTTTTAAGGAAGCAAAAGGATATAAAACAAACCTAAAGAGGAATAATGATCACTAAACTCTGTGAGGTGGTCTCTGAATTCTGCTGCTGAGGACATGGCCAGAAGGAGGCGACTTTTCTTCCCCCCTGCTCCAACCTACAATATACCAATACATTACATCTATGAAGTCTGATAATGATGTTCATAAGGGTGTAAAAGGATGGTGAAAGTTTTTTGTTTGTTTGTTTCTTTGTTTTGTTTTACAATTGTCACTGTTTTAAACATACAACTCTGCAAAACATAACTTGCATACTGAAACCTATAAAAATTCTTAAATTTATAAAACAATATAATTACAGAAATAATTGCCAACCATTTACCCTTTATACATAAATATGTCAAGATTAAATGAAAATGCTTAACAAGCAGACGTTACAAAACATCAACTTTATATACATGTAAATACAAATTTTTCCTTAAAGTGATGAATGTTCCACAAACCTGCTCATTTATCAATATTATTTAATGCACATCAGCCAATAAATAAAGACTGTATGAGCAAGATTGTAAATATATATTTTTAGCACAGGTGTCCTTGACCTTGACCCAAGTGACCCCGAATTTCATACAAAGTTATAAGATATTTCAATGTATCTACCTACCAGATATGAAAGAACAGATAAAGGCTGTATAAGCAATAATATTAAACAATCTATTATCACCAGTGACCTTGACCCACGTGGCCCCCTAACTTTATACAGAGGACTACCCAAGGACTACTCAAGATATCAACATACCAAATATGAATGTTATCAGTCAATAAATAAGGGTCCTATGAGCATAAGTGTAAATAACTCTTTTTTTGGAAGCACAGATATATATATTGTATATATATTCACAAAATCATAAATTAATCAATGAACTATGTAACTGAAACCAAGCCAAGACAAACAAATATATTTTGTTTAAACAGTATTTGATGATACATGCTTAAATAAACCAACTATAAAAGTGTTCATATTGATATATTATTCAACACGATTTTAGTACCAGCCTTAGGATAATTTGGTTTCTCCTCAAAATTCACCTTATCCAAAACCAGAGATTTTGTGGTTTTAGTAAAATTATTTTACACCTAATTGTTACTGACTTGTCAGTCTAGCTGACAGAGAAAAATTTCGGATCTAAAGCTGTAGCAATTTTCAAAATATTTCTTCAAGTTCATTGAATAGTTGAAAGAAATTGAAATTTTGCTTACCAACATTCACATTTAAACATTTCTGCTTGGAAAACAGACATTCTACCTTGATACACACTATTTATTATAAAAATAAAATTCAAGTAATATCAGCCCACACAATAACTTACTAGACCTGTATTTGCTATTACTTGAAATGCTTTTTTCATTTTACCATCTTGAGGCATGCATGTTGCTTTAAGATCTACAAGCAAATTTCTTTGAAATTGACATCATCTGTCGAATGATTTAATGCCTTAAGTATTATGAGCCTCAGACCAAATAATTATATTCAAATGTTGAGTAACTGTTCCATTGCACTGTATCACTCTTTATCACATACCTGTGCCAATTTTGCGACTCCGTGGATATGTGATAAATAGAATATTATATATACATGTATTTCTGTTGGTTCATTACTGAATTTATTAAACTCGTTAAATAAAATATTTTGTTCCGTAGAGGCCCGCATAATTGAATTTTATTCAACTTGTTCAATAAATTCAGTATTGAATCTACACTCATTCAATATCCTCTATCTACTGAACACATCTCACTTTAAATTCTCAATTCGATGTTTTTTTGGGTTATTTTAGGTCAGGTTTTACGTCGCAACCAACACAGTAGAAATCACATGGCTTAAACCAAATATAAAGTTTAAGGTTCTTAACTGAAAAAAAGTTAAAGTTTTATGCTCTATTCAATTCTATGTCACACAATTTCCTAACAGATGCTGGAAAGGATGGAATGACAGAGAATCAGTCAGACGGACAACACCAAATCTCTTCCCCTCCATCTTTTACCTGAACATTATTTCGTGACAACCGTGTTAACAATGTTCAAAATGCTATTAGTCTTTTACTAATGTTGTAAATGATTTAAGTGGAGAAACAAAATGCAAATGAGAAGAACATCAAATCTGAATGTTCCACGTATACCATAAGTAAAAAAAATAATATATTCAGTGGCATAAAAATCAACAAAAACAGTTTAACATTTATGAGCTTGTAAAAAACCTAGTTGCTGTTGGGCCAGTATGTATTGCTAATTACTAAGCCCGAATGGCTTGTGGTTTTAAAACACTCAATTCTTTGACTATAAAGTTCTCAGCATATGTGATAGTTTGTTTTCGAGGGGTTAACTAGTTTTTTTTAAGGGGTTAACTAGTATGAAAGTATTTAATGCTTCATTTGAAGTATAGTTTTCTACGTTTTTGTCTTTTCCTTGGTGATGTGAAAAGTGATGGCAGAAGACTCACTGTTTCATTGTAGAGAGAATGTTGCTTTTAAACAATTGGTGTAAATATATGGAAATATGTATACCTCAGCAATTTTGATGAAGCGTCCACGTCTGTTTTGTTTCACATCAAGGTAGAAACGTTTTGATTGTATGGTCAGAGTTCTGGTAGCCAACTCTTGTTCCCCAGACACTGAAATTATAATATACATACATATGACTTTAACCCGGCTTGTTCCCCAGACACTGAAATTATAATATACATACATATGACTTTAACCCGGCTTGTTCCCCAGACACTGAAATTATAATATACATACATATGACTTTAACCCGGCTTGTTCCCCAGACACTGAAATTATAATATACATACATATGACTTTAACCCGGCTTGTTCCCCAGACACTGAAATTATAATATACATACATAGGACTTTAAACTAGCTTGTTCCCCAGACACTGAATTATAATACATATACATGACTTATACATTAATAGACTTACTCCGAAATTTAAAATACTTTTGGTTTTTCCCAGCTAAACCAAAGGGTTCAAACAAACTTTTACAATTACAGCTTTGCTTATCTGGGGGTACAAATGACTGGAAGTGAATGGTAAAAGCTTGTTTGTACAGCGACATTAGCTTGGAAAAACCCACATTTGCTGAGTTCCGAATAACATCTATTATTATAAAACTGTTGAAGCAAAGTTTTTCCAAATCTTACATTCAAGCAATTGTCATGAAATGTTTGTAAAGCACAGATGACTATAATAAACCTTATAGACATAAATTCTCTTTCCCTATACAAAAATATCTGTTAATACACAAATAATATTATTACATATGTCAAACATTATTACTTTGACCCCAGGAACAATCAATTAAAATGTCTCACATAACAAATATTAGGACTTGTCAACATAGCAACAAGCTGGTCTAAATATAAAAGAGAAATATTTCACAGTACACCTGTACTAAATGGCTACAAATGAAGTTGATATATTAAGTTTTTAGAATTCCATGTAACCTAAGCTTTAACTGTATTGAAGTTATTGCCCATAAAGAAATAAACAACACTAGTGAATACCGTATCGTTTCCATTTAACGCCTGAAACAAATTAATTATTCCAGGAAAGTGAAGACTTGTCAATAAATACCAAAACCTTTCCATGCATGTGAACATTTTGTGAAATAATCCCCCAGTTAAAGACTACAACATTTGCCATCCACACAATTACATAATGTTTACCTGACCTTTGACCTCTGTGACTTTGACCTTGGCCACAGGGATTAAATTGTGTGCATGACACTTCAGCAAAGTATTATTAAAACTCTTTGTGCATTAATCTAAATAAACACCTCAGTCAAACCCAAGTCCCTAGTAAGATTTGAACCCAGATGTGAAAGGGCCAGTGGTTCAAAGCCAGTAACCTTAATCATTCAGTCCTGGAGGCCCTATAATATCTATATTGTATAGGCATGTACAAAGGCTTGAAAAAAGACCACCTCTGGTTTAGCAAATTTTGTAAACATTTAAATTTCAACATAAACTTTAAATTTCAACATCTTTTGAATTTTTATTTTGAAATACTACACACCAATTTAACCAGCTAACATTTGCAAATAAATCTTGATCATTTGAAAACTGAAACCACCTGCACAATCAGGGAAATTCCTGGAAATAGCGAGGTATCACAAGAAATGTTTATTTCAATGACATTCCGTTTAAAATGAAATAAAAGTAGGACGTTTATACCTGAGCAATTAATCAAAATATAAACATGCACTCACTGTACAGAACAGGTTTAGCTAACAGTTTGATATTTACAATACAATATATCATTATTAAGTAAACAGTAAATGACAGATGACAACCTATAAATAAATATATGCAAGATTTCGTAATTTCTTCCCTATAAAATGATATCATTAACATTCAATATTTATCTAGATGAAATTTAATGGCCTTGTTTGTTGTTGTTTTTTTTTAACCATTTAAGTATTAATATTAATTATGTTTATCTTTCAATTTTGTCTGTCGAGCCTTCCAAACATTTGATAAAACAACACTTTAATACCAGCCAACGCCTTTTTTGACTTTCGGATAATTAAACTCGGAATTAAAATTATGCCTTATCCAAAATTGTAACATTATATTAATCAATGAGACTAACATACAATAATAAAGACTCAGGGGCGCAAAATCAATTGTCCGTACTGCCCATGTTGTCCCACAGCCTGTACGGACAAGTGGAAATTTTCTATAACTTACTATATAAATATCATACAGACAAGTTATGAAATATATCAAATAACAAGAACTGTCTGAGGACAGTAACGCTCGACTATTCGAAAATTTGTCACAAGGGTGTTTCATTGAGTATAATAATGCTTACCTATATGAATACATAAAATTGTCCGAAAAGGTACAAACCCTTCAAGTTTCAATACATTCCCTTCAGTAGTTATGGAGATACAAGCTTACACACAAAACTTAACCAAGAATTTCTAAGTCCAAAAAGGGGCATAATAATGTAAAAAAGCAAAGCAGAGTTATGGGACTTGTGCCAATCATCTTAGATAATCACAGACAACATGTGTGTGAAGTTTCAATCCATTCCCTTCATTAGTTATGGAGATACAAGCTTACACGCAAAAACTTAACCAAGAATTTCTAAGTCGAAAAAGGGCCATTATTATGTAAAAAAGCAAATCAGAGTTATGGGACTTGTGCCAATCATCTAAGATAATCACAGAGAACAAGTGTGTGAAGTTTCAATCCATTCCCTTTAGTAGTTATGGAGATACCAGCTTACATACAAAAACTTAACCAAGAATTTCTAAGTCGAAAAAGGGGCATAATTATGTAAAAAAGCAAATCAGAGTTATGGGACTTGTGCCAATCATCTTAGATAATCACAGAGAACAAGTGTGTAAAGTTTCAATCCATTCCCTTCAGTAGTTATGGAGATACCAGCTTACATACAAAAACTTAACCAAGAATTTCTAAGTCGAAAAAGGGGCATAATTATGTAAAAAAGCAAATCAGAGTTATGGGACTTGTGCCAATCATCTTAGATAACCACAGAGAACAAGTGTATGAAGTTTCAATCCATTCCCTTCAGTAGTTATGGAGATACCAGCTTACATACAAAAACTTAACCAAGAATTTCTAAGTCGAAAAAGGGGCATAATTATGTAAAAAAGAAAATCAGAGTTATGGGACTTGTGCCAATCATCTAAGATAATCACAGAGAACAAGTGTGTAAAGTTTCAATCCATTCCATTTAGTAGTTATGGAGATACCAGCTTACATACAAAAACTTAACCAAGAATTTCTAAGTCGAAAAGGGGCATAATTATGTAAAAAAGCAAATCAGAGTTATGGGACTTGTGCCAATCATCTTAGATAATCACAGAGAACAAGTGTGTGAAGTTTCAATCCATTCCCTTCAGTAGTTATAGAGATACCAGCTTACATACAAAAACTTAACCACAGGGACGCCGACGCCGACAAATGGGTGACTGCATTAGCTCGATTATTCTGCGAATAGTCGAGCTAAAAACAAACAAGTAAGACAAAATCAGGTTTTGCCGACCCCTAAAGTCCAAAAATAAATAATTTTACTCTCGTCTTATGAAAACAAATATAAGCTTATATTCTATCTTACTTTTGAACCGAGCATGCCTCCAGATTGAGTAAACATGAAAAAAATGAACAATTTAAAAAATGTTTTTAAGTATTTAAAATCCAGATAAAACATTTGATGCATTATGCTAAAAAAAAACATAATTTAATATGTTTCCACCAAGACATACCTAGTAACTAATGATGGAAGAAAAAATTCTGCATATTTGACAAACTTGTGTATAGAGTATTGGTAATGGCCTATCTTAAAACTAGTTTAAATCATGATTTGTAAACTTGACAGAATTGTTTTAATAATTAAAACAAATCAAAGTTTTGGTAAAAAAAAGCAACACACACTAGTCCTTTAATAGGCTTGTTGTTTTAAAACCTTATGACGAAGAAAATAACAAATTTAATACAATGTTTTAACATTTGAACATAATAAAAACCCAACAGTTTTCAACAAAATCAATACTTTCCTGCATCAATTTAAAACAATAAGAAAATCATTAACATTAAATCATTTAGAACTAGTCCACTTACAATTGCATGATTCCTGGCTTACAGAATTTTGCAAAATCACCTCTGAAACACAAAGACTTAAACATGTAACACACGATTTTTGAAGACAAGATCCTATGATTGACAAAATGTAATGCCAGTTATCTTAGATTGTTTGTTTGTTTAATTGGGTTTTACGTCACACCGACACAGTATAGGTCATATGGCATCGTTCCAGCTTTACTGGTGGAAGAAGACCTCAGGTGCCCTTCCATGCATTATTTCAGTTATTCCGTTAGCTAGCTGGATAGCTTCCTCACATAAAAGAATCCAAAGTCACTGTAGGGATTCGAACCCACAGCGGTGAGGGGCAAGTGGTTTGAAGTCAACAACCTTAACCACTCGGCCACAGACGCCCCACCAATGATCTTAACTATACCACTCACACCCAAAATGTTCAACTCACTCTTCCTTTCTTCTACACTGCATTTTAATTAACAACTAGTTAAAATGGATGGCAAGACATTAAATAACCTTTAATGCATAAAACTGTTTGTAAACATTTAAAATGTTCTTGTGTGCTAAAAACCTTTGCAGGGATCAAAAATTCCACTTGTCCACTCATAGTTACCAGTAGAGATCGATGCAGGACAAATATAATATACAATAAGTAAGCTGAAATTTGCCGATGTAATAGAAAGCTAAAATTCTCAGTTTGTTTACATTTTTAACGATAGAAAAATGAAAACAAAGCTAGTGTTTTAGGTTATGATAAAATGCACACTTTATAAAGTTCTGAACACATTGTTAATTGGATACGGGTGTGAATGGAATAAGCATGACAATGCTCTATAAAAGTGCGCCATTTATACATAACAGAAAACACAAGCTTTGTTTCCGGTTTTTGTTTGTTAAATTTATGTAAACGAAACTGATTATGAAAATTTCTAGGTCTATTGCATCGGCAAGTATCTTGTATTGCATCGGCAAAGTTTATCTTGAAAATCATGCCTAAAATGCAGGACGAGTATCATAGCATGCAGGACAGGTAGAAATTTGAAGATAATCCTCAGGAGTGGCTCTGAATTGTTATTTTGATCCCTGCCTTGTCTTTATATGTAAAATTGCAAAGATAAATTAAACAAATTTAACATGCAAGCATAAATCAAATATTTGGTAATGATTTAATAAGACAAAAAAAAGATAAATAATCAATCAGCTGTATATAAACTAAATGAAAAATTTCTCTGTTTAATTCTGCATATAATTTTATAACGTTATGAACTTAATCATTTATATCTCATATCACTAAAACAAATAAATATAGTAACAAGAGATGTTTGTAAAACATGCACATGTATGCCCAACTCTTATGCATGTCACTAGTTGTTTGCAATGATGCTTGAAAACCATTTTGCCATACAAGGTCAAAATGACCCATAACCTTTGACCCCCCAATAATAAATTCATAAGGGGTCCTTTACTGCCCAAGACCAATGCACCTATGAAGCTTGAGGACTCATTGGTTGTCCAGTTATTGGTCAAAGACTATTTTTACAGAAAAGGTCTTTGTGACCTTGACCTTTGACCCCATAATCAAAAGTTGCTATCATAATCAAGTGGTTATGACCAATCTCCAAACCAAGTTTGAAGTTCCTTGCACAAGGAGTTCTTAAGTTATTGATCCAAAACGGTTTGTCTATGGACCGACTGCCAAGTGCAAAGCAATATACCCCGACTTCTTCGAAGGGGGGCATAATTAACTGTTCAAAAGCTGAAAATGTAATATATACAAAAATACTTCCAAACCTGTGCAAAAGACCATCTATCTATAAATAATAATAACCCTGTGAGAAAAGGCAACTCTTTGACAACCCTTCAATGATAAAATAGAAGTCACCTCCAAATAAAGACCACATGTCTATAAAGGATATGTTTGGGCCCACCTTAACCTTTGGAATGGCCTTGGTTCACAGGTTTGACTGTATTTAACAAATAATTAAATTTATCAACTTATTTCTTCTATGAATGAATCTCTTTGGTCAATTATTTTTCAGGTTTGACTGTATCTAACAAATAATTAAATTTATCAACTTATTTCTTCTATGAATGAATCTCTTTGGTCAATTATTTTTCAGGTTTGACTGTATCTAACAAATAATTAAATATATCAACTTATTTCTTCTTTGAATGAATCTCTTTGGTCAATTTTTTTTCAGGTTTGACTGTATCTAACAAATAATTAAATATATCAACTTATTTCTTCTATGAATGAATCTCTGTGGTCAATTATTTTTATAAGGCTATACTGTTAAAGTATTCTTGTTTTCCAAGGCCATCTTGTAATAAAAATAATGAAAATACCAGTAACAGTTTTAATTATTTCAAAGCATTCTAAAATTCCTGCAATAAATGAGTGAGAAAAACCGAAACTCCATGCAACATGCTAATTTAGCCAACAGAATTAATATATAAACTGTAGTTGTTAATATCTTAAGATATTATTTTATTGATAAACCTATTTATACAATAAACATGTGCATGTAGCTAACAAAATTTTCATTCTTATCATCCCCTCATTCCAAGCTAAATTTGAGTTTTTGGAAAAGTTACGTACCATTTTCATCTTCGTGCTTTGAACCAGCGGTCTCGTCTTTGCCTACACCGCCAATAAGAAGATAAAATATGGTGGGTAATGGATATATCTAGTAATAGTGATGTATATGGGAAAACTTACAAACAAAATTATTCGAAAAAGTGAAAACACACATGTGAGTTTGTAAACACACAGAGATAACGCACCAGTCATTTGTAACCTCACCCCTCCCTACCCTGTGGGCATAAATGAGGTAGTTTAGGAGTTTAACAGTTTTTTGAGTTAAGACGGTGATTCTCAACAATTAACCTTGCAATGTCAGAGCCTTTGATGTCACCAACATCAGGTAATTTTTCTTACTGGGCAAGTGGCTGTGTCAGTTTTATGGAGGGGATTTTACCTTATGACTGTCCTCTGCCAGGTTGGAGCCGGGCATATACAGACCAGGGTATGATTAACCAAAAATAGGTCTACAAAATTTCAAATTTGGTTGTAGGTGGGGGTGGCAACAAATGACTGGTGTAAAAAAAACTCACGCACACATTTGGAAATATGTAGAGAATATGATAATTGATATTGTCTTAAAGGATTAAGTCTTTTCAAAATGATACAATGTCTAACATAATCACGTGGATAACAGTAACGGTACATTATTATTCAACTTTCCAGGAAAATCACTGCTTAATTGCCAGAAGAGAACTTGGTTAAATTGTACAGCAGTTTCAATCATTAGTCAGATTAATATAACAGAGCCCTCAATCGACTTTGGAGGAAGAGGGTCGCTACTCTAAGCAAGGGTAATATCAGTGTTTTCCATTTCTTATTTGGTTAAATATTGGTTAAATATCAATAAACTACCGTTTAAATATCTGGGGTTTTTTTTTATAACTTGCTATTGTGAAACATTTTGAGGAAGAATTGAGTCTTCCTGGTGCATCCAGACAAATATGGAACCATGTGAAACTGAAAGGGTGTAGATATACAATATTCTGCTGACAAAAACAATGTGAAACAGATCAATTTAACCTGTCACAAACAGCATTTCTTTTCAATTTTTTTCCAGTGGATTTTATATGTTTGAAATGGAATGCTCTCCTAGAAAAATTCTGAATTCTAAGTCCTGATTTTTTTTCCAAAAAGAGTCCTTCAATAATTTTATAAGAATAACAATTACATAAGAATAAAAAATAATTTACACATTCTTAATCTATATTGCTTGTTACATTTCTGCAACTTCTTTTTGTTAACTTCTCTTGATTACCATAAATATTGCGGTGCACATGTTGGTAAATTTTCTTGTGTGAAAAATAGTCTCAGAAAAACTTGCGAAAATGTGAACTTGCTGGATAATAAATCCCTGATGGAGTTCTCTTCATTTAAATTTAGTTCTGTGGACAGTGCAAGAACGTTAAATATTACACATCATCATAAAAAAATTGATAAATTCACACTAAGCCGCAAGACCTGACAGGTAGGTTTAAAGACTTAAATATGCACCCTGCTGGTGGCACTTTATCTATCCTTATAGTTCGCCAAAAGTTTGTCTACCAATAAAATCGTTCTATTTTGTTTAAATTTTTTTAAATTTTCTCGCTTCACTTCGTTTGCTCGAAAATTAATTTATTAAAACTCTGTATATAACCTATAACCTATACATATGACCAGTATAGTACAAGATCATGGCCTGCATTGTTGACAATTTAATCAATACATATTGTAAAATTTTCCCTAAAATTGATTAATGGGTTAGTCCAGATTGAAAGATGGACAAGTCCATTTAAAATATTTAGTGTGATATTAAAGAACCCATCACAGTTATTATTATATTTTCATGGTAAAAATCCCAAAATAAATCACTTCTCTGAATATAACTAATATAAAATGAATTAAAGAGTGCAAGGGAGATTAATCTAACCAATTAAGATTTAACTTCCGCTGGAAAGTGTATCAAATTTATCCCAAATTATAAACCCAGATAAGATTTCGTGTAAACACTGTTGGAACAAATAAAAAATGAGTCACAATACCAGTGAAAATTCTGTCTTTTAGAAGAAAATACAACTAAATTTTTAACAATAATTGACGTTGATTGTCAATCTAGGTCAGCTGCCATGTTGGTTTTCTGGTGCATTTTGATCTCATGCCGCATGCGAGAAAAATATCAAAATAAACACATAAAACCTGTCTCATGTAATCTTGTTTGCATCGAATATACAAAATAAAAGGCATGTATACATAAATAATCAAATGACATTCGTTAAATTTGACAGGACATTGAGAGTAAGCTAACAAAATGTGGGATTTTTCAGCCAGGAAAAATTGACACGAGTGCGGGAAAATTGCAAAGTCAGCGAAAGAAAAGCTAATTTGAACACAGCACGCACACATCTAGAGTAGACCATTTGATCTATTATTACAGAATGTTTTTAATTATATACTAACCCTGAGCTTGTTGCTCGTCACCACTCTCTCTATCCGACATTTTCAACCCTACACAAACCGACACACTAAAGCCTCCTTCTAAATTCTATGAATTATTCATGAGGTCACTGGGGTGAACCGAAGTCACGTTGAATTAACTATCTACAAAAAAAAAACAATTAGAAATAAATAGGTAAATAACACAAGAGTAAAATAAATCTAGCTAATATGAAAAATGACAATGTCAGAGATGGAAATTGAGAATAGGAAGGCACTACAACACCTACACCTGAATTGTCGGCAGCAGGTCAAAGAACATGAAAAGAAAGTAAACGATTGGTCAAATTTGGATGACGTCATTTCATGCGCGGTATATTTTGAAAACAATCTAATAGCAGATGGAAAAGGAAATTCTTATCCAAGGTAAACTGAAATCAGATATAATTCTATTCAAATTTAATCGTAATGAAAATAACTTACCCACCATTCACAGACGACCTAGATGAGATACAGCTGTATTTCCTGGAAATAATGATAACATGAATGTCGCGTTACGTCATTTGGGACATATTCGCCACCTACATGATTCGAACTTTCGATAAATGCGCGCTTAATTTTTTGTCATGATTTTTTTGAGAGGATAGCCACCAAAGCGAGGTGCTTTTTAATTTGATATATTTTCCTTACAAACTAATTAACTATTTCAATATGCAGGTAAAGATTATATGCAAAGATCAGACAGCCGTTTTCAATAGCTTGTCGACAAGGCCAGTTTTATTGATGTCGAATGTGTCCGATTTTCTTAAATAGAGAAAAATTATGAACATGCGTTTGAAAAATTCACGAAAATATTTCAATTCTTTGAAATCCATGTTTCCAAGTGTTCCCCGAAAGTAATACATGTATTCAACCGATGACGTCACGGATTTAATAATCTGATCACGTGGCAGATCTATTATGCGGGTTTTGTCCGCTCATCGCGTATATTTGACAATTTCATAAAAAATATTCTACTGGTTGAAATAATGTTTACATGTTATACATCTTTTTAACGCGCGAGTATGATATACTCTAAAAATGACAAGTTGGTGTTAATTTAATTGATAAAATGTATTGATGAACAAATCATTTGATTTCAAAATTTTGGACAAATATAATTCCATGCACTTAAAGTAGATTCTAATTATTAACTCTTTTTGATTTAAAAAAAAGCTCTACTGGTTGCAGAGATAACTCCGAGACATAGGTACCGCAAGACTTGATGTATACTTTATATACAGCTATGACTAAATTTATGTTGTTTGTTTTTTGTTGTTGTTGTTTTTTGTGTTGCTTTTTTATTACAAACAAGTACAGTGCATGATTACCCAAATATAGAGTTTTTTAATTTGGTAAACTTTTCAATGTACGTCAAATTACATCAACAGCCCCCCCCCCCAAAAAAAAACAAAAACAACAAAAACTGCCCCAAAACGTTCTTTTTACTAAAATAGATAAATACAGAATCCCTAAAGAAAGCCCAACACGGCACAATTGAAAATGTTGCAGGCTCGGTTTGATTGAGCCTGTTCATGGACGGTACTGGAAAGTGCAAGTTACCGTCCACGCCCCCTAGCACCGGCTTAAGCAGAATTCAACATTTAAACATGAAATAGTAAAATTTTGAATTTAGAAACTGACTAAACTGACATAACTATAAGGCAGACCGTTAGAACCACTGACTTGGAAAAGATATTTCAAAAATAGATGAAATATCATTAAAAAAAAATCAAAAACAAAACAACAACAAACAGATAAATGTAAAAATGTAAAAAATAATTTATTGATGCTGATTTTCCAACTAGTTTTGAAAATTAAAACTGAAGTGTTTAATGTATCTAAGTACTGTTGCGGGTAAAAAGACTATGTTTGTATATATACCTCATTCAGGACCTTAAAGAAGTACCGGTTTAGAACTATTCCAATTAATGAATAATTCTTGTAGTGTATCGTAAAAGCTTTGAACCGAACTTTGTGAAAGCGGATCAATATTTTAAATATATATAAGATAATTTAGTTATATTGCAAAAAAATGTAATTAAGTGCAGGTGTTACATTAAATTTTGACCCCGTTGAAAATCGATCCTATGGGACACCGTTATTTTTTAATGTTGATGAACAAGTCGTTGAGCACTGATCAGTTTTTAAATTTTTATCAAAATAGGGTTATTTTGTTAATAGTTAGTGTCATTTTAGTTTAACGTCTGATTTTAGTATAGAATCGCTTGGAGGCAGAATCTCTCATATTTAATTCTACAATGTTTCTTATTAAAGTCTACATTAAATATGCATATATTGCATGCAGTACCTTTAAATTTGATTGTTAGGCTCCGCCTACTTAGTGTACAAACAAATATCACAAGATTAATATCAAGGCTACTGACCAGGGGAAGTAACCATTGTTGGGAGTTACACTACAAACTTCGCAGCGGTTACTTCCCCTGACCAATACGAAGGCTGCATTCTTAGCAGAGGGGTAGATAGATTTTAACTAGTGTAATATCTTTTAAATATTATTAACAGTAAGAGACAGTTACTTTAATACTAGGAAACGCCCCACCCCTGTGATAGCGGAAAAAAACATTAGCATACCTTATTCTGTATGCAATGTAATATAATAGTTCACTACATAAGTGGCATATAGCATTCCATTATCAAATATATTGCTGATGGATTGGCAAATGTATATAGTCCACTGTAATAAAATAAATAAATGTTCACCGCTTAAAAATTTGAAAGGAATACAGATATGTTACTGTTTCACATGTATGAAAAAACGTTGAAAATTGATCAAAATCCGCTGAAAAATGATCCATGGAGTCAATTTTCAACGGTGTCAATATTTTATGTCTCTCCAACCAGAGTATGTCTTCAGACATATTACCTGTTACCAGCCTACCAGTGGAGTAACTGCCTATATATAGACCCACGCGTGTACGCGGTTAAAATCAGAAAGACTCACGTGAGTACGCGGTTGAAATCAGAAAGACCAATGCAGGTGAATACGCGGTTGAAATCAGAAAGACCAACGTGAGAACGCGTTTAAAATCAGAAAGCCCCACGTTAGTACGCTGTTAAAATCAGAAAGACTCATGTGAGTACGCGGTTAAAATCGGAAAGACCCTCGTGAGAACGCGGTTGAAATCACAAAGACACACGTGAGTACGCGGTTAAAATCAGAAAGACCCACGTGAGTACGCGGTTGAAATCACAAAGACCCACGTGAGTACGCGATTGAAATCACAGACTCACGTGAGTACGTGTTTAAAATCAGAAAGACCCGCGTGAGTACGCGGTTAAAATCAGAAAGACTCTCGTGAGTATGCGGTTAAAATTAGAAAGACCCACGTGAGTATGCGGTTAAAATTAGAAAGACCCACATGAGTATGCGGTTAAGTTCAGAAAGACCCACGTGAGTACGCGGTTGGAATCAGAAAGACCCACGTGAGAATTGGTTAAAATTAGAAAGACCCACGTGCGTATGCGGTTGAAATCAGAAAGACCCACGTTAGTACGCGGTTGAAATCAGAAAGACCCACGTGAGTGTGCGGTTAAAATCAGAAAGACCCACGTGAGTATGCGGTTAAAATCAGAAAGACTCACGTGTGTATGCGGTTGAAATCCGCAATTTAAGCCTACTTAATTACATGTTTGTGCATAATTCTACAATGTTCATATAGAATGACCGTTGCAGTTTGTAAGCATATATAATATAGATCTACAATACATTTTCCAAATTACCAAATGTATCTTGTAAGTCTACCAGTGGCGCTTTATTCTCAACTATACTGTAGATCTATTTGTTAACGTCGTTTTAGTTTACAAACGAATTCGTATGTCGAACTACGGATGAGCGAAATCTGTTCTATATAAAATAGTTCCTCTACCAGTAAGGTTATTTATTGTTGCTTTAAAAAAATATCGTCCGTGTAATTACCTCGCGCTTCTTATTTCTCAGTGAAAATTGTTGTCCATGTCAATATCAGACTTGTGTTTATGACATTAGCAATGAAATCAGGCGGATCATTTAATACTGATAAAATACGGGGACAGTTGGGAGATGCTGACAGTACTGACTTTGATATATTATGATTCACATGTTAAATGGCAAATATTTTCAGTTTATTTTTAAAACACGTGAGGGCAACGCTCCAAATATGCACCACAATCCACCATTTTACCAACTTGTCCGTATAGACGTACACTAGCCAAAGGAATGGGTGACGCCTCTTGTACAAACACCCACTCGCAGCGACGTTGCTCGTGAACGAAGCCGCCAGTCACAGTTGCCCCATTTGAGGAATCTACCTAGCTAGCTGCCTACGGAACGCCGATGGTTCTGGTCAGCTGCCCGCTCGTGCCTGAAATAATGCACTGAGCGGCACCCGAGAGGTCTTCCTCTGGAAAGTCGCCATAATTATGACATCTTCTGTGTTGGTGCAACGCAGCAGCAGCAGCAACAACAACAACAACAACAAAAATAATGATAATGTATCATCGTTGTCACTGTATGTAACTATAGAGTATAATGGGTAACTCGACGATAGAGCTCATTGCGCTCATAGGAAGAGTGTTGAACTGTGAAGCGGGCGACCCGGGTTCGATTCGCGCACGGCGCAGGTCACTTTCGTTGAAATTGATCATGACATCCTTTTTACGGTCATTCGCACTGTACCTCTGCTCTTGCATACACAGAAGTTATCATAGAGTGAAGGCAACTACTAGAACTGGTAAAATGCTTGACAGCTTGCCAAGGAACGATGCGGTGACTGAACTGTGCTTTGGTAAATTCAATGTGGCTGACAGCGTGACCCGGAGCGAAAACTAAACCAACACCACAAACGCCGAGCTCATTGAGCTGCGGAGTCTTAATGGTTCAAACATACTATATAATATTTATTAAAGCTCGGTTGCGAATCAAGTTCTTGCAACTTATATTAATCACTTTCGAGTCCGCTTCCTGGAAGCAACCAGTACTTGTGTCATATGAAGAAACATGGTCGTGACCCGATTAGGGCTCGAACCCTTGATCACTGTGTTGAGAGGCAGATACCTTAACCACTAGGCCACCGCATCCCTTTGGAACCTTAATGTGAGAGTTCTAGATTAGAATCTGGTCAGGCGGCACTTTTTCTCTGCTGCTTATATCATAAATCATCAACTTTGAATATTGATATAGTCTTGATGGTTGACAAAAACATTTACATGTGTTTTGATTTAATTTAATTTTTCTTCTTTTAAATTATTTAGGACACTTTTTTCCGAAAAGTATCGGAAGAAACACTTTGGATCGTAAGTTATTTTATTAAGACCTATTTTTGGCCTTTAAAAAAAGGTCCGAAAAAGAAACAGATATAAAAACTTCAGTTATTAAAGAGTGTTTCGTTGTTAGAGTTTTCTTGGAATTTTTTTGAAAACGCGCTTGTGATTTTTCCAAGTAAACATATGGTTTTTCATGGAAGAGCAAACTCGAGTGTAAAAGAGGGCATATGTAACTACTAGTATCAGGATATTATTCCGTGTTAACTGTTGGGTGTAAACTGTACCTATATATTAACAGGCTGGGGTGCCGGGATGAACTTTCTGTGTTAGAAAAGGCGTAATTATTATAAATATTGAATTGGCATTAAAAGAAACATAAACTTTGCCCCATACTTCACTTCAGTGTTGTTATATTTTTCGGGTCCTTCGGGATCATTGATGCCGGCACTATTAAGTGTTGAGAATTGAGTACCGCTCAAGCCGGTGCTAGGGGGCATGAGGGTTGTTGCACTTATTCATTATCCCTCATGTACAAACTCAATCAAACCGAGTCTGCAATTCTTATGTAATTTTGTTGTGATTAATGCTTCCGAGGGATCACTTTGTTTCCAGATTTTTTTTGTTTTATTTGCATAATTATGTACATACATGTATATACATGTATAATATCACTAAGTGTGGTTTACCACTTTGATCACAACATACATGATCTTTAACAACAATGGTAAACAATAGCCGACGTCACTTGGTGGGTCTTGTAAATAGCTCCGGGTTTTTTTCACAAGAAATTGAGCTAAAACAGATACATATTGATTTACTTTCATAGAGACTCATATATTACATGTATATGAAAAACAAAAGCTACTGTCGCCGTGTTAAGAACTGATGTCTCGTTTTTCGATTACTGGGTATAAATTGTACTTCAGCTTAATGATGAAGTAAAAAATACAAATTTTATGTAATGTATCAGCTTTTTTTCGATAGCAGCTCAACTTATTTATAAGCGTTTGCATTGAAAACTATCGATTCCTACATTACCTTAATTAAAAGGACCACCCATTAGCTTAATAGGGACAACATCAGACTGGTGTTTCAGGGTGGCTGGTTCGATCCTCTAGGAGTCGTAATTTCATTACACAGACTCAGACTCAGTACACTTGCATTGACAGATTGACTCTTGAACCTTATTCATGGGGGTGGAACTCCATATGAATCTCAAAAATGAGCATCGGTAAAAATTATATGTGATTTTCCGCTGCACCAGATGTGAAGCATAACACCAGATGTGACAGTAAAATTAGGTCAATAGCAGGGTAAGTTTTCAACTTTTTAAACAGTTATATATAATTCAAACCTTTGTTTTTTTTGTTTTTTTTTTAAAGAAAATCGAAATGTGATTCTACCCTCCTGACTCTCTTCTATATAACCCATTTTTCTTCATCGAGATATTCTTTTCGTCGTGGGTTCTAGTGTTGCCAAAACATACAATGTGTATGAAGAAAATGTCACTTAACGGACGCAAAATAAAGAAATTTTACGAAATCTCACCACAGACCGATGCTTAACATTCGAACAAATCCTGATTTAAACATTCACTGAGATTTGGCTAAAAACAAAAGAATTGCTGTTCAAAATTGCATTTGAGCTCCACATGTGCAGAAGAATGCCATAAGTGCATGATATAAAAATTAGCAACATTATTACGGATCACCTTCATAAAACAATCTATACTTTATTCTTTTGTGTATCAATCTGTAATAAAAACTATTATCCGAAGTAGAAACATTTTCATGAGACGAGCTTGAATAACATCTAGTATCCATACAGATAAAAGACTTTCTGCAGACAAAAGGTGCTAATAATACGTAGATATGATGGAAAGGCCTTGCTTATTTTGATTTATTGACGTCATGTGCCGTGCAATCATTCCCTTTATTGCTGTCCATTGTTAAAAAAGTTGAAAACTTGCCCTGCGATTAACCTAATTTCACTGTCACATCTGGTGTTATGCTTCACATCTGGAGCAGCGGAAATTCACATACTTTTTACCGATTCATATGGGGTTCCATCCCCCCGTGTTATTGCCAGTTAACACCATGGTGTATTGGGTCAGGGATTCTCGACTTTCCGCTTGAAACTGCCTCCGTGGTCGAGGGGTTAGAGTCGATGACTTCTAATCCAGTTTCCTCTCTGGCGTGGGTTCGATCCCCGGGAGATGCTTTGGTAGTTTAGCGCGGAGGAAGGTATAGTCTAGTACTGGTGTAACTCTCCAGCAACGATGGTTAGAAAACTACCCGCCTATATGACTGAGATACTGTTGGGAAAAGGCGTGAAATGAAACAAAAAACAAACTTTCCGCTTGTCAGGGCCGCGGGGCGAAAACACGAATGGCACAAATCAGTCACCATAATAAGGTGCTGCAGTTGAATAGTTTATTTAGAAGTTAAAAAACACTTCTGTTTCCATAAACTTAATTGTGTTAACTTACAGTCTCAAAAAGTTTGCATTATTCACAACCTGTAACTTTCTTGTTTGTGTTTTAGTTAAAACGAGGTCTAAAAGGTTGGGAAGTTTGTGACAGACCTCACGTTCAGGGAACCGCCGGTAACCAGATACCACCCACAAACGCAAATGAGGCTCAAGATACGATCAGACGACATGGGAAATCCCGAAGTTCCCCTGCTTTAAAGTCATTTCCGGCTATGATGCGTTTGACACGTCATCGCTACAGAAATGGTGCTAGGTCTAGTTCACCTCGCATCCCTTCAAAGGAGAGTTCCGCGTCATCGAACAATTCTGACGTAAACGCAAGTCATTCAAGTTCTACAGGAAGTATTAATAGCCACAAAGTACTTCCGATTAAGATAGGGCGACGTTTCAGGCACTTCCGGAGAAATTCAAGTTATATGGAACAATACCGGTGAGTACTGGTCAATTATTCAAATAACCACGCCTCCAGCCCAAGGGAATAAGCCGATATTTTACTTTTATTTTATCAAAACAATTGTCACGAATCTGGGGACAATCCGCTAGTTAAAGCTCCTGCACGGTCGGTTGGACAGGTCTTTGGCCATTTTGGCGCCAAAACAAAACAACAGCATTGATCTGACAGTGAGGGCAAAGACGGCAGGTAAAAACTCAACCATTTTTTTCCATCTATTGACAGATGCATTACAGACTCGAGTTGTTTTTTTAATCTTTAAATTCAATTATTTGTCTATATAACAAAGCATACCACCCTATATATAGTTCCGGGACTTTGTGTACAGCCTCAGTATAGACGTCAGTCTGATATCATTAATAAACATTAAAATTATTTACATAAAAAATTATTTCCTTGATTGACCCTTGTTTTCATATCCTGTTTTTTTTCCAGTGAGGAGTATACTTACCAACGCTTAAACGAATTTCGTGATTTTAGTAGTCTGCCTTATTACGATACACATGCCTGTTCTTGTCGAAGCTGCGCCTGCTCACCAAAAAGCTCCGACCATCGTTGGTACCCAAACCAAAGTCATATGGAAAAGTGTAATGTTTTGCCAACATGTGAGAAGAACCCGTGCAAAACTACTGGTGCACCCGTGCCGAAAAGAACGCCTGTGTTGAAGACACGCCCACCGCCGCCTCGAAAGAAGAAACAGCCGTATGTCGCGGTATGTGCAAGGCATTTGTATTTAACATAAATATTTCAGCAGCCGATAGAAATGCTGTTGTTCCTGAAGGTCGCAGACCTCAAATTGATTGCATAGGTTAAATAATACCTTTGACGCAATCGCAACTTTTCGGCCCTTTCCGTAAGTCTTCGGATAAGGACCTCGAATTCAAACCTAAGCTACGAAACTTAACATGTAAACAAATACAAAATGTAGAAATTTAATGCTGGGAGTTGTTGATAAGTTTTTTTTCCAATATATCAAAATAATGTCCAACTAAAATGAGTAATTTATAGATATAAAGATAAAGAATACTTTATTTATATACTTATTATTATGGTTTTAGAAACCGAATGTACAAAATGCAATCCTGTAGACAATAAGTCGGATTTGTTTAAAGTTGCGCATAAGTGGGCATATTTAATTAAAAATGGTTGTCCAACATATGTTCAATCATCATTGTACCAGAAAGAATATATTGACATTTGGATGTCAAATATATACATTGGTTTAACATTATCTATGTTTCTGTTTACATCTGAAACCAAGTGGTAGAACCGTATTAACTCCGAGGTTATAGGATGTTCCGCTTAACAATTGTTATCATGATAAAAAGTTAAATGTTGCAAGCTTTGATGATCATGTCCTAAGTTTTTTGTACTGGTTCTGTGAAGTATTTCAACAGAAATAAGTATTTCAACAGAAATAAATATACTTGGTGGACACACTTTTAGTGTAAAACAAATACTGATATTTATTATTTGTTTATTTTCAGCAAATACCCAGGCTTGGTGATGCACCCACATGCATTCCAAAATTGGAATTTTTTGCCACATCCCTCACTGTGAACAATTACAACCCCGTCAGAACCCCGCCTTCTCCAGCTCACAGATCAGCCCCGAACTCCGCCTCCTCGCTGATAATGAATTGTAGGCGTGGCACAAAATCCCCAATTCACGTGTCAACTAGCTGTGTGTATCTTCTGAACCAAAATCTGAAAGGTTTAGAATGATTAGTATGGTTCTATAAAAAGTATGTTAGGCCTCTGATATTTTCTATAGAAAAGGGTCAGTTTCTTTTTTGTATTCCGAGAGGAGTCTTTGGACGATAAAGACGATAAAATACATTTCTTTCACTTTTTGTATAAAACGGAGATCTATTTTAATTGTACAAATGTAGTAAATAATAATAAAAAAGTAAAAATAATACATGAGCTTGCAAACGTTCTGGACTAAAACAGTCTGTTCTGTAACTGGAACTTATTGTACACCTGATCCGCAACTTTTAGCCCCTTTATTATCTTCCAGGTGTTCCGAATGTTCCTTAACTTAAGAGGTTGAGCGGACTGATTGTAATTAAAACTCTTACTCACTGAGTATTTTCTGTAGATTGTTCATCTCAAAAAATGCAGAAATAAAGTCCGATTTCTTCTTCAGTTGGAGTGTCCGCAGCGGAGTGATTAAGGTCGTTGACTTCAAACCACTTGCCCCTCCCCGTTATAGGTTCGAATCCCGCTTGTGTCTATAATAATGCCCGGAGGGGTCCAGAGGTCTTCCTCCACAAAGCTGGAAAGTCGCAATATGACCTCTACAGTATTGTTGCGACGTAAACCCAAACACACAATCTTGTTTCTTCAATCTTAATTTATATAATATACATTCATACTGGTTGCAAATTTCGACAAACATCACTCGTCATTATGAATGCATATTATTGTCGTCTGTAATTTGAAATTTACAATTGAAAATAAATACAAATTATTTGGATTAATTATCGTAACTAATGTATATTTTCTTCTTATGTGATTTGTATTTTTTTAAACATTCAAATTTATTTTGTATGATAATTAACTCGATATGAAATTAATTAAAATATTTTTTTGTATAGCTTTGAATTACACTTGTGTTACATCACTGTTGTACATCTGCCCCTCGAAACGTAGAAAACGAAAACATAGACACTTGATGGCAACATTTTAATTCATTGTGACCGACTATCTGCCGTGAATTTTATAAACTTTTATAAATAACTCAAACACTTATCAAATCAATAAAAAATCTACTTTGGCGGTAGATTTTTATTGATTTAATAAGTGTTTGAGTTATTAATAAAAGTTTAGAAATCTATAAAATTCACGGCGGAGAGTCGGTCACAACGGGTAGTAGATAAAAATAAAATTTTGCCATCAAGTGCCTATGAACGAAAGTAAAAAGGTTTACGTCGAGTTCACCGGAGGTAATGTTGCAACGTATCATAACTTAATCGATTTTTCCAAACTAAACACTTTTGTGAAGCTAAATATGTCTGGTTTTTAAGCAGTATTTGATTTTTTTCTGCAAATTGAATACTTTTTGTTAAATTGGCGATGAAGTGTACTAGCATTTGTTGACAATTGCGAACGATGTTGATATTTACCATTAAATCAAGCCCAAAACGAATTTTCGGTATCAAAATACGTCTTTAATACAAAAAATAAACTTCCTTCTTTCTAGCGGCAAACGTTATTTTGTGTGTAATTGAGTTTATTTATACTCGCCGCCGGTTGACCATATGGGCGAGTCCTCCAGAAGAGTATAAGTCATTTTATATTTTTTGGAGGATAGTGCAAGATACAGATACAGAAAGATGCCCCAATTCCAGAAGCTTTTGCTTCTTTAGCATGGCAAGTGTTTAAGCACTCATACACGGAACCTCGATTTAAAATGTCATCCGAAAGACTGATTAGTAATTTTAGTTGGCCAGCCCGGGAATCGAACCCGCAATGTCGAGATTACAAGTATCGCGCTCTAACCGATTGAGCTATGCGGGCTGGCAACCTCGGATTATATTTCCAAACAATCGTTTATATAGGGCCATATAACCTGTCAAAAATCTTTATAACTAATAATATAAACGTGACGATTATCCAATGAAAAGCTACGTTACAAACGTGCCGCATTAAACAGAAATACTTACATGGGAAACAAGCGGCGTCATGTAAACATTACTGTTGATTCATAACGCTATCGTGCCATAATAACACCCCAGTTACACAGAGCCATCGGTGATTGATCGGTAGTTTTTTTTTAGCCAAAATATAGAGTGAACCGATGACAACGTATTTAACACCGATATCACCTATTGGCCACCTGTTTTTCACCTATCAACTGCTATTGGGGAAAGATAAGTTTTATCGGTGAAAAATTACCGATTGGGATTTTTAAACATGTTTAAAAATCTCAGGATCGGTGAAATTTTTTTTAGAAATAACCGACAGCAACCTATATCACGAGATATGCGAGCTCCTAATCACCGATGTCGCCGATCGGACAAAAATAACCAAAAAAGAATCACCGGCCATATCTGACGAGTTAAACCACTGATGGACTAGCTATCGAACACCGATTAATCAGCGTTACGCCCGATTTAGCTTCGATTTACAAACGATAAAAACCGATAGTATTTCAGCACTTTTATCACCGATCCAACCCCGTTTCAGTTTGCTTTCTGTCACCTATGGCCGTTTACACAGAAAACCAGAAATAAAATCACGCATGACAACCGATCATAACAGCGAGTAAATCTAAAATTAAATGACCGATTTTGGACCGACCGTCTGTGTAACTGGCCCATTATAAATATTTACAAGTTAAATGTTGATGCTGCACATCAAAGACGCCGCAAAATGATGTGAACATTCAATCAGCATTGAAACTCGTTCTCTATTACAGTTGAATATCCGAAGCACAATTCAATTTGTTCTCCATGTTCTTTGAATGTGCTCGCTGTTAATAATGATAAGTTGCATATTTTGTGAAAAAGTAGAACCTAATGCATAAAATTATTCACAAAGAAATGCCATGTCTGAAATTCTGAAATGTTTGTCTGTTGCGACAAAGATTGAAACGTCTGGTCGAAGCATAATAAATTGGATAACAAGTAAAATTGAAATGATTGGTATACTTAAAATAAATTCAAGTCAATATGTGCCGAGAATATGTCCATTTTAATATTGGTATGAATTGCATAATGGTCGAATGATTTTGAGGACGAACTGTTCTGCAGTGATCTCGCCTTACTGGCCGGAGCGTAACCGGTGCACATAGTTTGGCGGTTAAGGAAGAACCGCCTATCTGATACTGGGCGTGGTTTAGGCTTAGTAACTTGTAATTTAACGATTCGACAAGTGATATTGATCAAAGTTGTTCTGGTTTCCTCCCCGTCAACGAATACTAAATACTAGCATACGGCGTACCATATTAAATTTGGCGACAATTTAAGGCGGATCTGAACTTCAGCAGAGGCGGAGCAAATGAAGTGAGTGACACTGCCTCAGTCGTTACCTCTCTCAACGGCGAGCTCAATTATGTAGAAAATTAGACAAGTTTGCTTCTTTAAAAAGAAGCATGCGAGAGGTCTTTTTGCTGCTGTGGAAAATTTGTTTCATTCGAAAATATTTGGGGATATTTTTGCATAACAAACACAATGAATGCTTATAAATTACAATTATTAAACAAAATAGAATTTATTATATATATTGCAATGAAAGTTTGTTTTACATTTCATCTTTTTTAATGTTTTAAAAGATTATATGCCGGAGAAATGGACTTTTTTCTTGGCGCATTAGGGATACTTTTTCTACAAAAAAAAATTGTAAAATTACTTTATGTAAATTAAATGATTTATATCATTTACATTTGTATTTTAAACTAGAAAAAATATATCTATATTAAAAGTATTTTCAAAATAAAAGTTTCTTGTAAAGTTCAATAAGCAAATTTTCGGTCACTGGTTTGTTAAATATAAGGAAGCATTTCCTCTACATTTTCCAAAACGAGTATAAAGTATGTTAATCAAACAAGTTTACATAAAAAATGTTGATATTTGATTGGAATAAACAGTAAATACTGTTATATACTGTTATATACTGTTTATTGGAATAAACAGTATATAAAGCTGCATGCCTCCAACCACAATATTAAAAGAAAATCAAACTTGAGATAAAATTTGTGCCATTTGCGCCAAAAAATCTCCCTTTGCGTTATTTAGATATACCGGTTCAATACACGGTTCACTCGGTCATATAATATGTTTGTTTGTTTCATTGTACGCCTTTTCCAAACAGTATTTTAGTCATTGAAAGTTCTGTACGTTACATAGTATAGTACAGAACATATGTCTTAACATGGCGGGATTCACAAATGCGCGAGTCATTTGTGCATAACGGTCACGTGGTATTAGGCTGTATTTGGCGGCAAAACAGAGCGGGTTTTCATTCTAGGCTTGACTTCTGTCCTTTCAAGGCGTAAATTTTATTAGGCTTTATTTTGAAAATGTCTGACGACGACAGGATGGATGGAATGGAGGGGATTATTGAAGACAAGGTGCAGTCAGCATTGAAGGAGAATAATGAGCAGCTGTTGAAAAATATTGAGGGCATGATAAATAAGATAAGTGTTCCAATTCCTTCTTGTTCTGATATTCAAGAAAAACCAAAACTTAAAAGGAAGAGTAATGACGAGCAATACAGACATAATGCTAAAGTAATGGCTAAATTAGAAGATGTTAGCACATCTTTGTCTTCACAAGATATCGATAGAGCACGAGTTTCAGTTATAGAAGGTAACATTTTTTCATTTCGTTCGTAACCAATTTTATAAATTTGCGTGGCCTGATCAGTGTAGTCTAAGGTATGCACTATGTAAACATAGTATGGACTCGATGTAACAGTAAATGTGTATTGAATGCATGTATAAAATATTTGCAAAGAGTTATGTACAGTATAATTGAAATGCTTTATTTTTATTTAGCAAAAGACCTTATAAAACGGAGGCAGAAGTTAATTCAACTGGCTGATGGTTCTGAGCTGGGTTGGCGCCTCGTGGCGGAGTATGAGTCGAATCCAATTGCGTCTGGCAGTGAAGACGAGAAGCGCATTTACAAAGCGGAGGCCAGGGCGAATAGGAAGGCTAAGGCGGATAAGGTCAAGAAGGCGAGAATAAGGAATTTGCCTTATCGTAGACGAGTCAACACGGGGGAACAGACGACTAGTCAGCCTCAGCGTTCTATGGGTTCTACAGGACAGACTCAGCGTACAGGAGCATGTTATACCTGCGGGGATTTTGGACACTGGAAGGCAGACTGTCAGCAAAACAGGCGTCCTAACAATAAGTTAAGTGTTTCTAATTGTCATATTTTTTGTGATGAAAAGTCGCAAGACTGTATGGTTGACAACGGACTTTCTGTCCAGAGAGAGGGTATTATGTTAGATACCACGTTAAATGTTGATTCTTTAGATTGTAGAGAAGCTAGTAACTTGAAGTCTGGTTGTCATAGTAACGATTATCCAGCAATTTTCGGTAAGAATTATATTTGCAATAATGTTGATCAATGTGAAATTTCTACTATTGCTGAAAAGGATAAAAATCATGTAAGTAATTTTAGTATTAATGGTTTATCGCCAAAAGGGCGTCTTAAGGAATCTTTAGAATACTGGAGAAAAATCACTTCAGATAGTTATTTACTTGACGTTGTAGAAAATGGATATAGGCTACCCTTTAGAGAAACGCCCCCGGATATATATTTAAAAAATAACAAGTCTTCAAGAGAAAATCCAGATTTTGTAGAATCAGAAATAAGCTCTTTATTGAGCAAATGTGTTATCTCACAGGTTCAGAATAAACCAAGAATAATTAACCCTTTAACAGTCGCTTACAGTAAAACTGGTAAGCCTAGATTAGTTTTAGATTGTAGGCACATCAACCCTTGTTTACATTTGTTCAAAATTAAATTTGAAGACATTAAAGTCGCTCAACAGCTGTTTGACATATCCAGTTATGTATATACATTTGATTTAAAAAGCGCTTATCATCATGTAGAAATTTTTTCAAAACATAGAACTTTTTTAGGTTTTTCTTGGACATCTAAGGGTAAAACAAAATATTATATGTTTAACGTCCTCCCTTTTGGCATAGCAACCGCAGGTCATATTTTCACAAAATTATTAAGGTGTGTAGTAAAATTTTGGCGATCTTTAGGTCACAAAGTCGTTATGTTTTTAGACGACGGCATTGGAGGTAATGCGGATTTTCAGCAAGCTAACATTTCAAGTTTGTTCATTCAGAAAACGTTAAATGAATTGGGATTTTTGATAGCTCAAGAAAAATGTAATTGGTTACCGTCTCAACATGCTAGCTGGTTGGGGCATGATTTAAAATTTTTGTCGAATAGATTGTTTATCAGTTGTGAGAGAATTAAACGTCTCGAATCATCTATAGATGTTTTGTTGTTAATGCTCAGGGCTGAAAATACACAACTTATTCAGGTGAGATCTTTAGCCTCAGTTGTAGGCCAGGTGATATCACTGCTTAGTGTCATGGGGACAGTGGTTTGTCGCAAAACGAGGTATTTGCATAAGTGTATAGAAAATAGAACAAGTTGGAATAGCAAAGTAAGTGTGACAGACAAAGCTTTACAAGAATTGTTGTTTTGGCGAGAAAATGCGTCGGGTATGAACAAAAAAGGTAAAATCTGGAAAGAAAAGTTAGTAGTTGATGCAGTCGTGTTTACAGATGCAAGTAGATTGGGCTACGGTGGGTATATTGAGTTTGTGAATACATTTGATAGTAAGGAAGTAAGTTCAGGAAGTAAGTATGCCCAAAATTTTGAGACTGGAAGTAAAGATTTTAAGAAAGTAATAAATTCGAACCTGGTGCCCGCAAAAGAAGTAAACATTAAGTCTCCGGAGGTAGACTCAATCAAGGAATCCTGGGAGCTGGATTCGAACAAAGCATGCAAGGTAAAATGTTTAAACCACAAGTCTTCAGTAGAAGACTTAAGAAATAAGTCCCCGGAAGTGGACTTGAATTTGTCAAGGGTAAAAGTCTTGAACTGCAAGACTCATGTAATGGACATTACAATATCGTCCCCGGAAGAGGACGCTAATATAGATTCACCGGAAGTGATCTCAAGTTCCGTGTCTTTAGTATATGACACGAGGATAGACGGGCTCCCGGAAGTGAGCTGTCGTTTTAGTGGGTTCCCGGAAACGGACCATTTTTTCAAAAATAATGTTTTAGATGGGCATTGTATGTATGATAGTGATTTGTATGAATTTTCAGATCGTTATGCAGATTACGAACATGATCAAGGGTTCAGTGTTAGAGGGAAAGTATCACATTTAGTTGGCGCATGGCATGCGCAAGAAATAAAAAGTAGTTCTACATGGAGAGAATTAGAGGCAATGTATAGGATGTTGTTAAGTAATCTTCCGAAACTACGTGATAAGAGTATCAAATTTTTTACTGATAACAAAAATTTAAAGTTTATCCTTCAATCAGGTAGTAATGTCGAGCAATTACATGAAACTTGCTTAGATTTTCACAGAACATGTGATGAGAATCAAATTACATTTGTCGTTGACTGGATTCCTCGTTCGTTAAATAGTAGAGCTGATCATTTAAGTAGATGTTTAGACTCAGATGACTGGTATATAAGCAATCATGTATTTCAGTATTTAGATAAAATGTGGGGTCCACACACTGTAGACCGATTTGCTACACACTATAATTGCAAGTGTCGGAGATTTAATTCAAAATGGTGGGTACCTGGTACAGAGGGTATTAATTGTTTTGATCAGGTGTGGAAGAATGAAAATAATTGGTTGGTACCACCACCAAGCAACGTTGCTAAGACGATAGTAAAACTGGAAATAGAGAAGTGTATTGGTACACTTATTGTTCCAAAGTGGAAGTCTGCACCATTTTGGCCTTTATTGGTAGATACACAGGGACAATTTAAAGATTTCATTAAAAATACATTTGTGTTACCCTTTACAGGCGCAGTTTGTAGAGGCAAGGGAAACAACGGTGTTTTCAGCAAAGAACCGTTTTCTTTCAGAATGATGGCATTGCGGTGCGACTGTACCAGCTAAAAGATTTAAATATTTAACAGATAAAAAACGTATAGTACAGTCAATTTTCAAGATTGTTTAATATGCTTAATATATTTTCAGGTGTTGGCTTAACACGAAATCTGAAAAATCAATTTCTGGATGCCGGAGTTCCAGTGAGAAATATTGATAATGTAGTGGGCAGGATGGCCGATCAAATTTTACATTCCAGAGCGGATGGAACTATTTCAAAGTATTATTCACATGTTAAACAATTTAAAGAGTTTTGTTCAAAACACGGATTTCAAGCTTACCCAGCTTTTCCTATCCATGTAGCGATGTATCTTTCGGAGTTAATAGATTTACATAAATCTGACACTGTTGTTTCAGCAGCGTTTTACGCAATAAGGTGGTTACATGAAATAAACGATTTAACTGATCCCACAAAGAATGCCATTGTGATTAGAATGCTTGAATGTGCAAAAAGAACAAACTCTAAGCCTGTACAGAAGAAAGATGTTTTATTGCCGGAACATTTAGTGAAGCTTTGTGACTTATTTTCAACAACAAAAGACATTATAGTTTTAAGAGACTTAACAATGATTCTTTTGTGTTTTGCTGCTTTCTTTAGATATAATGAAGTTAGTGATTTACGATGTTGTGATGTTAAATTTTTTGCTGATTACATAGAGGTTTTTGTTAAGAAAAGCAAAACAGATGTATATCGAGAAGGCAAGTACGTAGTAATTGCTAAAGGGGTCACTAGTGCGTGTCCGGTTTCTATGTTACAACGATACATGAATTGTGCCGGTTTGTGTTCTAATTCGGATATGTATTTGTTTCGTCCAGCGTGCAGATCTGGTTCGAGATGTTTTCTTTTAAAGAAAGACAAAAAGCTTAGTTACTCTCGCGCACGTGAATGTATTGTTAGCAAGTTAAAATTAGTCGCGCCAGACATGAATTTGGGTACGCATTCATTACGCGCAAGCGGAGCTTCCGCGGTCGCGAACGCAGAAGGTGTTTCAGAACGTTGCCTTAAGCGACATGGAAGATGGAAGTCTGATTTAGCTAAAGATTCATACATAAAAGATTCTATTCAAAAGAGATTGTCTGTTTCTAAGACGTTAATGTTATAAACATATGTCTAATATACAAGTATACTATTAGATCTATTTCTGTATTCGTTCTCGAATTTGAATTTAAACAAGTCTCTAACATTTGTATTTGTTCTATCGAAGTCTTGCCCACTGCAACATTGTGTTATGTTATTTGTGAGTAGGCATGTTAAGACTATAGGCGGGTAGTTTCCTAACCATCGTTCCTGGAGAGTTACACCAGTACTAGACAACCTTCCTCCGCGCTAAACTAACAAAAAAAGCATCTCCAGGGGATCGAACCCACGCCAGAGAGTTTACTAGATTAAAAGTCATCGACTCTAACCCCTCGACCATGGAGGCGGTATATATAGTGCATGGTGATATTGTAGCTATAATGTTCACTGTTACTATTTATCAGAACATGAAATAGTAAAACGTTATTCAGAAAACAATACGGTAATCGATTTATACAGTTACGGAATGAAACATCCATGCACTTAGTGTTAAGTAACGTAAATGATATTTTCCGATTTTTCTATGTACCGATTTGTTCATTTCGATGTTAATTTTTCGTTTAAGTTAAGCCGTGTTTTGAAACGGGGCATGCGCAAAACAATTTTTGTAGACTGCTCCTAATGCTTTTGCGCTTAAAATGATATTCATTCACTGCAAATCAGATACGCAAAAATGGATGCCGCCAGCAATCAGTCTGAACACTATGGAGAGGTCTGATGACCTCTCCAATAATGATAAAGAGAATATGATATTCAAACATGGCACTATCACTTTGAAAGTTAAACGTTTATTCTAATCCTTTAAAGCCCTTTGTCATGTTGTACATCAGAAAAGCTATTTTTATCAGAAAAGAATGAAAACAGTGTGATTTTTGTTGAAAAAAAATTATACACAAAATCAACTCTAAAATTTTCCCATTGCTGTATGGACATAAGCATTTCTACTAGACGCCGCGTGCAAAGACGCCGCGTGTGCGCGGCTATAATAATTCCATAAGGCAGACCGATTGGATTTTATTCTTCGTTTGTCATTGTTTAGACCTGATTTATAAACTTTATTACATGCCAATACACAATTAAGAAGTGAATACATGTACATGTATATAGCAACTAAAAAGCATGCCTACGTGTCCACGCACTAACACAAAAATTGGTTGACAATGAAAATGGAAAGTGGAAATACAGAAAGAAAAAACTCACCCTTTATCATCTACCAACAAATTTCAAAGAATATATTGTTATATTTATAAATCTATAATATTATAGATGTTGAAATATGATTTTTTTTTTCAAAACAGCTTACATTTAGATTTTTTTGACATTTATGATAAGTATATGTGCAGTGATTGATAATAAATTAATTATATTTGATTTTAATTAAGTATAGATCGGTAATTTTTGTAATCAAGTTACACGTCATGGTGGTTGTATACAATCGCAACTACTCGGCCCTTTCCGTCAGTCTTCGTATAAGGACCTCGAACACAATAGCTAGTATGAATACACAGAACGGATGCGGTATTTCGGTCTAACCTACGCTAAGAAACTAAACATGTAAACAAATAGTAATTTAATGCTGGGAGTTGTTGACAAGTTTATCTCCAATATATGTAGTAAAAGTCCACCAAAATAAGTGAATTCATAGGTGAAAAAACAAACAATACATTATTTATAAATTTATTATTATGGTTGTAGAAACCGAAAGTACGAAAAACCAACCTGTTGACATTTGGTCGGATTTGTTTAAAATTAAACATCAGTGGGTATATTTAAATTACACATTGTTGTCAGACATATTTTCAAGCATAAGAATACCGGAACAGACATAAGATGTCAAATATATACATTCGTTTTACATTATCTCTGTTACTGTTTACATCTGAAACCACGTGGTAGAACTACTTTCAATCCGTATTGTTTCCGAGGTTATTATAGATAATAGCCGAGACAGTTCCGAATGGGTTGTATAATTATATTTAAGTTGTTGTCAATAATCAAGTAACACGTTCCGATTGCCGTATAGATTGGTTAATTTCTGTCTTTTAGTTGTTGTCAATTATCAAGTTACACTTTCTAATGGCCGTATAGATTGATTAATTTCTGACCTTTGTTGTCAATAATCACAATAATCAAGTAACACGTTCTGATGGCCGTATATATTGGTTACTTTCTGTCTTCTAGCTGTTGTTTATAATCAAGTAACACGTTCTAACGGCCGTATAGATTGGTTAATATCTGTCCTTTCTTGTCAATAATCAAGTTATACGTTCTGTGATAGCCATATAGATTAGTTTATTTCTATCGTCTGATCTAGTTACACGTTCTAGTGAACAGTGTATATTGCGAGTCATCATACAGTAGGTCCGGACTACTGTCGAGAATTTGCCGTCTCGTGGCACTTCCGCAATAGCAGTTTGTTCCATATTGACGGGCATGCCTATGGTCTACGGACAGATATTGGTTGCCATAATTATTCGCACAAAACGCCAGACATTCTGACTCTGTCAAAGGGGTGCCGCTGCTGTCGCCCACATTGTTCTTACGGATATATTGCCCCTCGTACCTTTCAAAAGATGTATAGCTGTCACAAACTGAAAAAATGAGGTAAAGATATGTCTTGTTATAACATAAAATAAAAATTATCGAACAATTTTAATAAAGCTGCATGCCTTTAGGTGAGCCAAAATATTTCAAGATGATTAAATTTGAGAAACATGTTATACAATTCAAATAAAAGTAAAAATTTCATGATTCAAGTACTATTATCTTCATGTAATGTGCGATTAATGACTAATTTTGCAGTATTAATTACCATATTTCTACTGCGTGACTAACGTATATAGGGCTAAGTTTTTGTATATTTTGACCACTTTTTGGTACGTAGATTATAGGTGCCTTTTGCAATGGATTTTGAGAGATGCTGCTTAAAACCTAAAATATCTTAATATTTTCAAAATGTTTTTAGTTTGTTTGTTTTTATCTTTGTCCCGCTACAATCTCCAAAATGTTACTTACTGGCCATAAAAGTTGATTTTGCGTGTTGGTGAATCGTACATATATAGCGACTAAATATTTTGTATGGAAGTCAAAAAAATACCACTTTACTTTGTTTACATTTTGATACCTTAATCAGAATTTATTTGACGCTATTTGAGCCGTGTGACGACAAAACCAACATAACGGGTTTGCGACCAGCATAGATCCAGACCAGCCTGCGCAGTCTGATCAGGATCCATGCTGTTCGCTTACAAACCCTATAACAAGTAGAGAAACTTATAGCGAACAGCATGGATCCTGATCAGAATGCGCGAATGCGCAGGCTGGTCTGGATCCATGCTGGTCACAAACCCATTATGTTGGTTTTGTCGTGACGCGGCTCATTTTAAGTGTTCTTAATACACAATTGCAACATTATGAAACATATAATTAACCTTTCTACAGAAAAAAACAAACAATTTGAGCAAAAAAAATATTTTAAACAAGTTAATTTGGAAAATGCTTCTCTTTTATTATTTAGCAAGTTAAATAAATGCTCATTTTGCAAACAGTAACGGCTCTCAATCTAAATTCATCATACAACTCTAATAAATGTAAAAAATATATTCTGATTTAATATAATTCCACGTTTTATATGTAAGGCAAAAAAGAAAGAAAAAGAAACCATTAGGTTTTGTTTTCCTATAAGATAAAAATGACAAGAGTATGGGTACATGTACATGTATATTAAGCATTTCAAAAATTGCTGGGAATCGAAGTTCCGCCAGAAATACCGGTATGTTTTTGTGAAATAGACATATTTCTCATCAACAAAGCTTATGTTCCTTCTTTTAAGAGAAATGTTGTTACTCCAAAGGAGTCTACATTAAGATTACATTTAGTCTATATAAAGGTAACCCGAGAAAAACATGGCATACCCCAAGGCGCCGGGATTTGTTGGGTTTTTTTTTCGATTTTTTTGTCGTCCATTTTGTAATCATGTGTTACTTATGTCTCCGTTCTGATTGGCCTAGGGCAGGCGGTGTACGATAGAAATGATCTAATCTTGTTAATTATATATATGTCGCAAAAGTTTAGGAAGTTGGACTTGACACACGTGTCTATATATAGGATTTCATATTTGGTTAAAATCATTGATTTTTATACCAGTTGGCATTTTTAAGTTTTATTTTCAGATTCAGCAAGACTTTGTTCTGTAGTAAACATTCCATCTACCCTGGGATGTACTATCGTATGTTCCAGATCTACCATACGGGAGGGCATCGTCGGATACCCACGATTGATAAACATGTCACATAACATGCAATCAACCGTGGGTAAAATGAATCGATTTGCGTCGACATACAGCAACAGGTGCGTAAAATATCTACCAATGACATCGCGTTTAACAAATCTATATTCTTCAACAGCGGAGGTAAAAACAATAAGAAAAAAATGGCAGCGCCCACGGTTAAAAACTGTTGCACGTGTCTTGCTAAAATCATTGGCAAAAACTATCGCCAAATTAGTTCTTCTGCAAGCAGATATCAATCATAAAGGAAAAATCACGCTGTAAAAGTAAATTATCTATACTTTCTTGCTGGAAATCGTTTAATTTTTCGATGTTAAACTTTTTACGTCGTCTATGGTTGTCGCAATATTGTCTGTAATACCGAGCGTCGTACAGAACGAGCGTTTTGATTGGTTTTAATCGCCTCATGAAATCGTGAGGCAGCCAATGAAATAGCTGCCTTTGACACACCTCTAATCGACTGAATATCGGCAAAAAATCCCACGGCTGATGAATGATAATGGTTCGGCCGTGGGTATCCGACGATGACGGGAGGGTAACCACTAATGTATATTGCAAAAGTTGTATAGGGGGCACTTATTATTCTTTCTCCATATCTAAAAGTTAAACATCTGTCGTCATATTGCCCTTAAAATTATTACCCAGAGACCAAATGCAATAGAAAATCCTGACAAAGATCTCCCGAAAGTATAGAAAACCGAATAAATCAATGAAAATGATATTCTGAGTTTGATAGAGTTTATTCATTGGAGACAATGAAATATAAAAACTGTTCATGAGAAAACATGAAAATTACAAGTGTGATATGAGCCGCGTCACAACAAAACCAACATAATGGGTTTGCGACCAGCATGGATCCAGACCAGCCTGCGCATCCGCGCAGTCTGATCAGGATCCATGCTGTTCGCAATCAGTTTCTTTACTTGTTATAGGGTCTGTAAGCGAACGGCATGGATCCTGATCAGACTGCGTTATGTTGGTTTTGTCATGACACGGCTCATATATGGTTCCTAACCTACCTTTTATGCACACAGTAAGCGTTTGGTTAAATTCGTACAGTGGTTTACAAATGCAACGGCTCCCTATTGAATAAAGTCCTGTATAAAGACACCTTTGTGCTGGATCCACGCAGTCTGAATCAACATTACAACTACTACCAGGTTGAACAGACGCTAAAAGAATCAAACATTCTCTTAGTCTCGAAACAGATGATATAAAAAAGCATGAAATAAAATAAAAACTGAGCGAATTTTTATATAGACTTACTGGTAGATGCATCAGACGATGTTTTGATGATTTTAACATTGTTAAAATACTTTGTAACCGGTGAAAGTCCAATAAACAAATGTTTTTTACCAGCTGTTTGTAAATTACGTCAAAATACATTTTACGTAAACTATTGAGAAATTGGTGAAATATAAAAGAAGTACCTATACATCTAAATTCAACGGTCTCCCATTCCCCTGACAGTTGACATGTCACGGATGTTACAGCATCGTTAGGCTCGACAAGAAAACCTGAGGTACAACTGTATTGCGCAACTGACCCTACAGATGTGGAACTGTAGCTAGGTTGTCCATTGAAAAGAGGAGGTGGTGTCCCGCAATTTACTTGTTGACATGTAAAACCAATGGTTTCCCATTGTCCTGTATTTAGACAAACAAAGGACAATGGACTGCTTACTGGAGAAACCGCATAGCCCGAATTACATGTATATGTAACAGTTGAGCCGACAGCTGATGACGAATATACTTTTTGAGCATTGGCTACATCCAATGGAGTACCACAACTGATTTGTTGACATGTAAAAGCAATGGTTTCCCATTGTCCTGTATTTAGACAAACAAAGGACAATGGACTGCTTACTGGAGAAACCGTAAAACCTGAATCACAAGTATATGTAACAATTGAGCCGACAGTTGATGACGAAAATACTTTTTGAGCATTCGCTACATCCAATGGAGTACCACAACTGATTTGTTGACATGTAAAAGCAACGGTTTCCCATTGTCCTGTATTTAGACAAACAAAGGACAATGGACTGCTTACTGGAGAAACCGTAAAACCGGAATCACAAGTATATGTAACAATTGAGCCGACAGTTGATGACGAATATACTTTTTGAGCGTAAGCTACATCCAAAGGTGCAACACAATTTACTTGTTGACATGTAAAACCAATACTTTCCCATTGTCCTGTATTTAGACAAACAAAGGACAATGGACTGCTTACTGGAGAAACCGTAAAACCTGAATTACAAGTATATGTAACAGTTGAGCCGGCAGTTGATGACGAAAATACTTTTTGAGCATTGGCTACATCCAATGGAGTACCACAACTGATTTGTTGACATGTAAAACCAATGGTTTCCCATTGTCCTGTATTTAGACAAACAAAGGACAATGGACTGCTTACTGGAGAAACCGTAAAACCCGAATCACAAGTATATGTAACAGTTGAGCCGACAGTTGTTGACGAAAATACTTTTTGAGCATTGGCTACATCCAATGGAGTACCACAGCTGATTTGTTGACATGTAAAACCAATGGTTTCCCATTGTCCTGTATTAAGACAAACAAAGGACAATGGACTACTTACTGGAGAAACCATAAAACCGGAATCACAAGTATATGTAACAGTTGAGCCGACAGTTGATGACGAATATACTTTTTGAGCATTGGCTACATCCAATGGCGCACCACAATTTACTTGTTGACATGTAAAACCAATACTTTCCCATTGTCCTGTATTTAGACAAGCAAATGACAATGGGCTGTTTACTGGAGAAACCGCATAACTCGGGTCACAAGTATATGTAACAGTTGAGCCCACAGTTGTTGCTGAAAATACTTTTTGAGCGTTGGCAACATTCAATGGTGTACCACAATTTACTTGTTGACATGTAAAAGCAATGGTTTCCCATTGTCCTGTATTTAGACAAACAAAGGACAATGGACTACTTACTGGAGAAACCATAAAACCGGAATCACAAGTATATGTAACAGTTGAGCCCACAGTTGTTGCCGAAAATACTTTTTGAGCGTTGGCAACATTCAATGGTGTACCACAATTTACTTGTTGACATGTAAAAGCAATGGTTTCCCATTGTCCTGTATTTAGACAAACAAAGGACAGTGGACTGCTTACTGGAGAAACCGTAAAACCTGAATCACAAGTATATGTAACAGTTGAGCCGACAGTTGCTGACGAATATACTTTTTGAGCATTGGCTACATCCAATGGAGTACCACAACTGATTTGTTGACATGTAAAACCAATGCTTTCCCATTGTCCTGTATTTAGACAAACAATGGTCAATGGACTGCTTACTGGAGAAACCGTAAAACCGGAATCACAAGTATATGTAACAGTTGAGCCGACAGTTGATGACGAATATACTTTTTGAGCATTGGCTACATCCAATGGCGCACCACAATTTACTTGTTGACATGTAAAACCAATACTTTCCCATTGTCCTGTATTTAGACAAACAAATGACAATGGGCTGCTTACTGGAGAAACCGTATAACCCGAATCACAAGTATATGTAACATTTGAGCCGACAGTTGATGACGAAAATACTTTTTGGGCATTTGTTACATCTGGTGGCGTACCACAGACAACTAGCTGACATGTAAAACCAATCAAATCCCATTGACCGCTGTTTAGACAAGTAACGTCCATCGATGCACCAGTTGGTGATACTTCGTAACCAGAAATACAGGAGAATGTCGCCACAGATCCTCCAGTCGTTCCAGTGTATGTTCTTTGCGCATTGGCAACGTTTCCTGGCAAGCCACAGTCTACTTGTTGGCAACTGAAGCTAACAGGTTCCCACTGCCCTCCAGTGAGACATGTTATCGACATCGTGGCACCCGCTGGTGAACTAGTGAATCCAGGCAAACATGTGTATTGTGCCGCAGATCCGATTGATAAAGAACTGTAGGTAACCACTGAATTAGGTATGTTAGCGGGAGTGCCACACGTGGTAACTTTAATAAAGAAAAACAAAGATGTTAAAGTACATTAATTATAATTACGTGTTTCTTTCATAGAAAATACTCATTATCATGGAATTTTATTAATGTATTGTCGCATTGAGAAATGAAATGAAATTGGAAATGGAATGGGTAACTATAAAAACATAATTGGCCTTTAAGATATACATGTTTTCCAGCAGTTGGTAGGGCGGTTAATATACGTACCTGAAGATGGACAAGGTGGTTGTTGGGACCAAAGGCCATCCGATTGGCACTCTTTGTAACTAACGCTGCCATCTTGTAAACATTTCAGTTTTACGACATCTCCAATCTGCCGCAAATTTCCAAACGTTTCTGCGTCTGTGACGTCAGGAGTATCACAATCTGAGTAAGCACAAATCAAGTTAGTGTGACTTCTTGATATTGAACTCATATACAGCAAATAGACAACAATTTTGTCAGAAATGTATATTTACGGTTGGTATACAGTAGTTAATATATTTATTGTGATAAAAAACAACACTTTTTATGATGTAGAGGTCCCGGGTTGGGGGGATTCAAGCGCGCCTTCTTGTGATCCATACCCTGCTTTTTTATAAAATACGACCATGATCCTCGCCCCCTTTTGATATTGTTTTTGTTTTAATTGATTAATTGTTAAATTTAATCAATGGAGTTTGAGTAACCAAATTTCAATATGACAATATACTAGTACTGCATGGTAAAACACATAATCAACGTGGACTAATATTAAAAAAAACCACACATTTAGAAAAATGAAATAAAATTCATTAATATTATATAGTAGAATTATATGAATTATTAAAGAAAAAAAAAACGATCAAAAGAAAAGTCAGATGGATCAATCCCCACTTAAGCCCAGACACATTGACATTGAAACATATTCTTCGGAAAAACAACAGCACTTCATTGACTCCGACAGTGGTTTTCCCTCATTGACCTTCAGCCCCCCCCCCCCCCGAGGATGGGGTGGAGAAATTTGAAATTTAACAATTACTAGTATATAATGCATTATTAGATTGCAGTTTTAAGCCTGCATTTCATCTGTAGATGTAATATTTATGTTCTATGTATACTAGTGTTTATTATAACAATGGAGTCTGATCAATCTTTTATAAAGGAGCTCCTACAAAAAAGATAAAAATATAAAATAATAAATCGAAAACATGAAAGTTTGAAATTTTTGTAATGCACTCGAATCGGAAAAAATCTGTAAAAGACAGTAAACGAATATGAACATCAAATATTTTAGCCCTGGTTTGGGTGGAACGCGTTCTAGATAATGCTTTTCAATTGTTTTTGTGATCATTTTGCAAAATAGCAATTAAAACAGAGCGAGGGAATATGTGGGCTGAATGGTTGGTCCAACCTACATCAAATATGGTACACATGTCTTGAAAAAATATTTCAATTCTTTTCAAGTTTTCACCTATAAAAAACAACTTCATTGGAATTCATTAATACGATATATTAAATAACGAGTACCTGTAATTGGACATGAACCAGAGCACGCGCCAGCTGTTTCCTGAAACACAATAATGACGTCAGAGATTAAAACTAATCGATTTGTTTAATTACTTGGCTGAATTACCAATTAGTATATCGTTTGCGTCATTTATTTTTATTCCATTCACTTAGAAGTATTCATTTTATTATATTTTTCAAAACATTTAACACTTGCATTAATCAGTTTTTGTATTTTGCTTTAATAGCCTGCTCAAAGTACATAAATATTATGGTAACTATAAATCGTTTATACAGTTGCACCTGCGTTAATCAACGCCACTAGATCTGTTCACGTGTAGGCGAGAAAAATTTGCAGGACTCAAACGTGGGATCATCGGAATATCGGTCTGCAGGTCTACTGGGGAAAAAGACCAACATTTCAGGACGGATTAGTTATTAAACAATAATGTAACAACTGATGCAGACAATGTATTCGTCCGCGTTTTATGTTTAACCCAAATGACAGGCAGCAACTATCAACCTGTTTGTTTGTTTGTTTCATTTTACGCCTTTTCCCAACAGTATTTTAGTCATATAGGTGGGTAGTTTCCTAACCATCGTTCTTGGAGAGTTACACCAGTACTAGACTACCTTCCTCCGTGCTAAACTACCAAAGCATCTCCTGGGGATCGAACCCACGCCAGAGAGGTAACTGGATTAGAAGTCATCGACTCTAACCCCTCGACCCTTCGGAGGCGGCTACACGTTTTGAATTTTCCTTATTGTTGAATATATATGACAGGGTAGAAAAACTATATGTACTCTTACTCCCGGCGAAATGATAATTTAAGTGAATTATACATTACTAAAATACAGCATTACAACAATTTAGCGATGCATAAAAAACAACAACAAAAAACGGAATTTAGAAGAAAAGAAATGTTAAAAACCAATATAAAGCTTTATCATACAATGTACACACGATTGGTCAGACAAACAAAATCAAATCTAGGAAGCCTTTACAAAGCTAGGTCTATTATCCTATGATAATAATAATAATAATGCTGATGGTGACGATCATGATGATGATGATGATGATGATAATAATAATAATAATAATAATGATGATGATAATAAAAATGATAATAATAATTTCAACAACAACAACACACACAAACAACAATAATAATATAATAATAATATAATAATAAAAATAATAATAATGATAATAATTATAATAATAATAATAATAATGATGATGATAATGATAATACTACTAATAATAATAATAATGATGATAATAAAAATGATAATAATTATTTCAACAACTGCAACACAAACAAAAAACAATAATAATAATGATAATAACAACAACACTAAAAATAATAATAATAATAATGATGATAATGATGATAATAATAATAATGATGATAATAAAAATGATAATAATTATTTCAACAACTTCAACACAAACAAAAAACAATAATAATAATAATAACAACAACACTAATAATAATAATAATGATAATGGTATTTATAATAATAATAATAATAATAATAATAATAATGTTTTTTATTGATGATGATGATGATGAAGACGACAACGACAATAATTATATTAATTTTATTTAGTAAAAAGGTAACGCATGAAGATACACCATCGTAAATCACAATAAACATATCTTAATTTTAAATGTGGCCTTCTAAACAATATATAAAAATACACACACAAAACAACATCATCAAACAGTAACAACTATTCCGTTTGTCAATTAAGCTTTGGTCCTATGACAGACATAATTCCAATGTTTTGAACCAACATTAAAATAACATTCATATATATTTCTTTCACAAATAATTAATAAAATAACAAATTAACAAAATAACATGCATCATAATGACATAATGACAGAGTTATGAAGATATTTATTTGATCTGCATGATATGCTTTTTAAATATATATATTTGAGCCACGCCATGACAAATCCAACATAGTGCGTTTGCGACCAGCATGGATCCAGACCAGTCTGCGTATCCGCGCAGTCTGATCAGGATCCATGCTGTTCGCTATAAGTTTCTTTATTTGTAATAGAGTTACTGCAGTATAGAGCTTGTAAGCGAACAGCATGGATCCTGGTCAGACTGCGCGGACGCATAGGCTGGTCTGGATCCATGCTGGCCACAAAAGCATTATGTACGTTTTGTCGTGACGCGGCTCATTTATTTTTAAAAGATGTCATAGAATTATTAGAACGTTTATTAAATGGTATTTTATTCGAAATCTTTGAACCATTGTAACAAAAAGTCTGTTTATCATAGTTTGTGCGTTGTTTTTGCACAACCATTTGTCATCTTAAAGACATTGTAACACAATTTTTTTTATGGTTTTATATCATAAATATAGTACATACATATAGATTTATCGGTATTGTGAGTTCCAAAAAGCATTATTTGTAAAGGTATTACCGAATTTACATTTCATGTAAATAACGGGGGGTAATTAGAAATTTATTTTCTATAAAGTCTAAGTCAAATTTTCCAATAAGAAATGAATGCATATATATCAATGATTTAATATAATGTGGACAAATATTTGCAGTACATATTTTACATATTATTCGATGTTTGAAAATTGTTTTAGTAGCATAATTATATACATATATAAAATTTCACTCAAGTGTGCTAACAACCTTAATTACAACATACAGGATCTTTAAATTGTGAATTTCATTGCTGGATTTACAAAATTAAATATTAAGATAATGAGTTTGATCTTATTTAAGAAAAACGTGATGGAACTAGTTCGTTTGTTTGACAGCACAACTGGTGTCACGTGCATTGTCCATCACGTGACACTAAAATAGGTTAGGGAAGCGTAAACCTTTGTACGAAACTTACATATAAGTAATGAAAAAAATAAACTGGTGAATGAGCATCATTTCAACATCAGAGTAAGACGAAGACGATCTTTTATCAGATCTACTGATTTAGGTTTTATCAACAGACCTATTTTATGATCTACCTAAAATATATACATGTATATACTCATTATACTTACCACCCGGAAGTCAGTTTTGAAGATGACGTCATGACCAACGCATTTCTTAAGATTATCCAAAGGGATTTTTGAAGGGGCTCAAAATTCGTTTTTTCTTTGAAAAACCACGGCCCCAAAACCCAAAGCCCGCCCCTCTGCCATTTCGGGTTGGCAGCATAAAAATGGGCTTCCGGTCCCCAAAACCTGAAAACGCGCCCGGGGTTTAAAACACCTACCCCAGAAAAATTTTACGGGCAAAGTTTGCATCTACAGCGTGAAATTTCATCACAATAAACAATATAATTATCAAACCGGACAACTGTGTTCTTAACATTGTAATCAATTTTGTCCAGTTTTAATATTTTGAATATTCCTTCTTAAGATTTAGAATTCTAGTTTCAAAGATACCTCAAAATAACGATTGATATAATAAAGGCTCGTCTAGTATATCCATGATTAAATAAACTCTTTGTACCAGCGCTTCGTAGTATAATAATACATTTGCAATACTCAACAGAGATTTGTAAGCAAATTAGCAGAAGTCACGCCCACTGGTTACATTCATTCCAATACTTAATTTAAAATGCTTCAAATATTACAATAATTAAATCTTTACGCACACCGGTAAACTTTTTTCACTCGACGGATGGTGTCTGTGAATAATTGATCAACTTAACAACGTCAGAAAACCAAGAACCGACTTAATTTAACGGCTATCCAATATTCTCAATTCTATGGTTTCGTGCCACCCCATTGTTGAGGACAAATTGGATTATAGATCGTTAGATTAATTATACAAAATGCAATCAACGTATTTCAAGTTGTTAGTCTGTATCCATTATCAATATAATTATAGGCAACTAGTGGTATAGAGTTCAAAGGCATACATATATCTCGGAATTTATCTAAAGTGAAACGTTTTAAGCTTTTAGCTTTACTAATTAAAGATTTATTCACATGCAATTGTGAAGTAATGTTACCTCTGATAGATAAGACTAGTTACAGATTTCAATAACCTCTCCACATAAAAGAAAATGAGATATCAAACAGGAGTGACAAGAATAATAAAACAGTGAAATTTGACTAGTTTGTTAGTCCCCCCACAAGTAGTCCGTCCGCACAAGTAGTCTGTCCGCACAAGTAGTCCACCCGCACAAGACTTTCAGTTTACAACTTTCTGTAAAAAAGTGTTTAATACGTTTCCGGGAGTACTTCGTTTATCTTTACGCATAAACAACTATAGAATAAAATCTGTTGCATAAAATTTCAGCATATTTTCCGTCATGGCAGAAAATTAAGTAACAAAAACAAATCTGAAAATCAAATGATCATGAGGCGTCGCCTGTCAGAGTTTTGACTGATGTGCCGTTTCGGAAAAGATTTTTCAAAATACTTGAATTCTGTAAATCACGAATCCTTCTAAAAACCATTTACGTCACGTGCATATATAAACTCCCCCCCCCCAAACAAAAACACAAAAAACAACAACAACAAACAAAGAAACCCACAGCAACACAAAAAACACTTTTACATATGAGGTTCTATGATGCTCTGTTGCTCAATTTTGAAATATGTGTAAAGCTCACCCACTTGACGCCCGAATACATAATTAAAGAATCAGGTGGATTAAAAGGCAGATTAATCAACTTAATTTGTACCATTATTCTTATCCAAAGTTTCTTCAATATGACGAAAAATTATTCAGGAATTGACAATTAGAATGTCTCATTAAGCAACTGGAATTTTCGTTCTCACAACTGGCATGGTAGAATAGCTTTCGGTGTAATCTAGATACTTAAATAGATATGAGCCGCGTCATGACAAAACCAACATAGTGCGTTTGCGATCAGCATGGATCCAGCTACGCATCCGCGCAGTCTGATCAGGGTTAATGCTGTTGGCTATCAGTTTCTCTACTAGTTATAGGGTTTGTAAGCAAACAGCATGGATCCTGATCAGACTGGGCGGATGCGCAGGCTGGTCTGGATCCATGCTGGTCGCAAACCCATTATGTTGGTTTTGTCATGACAAGGCTCATATATTTTCTTTTCGCCGACTCGAGGTTGCGAGAATGTACATAACGGAATTCTATAAACAACAATTATAAATGCTTAATTTACAAAGTCTTCTGTTAATTCTTTCATGGTTTGTTTACTGCTTATTAAAGTGTGTAATCTGCTTTTATTTGACTCATAAATACAAGGAAGAATTTGGTAGTTTTAAACAAGAAGGTAAAAATAAGAAAGGAGTAAAAGAATAATAATAATCATACTAAAATACTTCAACAACAACAAAGTAGATGACATATAGAGGATATTTGTTTGTTTGGCAAGTAAGATTGAAATATAATTTCACTGAGTGAACACCAGATGCAATATTTTCACGAGTGGCGTAGCCACGAGTGAAAATATAATAGAAGGTGTTCACGAATGATAAGTCGATGGATAAAGTCAATTTGGTAAAATAGACTGCCCCTTAGACTCAAGAATGGCATAATAAGTTCCTGTGTCCATTAATTTTAAGGCATTTAATAAGATCTTCAAAGAATATTACAACATATATATATAAACATGTAATTTCCTTCATCAAAACAGATAATCTTATAATGTTTTTTTTTATTATTAAACTTACAAACTGCTGTATTCTTTATTGTCTTATCATATATGTAGACATATTAATATTATTATTATGATATGTAACGTAAATAACTTTTGGTACTAGTAAAGTACATGTAATTGGCTCCTGCTATGGTATATATAATAAATTTGAGCCGCGTCACGAAAAAACCAACATAGTGCTTTTGCGACCAGCATGGGTCCAGACCAGCCGCGCAATCTGATTAGGATCCATGCTGTTCGCTTTCCAACTCTATTACAAGTAGAGAAACTGATGGCGAAAAATATGGATCCTGATCAGACTGCGCGGATGCGCAAGCTGGTCTGGATCCATGCTGGTTGCAAACCCCATTATGTTGGTTTTGTCATGACGCGGCTCATTTATGTAGCTGTATATGTTTTATGACGATGAACCCAAGTGTTAAAGTCAATTTGGTTCCATAAACTTCGGTTCTGTTCTTTATAAATAAATAATAAAGTGTACAATACTTTTACCATATGAAAAAAGATTCAAATTTTTAAAATGTTTAGAAAACCGGAATTACAGAATAAAGCCATGATAAGTATGAGTTTGTGAGTGCGTGCGCGTTTGTGTGAATCGAATATTTTGAAGTAATGATTTTCACGATTTTCGAACACTCTCTCCAAGTCTCTACTGTGCACACTGTAACGATGGTCTTACTGTAATATGTGAAAGTAAATTTGTTGATGAAAATGTGTTTAGTTTTGATACCTATGTGTTTTATGCATCGTTATTCATAGAAAGCCACGAAAATGTTACACATGTTAAAATAAAAAAATACAAATGTTGATGTAACTAAATCCCTAATAAATGTTGTAGTCTTCTTAATTCGAACATTCCTCCAGTCCGTACATGTACACACCGTAACGATGGTCTTACTGTAATATGTGAAAGTAAATTTGTTGATAAACATGTGTTTAGTTCTGTTACCTAGGTGCTTTATGTGTTTCATGGAGAGCCAGGAAAATGTCACATGCGTTGTAATAAAAAATACAAAGGTGGATGTTACTAAATCACTTTCATACATAAATGTTGTAGATAATACTTTTCTTGCATCTCAGACAGGATTATCTACCGTTTACACCGGTGCTAGAAAACTCTGTCTTACACCCCCCATGTAAGACAAGTCGCGTGCTTTGAATGACGTCATTGACGCGAGCCTTTTATGAATGAATCGCGTTCTAAGGATGACGTCATTTTTCCGTTATGAATGAAGTTGTAAGTTCATACGCTACTATAAGAAAAGAGTGCGTAATGAGTGTATCAGTTTTCATAATTTCTTTTCCGAAAATAATTGACATGTTATATGCAACAAAAAGAATCAAACACCGGCATTTGGTACAGACCGGAATATCTAGCTCTCGGGTAACTGTTAAGCGGAAACTCGGCAGAGCCTCGTTACCGCCGTAAACAGTTGGCTGTGACTAAAAAAAAAAAGATTGGAGCACCACACTAAATACCGTATTCCGGTATATACCGGACAATGCGCTTGAATGATAAAATGCTAAAATCTTGTCTTTTTACCCAACGGAATGAACTTTAACAGGTCTAATTCATCTTTTCACACCGAATCAAATACGAAAATCAACGAAAAATGTAAAATTCGGCGAAAAAACGTTATTTGTCTATTTTGTGATCATGATTTCTGCAAGCGTCTAGAGGTACTGCTCCAATCCCGTATTGAGCTAAATCCTAAACAGTTACCCTCGAGCTAGATATTCCGGTCTGTACCGGCAGCCGATGTAAGATTCTTATATATTTGCATATCAGACAGGATTATCTACCGTTTACACCGGTGCTAGAAAAATCTGTCTTACACCCCCAATGTAAGACAAGTCGCGTGCTTTAAATGACGTAATTTACGCGCGCCTTTTATGAATGAATCGCGTTCTTAAGATGACATCATTTTTCCGTTATGAATGAAATTGTTTGTTCATTCGCTACTATAAGAAAGAAGTGCGAAAGAGAATATCAGTTTTCATAATTTCTGTTCCGAAAATAATTGACATGTAATATGCAAGAAAAAGAATCAAAAACCAGCTGTCGGTACAACAATGCACTCGCCGTTCTTATTATCTCACTGTGTATTTTCACATTGAGGGCGCCATTTTGTTTGAAAAATCTTATAAATAAAAACAATTTTTTGTTGAATTTTGTTGTGAAAACTATCTAGAATGAAAGAAAATGGTCTAACTAAGAAAATGAATCCGAACACCAATATCTTTAATTCAGTCGTTAACGCTGTACAGACGTTTAAAGTGTTGTTTACGTGACGTCAAAATGTAGCGCCAAACTGCACGTGCAAAACAATCAAATCAATTACGCTATTTTAATGTCGCAAACGAGTTAAGTTTTACATTTTTTTTTTCACTTTTCATAATTTGTATTTCGCTTGAAAAATTATAGAGTGAAATAAAATAATGAAACAAAGTTGTACCAACGTTTTCAAAATTCGTTATTCTCAAAATGTTTCTACACACGGTAGATTTAACGACAGATTTTTCAACCCACTGGAACAGCCTTTAAAGAACGTTTCTATTGGGAACCCCTAGGCGAAAACAAATCTAACCACCAAACATAAAGTACACCTTAAAAATAATAATTATATTTATTCTTGACGTGTTAGAATGGAAATAGATATTAATTCTTCGTGCATTATTGTATAATAATGCACGTTTTTCGTTCAAATGCGTAGTAATATAATCACGAAGGCCGATAGGCCTGAGTGATTAATTACAAAGCATTTGAACGAAAAACGTGCATTATTATACAACAATGCACTCAGAATTGATATCTATTTCCTAAAAAAAATAAGTATTACTAAATGGTAGTTATTTTTGTCTTTATTAATATAAAGTTTTTTCACCCATCACCAAGAAGTAATTTCATGACAACGCCCGAATTCATCCTGGAAGATAAAAAAAAGGCATTCATAAGGGAGTCTCAATTCTTTAATCGAAAGAATTGCAGGACGTCTCTAGATCAAGTTAATCAATTTCATTTACATATTCTCTGATTGCATTCGAGAAAATAATACACGAAAAATACATTACTTACAATTAGATACATATATAGTATAGGGCAATACAAAGATACAACTTATATTTCCAGCACAAATTGATTACAACAACAATTTAAATATATTCATCTGATTATCGTATACACATTGTAATTCAATTTGACAATAACCTAAAAGTTACTTATTTTCTTATTTTCTTTTGTCCGCAGTGATGTTGTGATAAATAGATTACAGACTATTGTGTTCAGATTTCCTTTTGTTGAAAGATGGGCATATGTCTGCTTTCATTATCAGAATCATTAGAATTATCATTATCATCATCAATATCATCACCAACAAATATTATCTTTACAGTCGGGACACAAATGTTGTGTTAGTTGGGCTGCAAGGACAGACGGACAGTGCAATTCGTGGGCATAAAGCGTGGGCCTATGTTTGCATTCACCATCATCATCATCATCATCATCATTAATATTATCACTCAAAAATGTCTTCGTCATAATTATCATAGTTATTATTATTAACATTCTTCTTCACGTTATGGTCACTTATCTTATCTATTTCTTATATTGTTAAAAGGAGTACGAGTGCACTTACAAATATATGTAAAATATTTACACATAAATGTATAACGAAATAACATACCAACAATTATGACGTCAGTGCCATTTTGTGACGTCTTTGAGCAATCGGTATTGCAAAGATCGGCGTCGCAACAGGTTTTACATACGGGCGTTGATCGTGATTCTCGTGCAGATGTGACGTCAGTTTGTCTCTTGTGCGAAATACACTAAAATGGGAAAATGTTACACTTTATAAAAACCTGTGTCCGTATCGTTTTTTTTAAATTAAGCACTTATATAATAATAGGTACATGAGGTTTTCTTTATATCTTTAGCCTCAGGAAAATCATATGGTCTTACATATATATATATCAAGTACATAAAAGATTCAAGCCCTTCATCATGAGTGAGTGTTACAGACTGAATTTGGTGGTACCCATAACTTAGATTTTAATGGAACTGGCCAAATAAAAACTTATTTTTTATCTAATTACCTATATCTAATAGTAAGTTCAAGTAAGCCAAATATTCTTAAGATGGCATTTCATCCAAAACGTAGAAGAAATAATCTCTTTGCCTACTCTGGTTTATATATTTGTTCAATCATTAAGAAAATGACTTTCTGGTGTAAAGGCTTGTATTCTTAACTAACAACATTTGTCAAAAGTTATTTTGTTAGAGAAAATGATGACTTTTTAATATAAAATCAGATCTTCATAGCAATGATTTTAAATTTTGAAGACCACGAGATCAATGAAAAGCAAAAGTAAATGAAAATCGCTGGATTCGTTAGTTCATTTAATGGAGTAAAAATTGTTTTACATGCCGAATGTCCACATCACCGTTAAATATATAGTTTTCTATTTTCATCACTAACAAAATCGGTACCAATGTTCCAGAAAGACCAGGCAATCATAAAAACGCTAAATTGTTGTATTTTATATCAATACCTGTTTGTTATGACATTTTGCTGTGTAATGGTCATATACCCCACCCCAGTCATACTTCTCTACGCTACAAACCTTGAAACAAAATAAAAGCACATGTTTTTAAGGATACTTTATGTCAAGTTTCTCACCACTCAACTGTCCGCTCATTTTAATGAGGAATTTACAAAATAGGTTTTTCTTAACTCATTTCGTAAAATTTCGTAAAGTTAAACCACGTTCATGATTTGTAACTTTGAAGCCGTTTTTGTAAAGCTTAAATTCTAATTAAAGAGCATATCAAAATATTCGCTCCTTTAGCTGATACGTGGACACACTACCGTTATTACACAAAGTGAACAGCATTGAAATTTTTGACTGATGCCAGGAGCCGAACCAAAGTGTAAAGAATAAAATGTTATTTTTATTGAATTAACAAGGGAAAAAAGAAAGCAACTCATCTACAATCATTTATGCTTTTTCTACAAATTTCTATAGTTATGCCAGGTTTAATACGGAGTGTGTAAAATGGCGTCTTACTTCGTCTTTGGAACACAGCCTTACTGTCTTACACTCATCCATGTTAGAAACATACGAGCAGTCGTAGCATAACGGTCCTCGTAGTTGAAAGGGAGGCAAACCTGAGAAACAATGATCGGCGTACTTTAATCATTAGACTATGAGGTCCTGCAAAACCATAGGACGCTTAAAACATGTTGGCATATTTTCAGCGTGAGACAAGATAGAATTCCGTTTTAAATTGTTGGCGGTTTTTTCTTTTTTGCCAGCGCTACGTGACAGTAGAACCAATCGGAAAACCTCGGGCTAATACATGAAGTCATCGGAGAAAGCTAAGTTGTTACGATTGCAGCAGAACAAAATATTTATACCGCACCATAAAAGACATTTAACAACGCACCATTTTATTTTCTAGTGATACCGTTTGAGTATTACGAAGGAAAATTTCTATCTGCAAGTAATTAAAAACGTCAAAAGTTGTTTTCTTTACCCTCAGCTCCACAGCCGTTCGAATTGCAAAGTGGTGAAGAGCAGCAGTGAACACATTTGGATTTACTCTGACTTGTTTGTCGTTTCTTACTAGAACATTGCTGTTAACACAAAATAAAGCACAACATATATTGAAAAAAATACTTTTTCTAATATTTCACATTTTGAATTTACTTTAAAATCACCAAAGGTTTCTTTTGAATGAATTCGCGAATGTTCAACTTGATCACCGTTAAATACAAGACATTTTGTTTACTTTATATCCCCTGCCGAATACGGGTTATCATTAATCACAACAAGTACAAAAAGGGTCATGGACGAGTTCATTCTTTATCATTTCACCATGTTGGCTTTCCTTTATTTTAGCATTATTTTGTCCAAGTACATTTATAGAAATAGTAATAAAATAACAAAGATACTGTCATACATGTAGTTTAGAAAAATCAATACAAGGTTATTTGATCTGGAAGGTCAAGGTCATTTAAAGGTCAAGGTCACGAATTAATAACTTATGTGTTGGCTCTCATAAAGTTCGGTTGAAATCCAGTTAGAAGTTACCGAGATGTATCGTGAAAAGAATATCACTCTGTATATGTACTTTTAAACTTCAGGGGCAATAAATCTATCTTGGATGTTTCGTTTGGAGCATGCAGATGATAATGCGCATCTCATTTTAGTATTGAATGTTCCCGGAAAGTTTTATTGAAATCAAACCATTAGTTTCTGAGAAATACCTCGGAAACGAAATTCGGACAGAGAGATAACGGTCTTCTTTAGGATATAGAGGTTGTTTTATTTATTTTTTGGTCTTTGTTAAAACCACAATCATTTTTATACCCCACAATGTGTTTAAACCAAAATTTGTTCGGAATGAACGGGGAAAAAACAGTTTCATCATGGCGTGTTCCTCTAAAGAAAAATTATTTTTAATGCAATTTTTTAAATAATCAATTACATTTTTCTATTAATATGTATTTTGGTTCAAACCCTTAACATTTCACAATGTGTGTGTATGTATGCATGCGTGCGTATAGTTGTGTGTGTCACTCTTTTGTGTGTTTGTTTGTTTACCTCTGAGGCTAAGCATCCACTGTTGTATTTCACCTGCCCACTGTTGGTTCTATAGGACTCCACATGGCATACCTTACAAAATACAAATCACAAACTATGTTAAAGAAAAATCGCCAATCATATGTCTGGTCTATGGTCTTCCGTTAGGACCAGCGCATTTTCTGTGTGAACGAACAGTTTAATGCACGAAAGTACGATGATGACTGTCCATCGTTCTGTGGTATTGTCACGACCATACTGTCGCGCTTGGTCATCATACTTACGAACTGTCACCATCGTACTGTCATGCTTCGGGCCCTAATGGAACACCGTACTGGTCAGACTGTATGACATAACAGTACGATGGTGACAATAAGACAATACGATGGACCATCACCATCGAACTACCACGCTTTGCCATCGTACTGTCGAACTTTCACCTCCGAACTGCAGCGCTTTGCCATTGTACTGTCGAACTGTCAGCATCGTAATGTCGTACTTTGCGCTTTTTGTTGTCAGACCTTCACGGAACACTGTACACATAACTCTTAATGTTACACCATAGAACATCTTTTTTGTTAATATGAACATGTAATTATACAGTTTCAATACTATTTTCATACAAAATTGCAATTGCAAGTTCGTGAATAAATTTTTTTCAACCTCTGCAGTACATTCTTATGTAGAGCAATAACCTCTTTGCAACAACAATAAACATGTATAGTGCAATCACTGTATAAAGCAAAACACATAGGGATACATAAGTTCTTTGACATGGAAGCTTGAAAGTCGTCGTTTGCTGTTTACAGTGTCTAACATAACTATAAGCCCGGCTTACACATGGTAATAAAATAAAATGTATACCTGGCCGCTCAAACATTTACTAACGGTGTCACAGAGGTACAAATGAGTCATATCATTACAGTCGAAACATTTAAGTTCGTCATTTCCCGTGCTTTCTAATAACAAAAAAATATGGAAAGAAACATAATTGAGTAATACTATGACAATGTTTAGAGAATAAGGTTTTTTATTAATTGTGCGAGTAGGTGCTTAATATATATTGTATTCCAAATCAATAATATAAATCAATAATCCGGGTTGTATATATTAAATGCTACCAGCAATTTTATTGTATGGCGGAGTGACTGATTATGGTCGTGAAAACACTTGACTCTTACCACTGTGGGTCTCGTGAGATATCAATTTTCCAACTTTGCGAGTAGCAAAATAAAAAAACTCAGAAAGTGACTACAACAAAATATTCAGTAAATATCAAATATTTTTTTTTTACAAATTTATATACGGCTGTGTTATTTCCATAAAATTATGGCAGACTCTCAAAAGAGTTATGATAAAGACTTTCTCTGTTGTTTAGCACACATGCATATTGCATATATTACTTATTACATTTAGAATAAAATTATCCTGAACAAAATATTATCCGATTGTGCTGCCATTTTCAATAGATTTTTATCATTAAGCAATGATTTCATGCATACGCATAAGCATATATCCAAACATATTTCTATCATTCTTATATTTTGAATGTATCATTTTTCAAACTTCAAGCAATATCATTTTAACTGAAGAAAGCGGACATATAGTTTTAACACTCGCAGGTGCTTTTAAAGTGTGATGTGGTCCCTTATCCATCGAAATGATGATTTTTTTTTTCTTGCAAAATCCGCAATTATTTGAAATAGTTAAGTTTTGCCTAACACAAAGCCGGAAATTCACACACCACCTTCCCAAATATCAAAACTTGGTTTATACAAATAAGTTCTTAACAATTTTTATTGCTTTTAAACTCACTGTATTAGAAATGTTTCGATATAATTTACTTGTAATTGATATTGTGTCAATTTAACTATATCAAAGAAAATAAAAGTACTAAGAAATAAATGATGTCAAACGAAATATTACTACCCCAGTTAAGAATAACATTAAACATTCAATCATGTATAATAAGAAAACAACACTTAGAAATTAGTACTTATCAGTCACAAGAGAACCAAGTTTTACCGATTATTAATTATAAATTTAATTTATTTTCTAAAACAATGTACTTGCATTTACCTGTGTAAACCTCCATCCCAAGCGGGTATCCGTAAGCATAATTTAAATAAAAGCCATATTGTATTGCTCCAAATGTTCTACCGGTCACGTGATACAGATGATATTCACCGGCTGTCAATTTGTATACGTTAACTGTAAACGTCTCATTGTTTGCGTGTGTCACATAGCTATAAAAGATATTTCCCATTTGGTTTCCATTGATTCTTAGTCCAGATAGATCCTCAGTTTTTGCAATGATTGTTAGATAATGAGTAAAAGGTTCATTGGTTGCAATTATGGAGAAATGATAGAAGTTTCTATATTGATTGATTGCCGGGACTATAGACATGAACACGTTGCCAATACCATTATCAAAATGACATGTACTGTACAACATCACCTGAACAGGTTTGGTTGCAAAAACGTACATTGCGTCTTTACTACTTACAATTTCATAGAATTCACCAACTTTCAAAAGAATTTGCCTATTTTGATTCGTTGTATTACGAAATGTTATAGATGTGTTTTGAGATGAACTATATATTCGCACTACATATTGTGATTTTGGCGGTACCGGCGGAACGATAATTTCTTGAGCAAAATGTTTGGTAGGCAAAAGTTGCTCTACAAAATATTCTCCCGAGCCAGCACAAGTTATTGGTGTCATCGTAGCTTCGTGTCCAGAGAAAACAGCGACAGATGTATTGCTGCTAACTCTTGCTCCACTTAAATCGTCATATCTTCGTACAAGATACGTCTCTAGTCTATTCAACTTGACTTTTACTACATTTTTATTGAGATATATATTAATAAAAGTGTCGTCATGTACAGCAACAACAAGAAAATCACTATACTGGCTGCTGGAATATGGCTCATACGACGATATTATGTATTCAGTAGACAACATGTCAGTCGGAAGTGCCAAAAAACCTTCCCATGTACCGCCTGGATATTTCATAACAGTAAGTGTCACGTCGACATCTGTTGTCACATGTATACCCTTGTGTTCCACTGTTGTATTTACCTTTGTTATGGTGTCACCCGTTACTTTGTATTCTAAACTTTGATTAAAACTACGTGTTGTGTTGATGCCTAAATGTGGTATGTAGATTATAGCCGTTCCTGTCATATTTGAGGTAATAAGAAGTGAAAACTTTCCGAAATTGTCGTTATATGTTTTAAGTATACCTATGTTAAAGTCTCGTCCAAAAGTACCTGGAAAAAGTAAAAGCGATAACTCAGAATCACTTAGGAACGCAAAAAAAAATGATGGCGTATAAAGCCCTTTAAAACATTCTAGTAAATTCTTAATAAAAGTTTCGTCTCAACATTATGCCTTTACGAAATTTGTGATTGAGTTTAAAGAAACTGGAGATATTCAGATGAGTACCATCGTCGGATACCCACGGCCGAACCATTATCATTCATCAGCATGTTATGTGACATGTTTATCAATCGTGGGTATCCGACGATGGATGAGTACTTGCGCCGTTATTATTTTATTAACCACACGTATCGATGTTGGTCGACTGTCGTTTTCACTCTTTTAAATAAATCAAATTGAATCCTTGTGCTATCATAAAACGGCTGACGAAATTACAGTTGCATAGAGAGGTTATAGGAATCTTTTATTTACTAGTGCCGCGCTATAGATATAGCGTGTGCACGCGATAGCTAATACGACCGGACGTGATAGCTAATAGAGCTTACGTGATAGTATGACGTGACTTCCAGTCGTCTATTACCTATGCACGTTAAAGTCATTATGTGACTATACGATGTGCATGTGCGCACGCGTACGTAATACCTATCCTGTGTTCACGTAAAATTAATTGTGTGTGTACGTAATATATATCGCGTTGCCACGTTATATACTAGTATATCGCGTGACCACGTACTAAATTTAACAACATGTCCCCTGTATGCCACCTTGCCACCATACAAAATTGTTGCATTGTTTTATATATCAATTCCAATTGTAAGATCTGACTGAATTAATTAGTTTATGCTACTCATTGACTGAATTCTTGTCTATAAATACTCAGGGTGAAAGGATACATGACTGTCATCTGACAAGAATCCTGATTATTTGCCTCTATTAACGAATGAGTGTCCTTATTCATTTTCTTGATAAATTGATACTTAGTCATTGAGCTAGGTAAGGCCTAAGTTTGAATATTTATAGCATCTTTTTCGCATTAACCGTATTTTTAACCGTGTTAACGTGGCGTCTATTTGAACAGTTTTAGCTAAGCCTTCATCAAACTTAATATTCGCATTTAGGTTCTTTCCGTCAAGCTTGTGATAAGGACCTCGGATACAATAGTAAGAATTACACTGAACGGATACGGACGTTCGGTCTATCCTACATGTCCTACACTTTCAAACTAAACATGTAAACAAAAATCAACTTAATGCTAAAGTTTATTCCAATATAACGAGGAAAAGTCCACCTAAATTAAGTAAATCTTTAGATATAAAAGTAAACAATTTATTATTCATATACAGGTACTTATTATTATATTTGTAGAAACAAAAAGTACACAAAAGTTTATCTGTAGACGATTTTGGTAATAATTGAACATTAGCGGGCATTTTTTAAATTGAATATGATTGTTAGATATGTTTTAAAATCAGGTAAGTTTTTCATGTAGGCTATATGTAATTTATGCATACAATGCTTACATGACTGACATTGGGATTTCTTATACATAGAACTTGCATTAAAAGAGGCATATAATTTTATCTTACCTGTGCACCGTGTTTGTCCAAACGTATGAACCAAAATGAATGCAAATATCAGAAAACGATTCTGAAATGTTATTGGAAATAATTTATGCAAATGTTATCTGAGCGTTCCCAAAATAAGATACGAATAATGAACAGCAAAGATAATTTTGTTTCTTGACACTTTATTCATGAGCTAGATAAATTATGAGAGCAAAATTCGACGCTTGTTTCTATAGTCAATAATAATTTTGATTTCAACAATGTTGAAAGCGATATCATTTGAGCGTCTTTTGCCACTTCGGATTTAAGAAACAAAAAACCTTGAATAAATGTGATATGCATTTTCACGGAGGAGGAACTGTTACACCAGGGATGGAATTCTTATGATAATTTGTCAGAGTTCTGTCATAGAGTTCGACGGAAAACTTTTGTTCATATTACAAAATCACTCGTCAGAAATTTTCTCAAATCTATCAGATTTTAAGCAAGAGGCGATGAAAAATGGCCTAAGAATTAA